CGATAAGCACCGAACTTCATGTCTTGTTTTATAAACAAGACCTGAAGTTCGGTGCTTATCGTCGAAATTCAGGACATGCCCTAAATCAATCTTTACCATTAAACATAGCGGATAAATAAAAACGCCATCTATCGCGATACGCAGGTGAAAGGCACAGAAATATCCTCTTTACGGATGAAAAATTTTCACGATTGAAGAACACTACAATAAGTAAAATGATAAAATACGCTCACAGTTCTAAAGAAATTGCTCAAGTTGTCGGAGAGGTACAACGTGGTCATCATCCTGCGGCAGATGGTTTGGTGGGGCCTATCTTAATATCAAAGAGTCACAAAACTACATTTTTGTGAAAAAGGAGTGAAAACTTCAGCCAAAGTGTATCCAAGATACAGTCTTGGATCATGTTGTGAAACCTCTCAGCAATACACTTTTTAAAAATATACCGTGGACTTTCCAGCAGGACTCGGCACCTGCTCACTAGGCACGAACTACTCAAGCCAGACTTGAAACCAACGTTCCGGACTTTATAAGATTTGAAGACTGGCCCTCATCTAGGCCAGAACTAAACCCTTTAAACTTCAAATTATGGTCAGTTTTAGAGGACATGGCCTGCTCTAAACGACACGGCGACATTAAGTCTTTTAAATCTTTGGAGCAAGCTGTAGCGAAATTTCCCTCGGAAACAGTGCGTAAATCCATATATTCGTGGCCACACATGTTAAAGGCCTGTATAAAAGCTAAAGGTGGCCATTTCGAATATAATATTTTTTTTCTGAGACGTTAATAAATATGTAGGTATACATTTTAATATTCTTACATTACTTCATTTAAAAAAATAATGTTCATTTGTAACAGAACTTATGGCTGGACTAGATACAATGATTATCATATACCTTACATTGTCTAACCGCTATAAATATTCATTATCTGGGTATGGTACATCGATAATACATCAATCATACAGATTGCCGGTAACATTAACACTTAATTTTTCGGATTTAAATTTAACAGTGACTATTAAAAATATTAGATGCTAGTTTTTCGAAGGGCATCATTATCTATAAAAACGGCAAAAAAATCAAGTATTTTGTATTGGAGCCTCATTAATTATTTTTTATTCTGTTTTTTAATTGTTATTTGTTGTTATAGCGGCAACAAAAATACATCATCTATGAAAATTTCAACTGTCTAACTATCACGATTCTTAAGATACAGCCTGATAATAGACGGACGGACAGACAGCAGATTCTTAGTAATAGGGTCCCGTTTTATCCTTTGGTAGGTGGCTTTACAGAACCTTAAAAAGGCACATCAAGTTTCATTTGCTTCAGTCCCATCGCATCGGTCTAAATGCGTTGCAACACCATAAGAGATGTTCTGTTCCTCGAAAGACTCCCAGTTAGGCATAATTGGATTTTATGAATAATTATTGCTTCATACACAAACAAACTTAAGAAATTTTACCGTATTTTTTTATCAGGCCATATAAAAAAGATGTATCAACAAGACATCAACGCGTGACGTGAAACAAACGTCACTCATTTTTAAATCCAATAATAATTTCCAGTATCCAATAAAGTATGATGTTCTAAATACCGTACAAAAGCCATTACTACGTTTAATCAATAACAGTCTGTTTTATCCAACCTTGACATGGGCAGAATCATCAAGCTATCCTTGATGGAGCCACTATAATAATAAAAAAAAACTGCCAGTACAATGTTCAATTTTGACATACTCTTTAAATTTTTCAAAATTCAAAGAATGCTTAAGTTCACTTAAAACGATAATATCTCGAGTTTCGTTTGGTTTACAGAAATACACTATCAGTCGTAATAAAGTGGCTGAGCATATTTTAATAAAATTAAATAGTTTAATCTATTAAACAACAAGCCCACGTGAAAGGAATTTATAATAATTGTCTAGATTTCTAATTGTCTATTAAAGATTCATCTGACGCAGAACCGGTGGGCTAGCCAGAACCCACGGGTTTGGGGCCTCCCCTATGAGTAGGGCCGCGCATGTGCGTTTAACTATGGTGTGTCATCTAAGGGCTATCGTAGGTCGCGGGTCGGACCGAAACCCCGATGGCCGTCGACGCCGTTGGCTAATAAAGAGAGGAACTAAACTACAGAACTCAAAGAGACTTTTGAAAAATGTTACACTTTACGTTATATAGCGTATCTATGTGAATCTAACAGATAATATAGAATTTACGATACTGGAAAAGGTCTATAGAATTGTACTTATTGGTGTAATTTGATTGACTCAGTGCCAGTCAAATAGTTTTGTGAAAAAAGTTTTTATGGATGAAGCCCGGGCTAATTGTAATTACTTTAAAATATTTAATTTTTTAAAAGTAAAAAAAAAAACGTTGTTTTAATTTAAATATCCCTCCATATTTTTTGAGAACCAAATTGAATTATCGTGTCTCAAGAAAAATTGATCTGCATTTAGAACATTTTCGTACTAGGATTCATACTTTAGGATTTCAATTGTGGCTTAAAACGTTGTCGTTCGATCGGTTTCAAATGGCATTTATGGATGAAGGACTTTCAAAAGCATCCGTTGACCTTACGAATTCATAACTCTGGGGGATGAACAAAGCAGTGGTCATCCTACGGCGGCTGTTCCCGAAGAAAGTGTGCTGGCAGTAAAAAAAATAATTGATGAAAACAGGCGTTTTACATACAAAGAGTTTCAGCATACATTGTAGATTGGTTCGAGAAGCGTTCAGAGGATTACAAATGAGCACCATCGCGTGAGGATAATAGTTTCGCGCTGGGTGTCGCACAACCTTACCGAAGCTTAGGAGCAGGCCCGTGTAGAATGATGTCGTGACATGAATAGAAAATTTGAAAATAGAATCGTCTCGGCGTTTACACGACATTGTGACATGTGATGAAACCGTAATGTTTCAATACGATCCACTTTGGCTGTTTCGAAACGAACCAACGCGAACGCCTACTAAAGAGTAGCGGGGAAAATTTCGATCGCTAGTTTCTTGACTTTGACTACTTATCTGGTATCAATTCCATTACGAAATCAAAGCAGCATCAACGACAAATGGTATACTACTGAATGCTTGCCAGAAGTTTTTACTGCAATGAGCAACAAGCGACAGAACACCAGGCTCCGCGCGGTACTGTTTCACCATGACAACGCGCATGCGCATTCGGCACTCAAAACCAGGGACTTCTTGGACACCACACCGGTCAAAACAGTCCCGGTCTGGCACCTTGTGACTTTTTATTCCCAAAAATAAACCCATGATAATTAATAATATAAATGTCTAGGTAATAGACGACGCATGTCCATACTGCGCGGAATTTATAAATTGTCCTGCTTCACATTACATAACATATATAAATGAATGTGACAAATGATATAGTATGATACGCAAAGAGATAGCAGTGTAAGGAATTAATTCTGCCTATAAAAGGAGCTCGAAACGTGCTAAACGGGGAGTTCCGTGGCGTTTTTTCTCCCGGATTGGAGTTCTTTTCTCGCCTCTACTTATTTAAATTCAAAGAGAATTAGACGTGATCCGTATATAAATTTAAACGTTTTTTTTTTGCCTTTTCTTTACTTTCATTGTAATATAGATGCTGTGTCTACATTTTTACTTACTATCAAAAAAGCTCCTAGAGGCCAATGGAGCACCTGACTTCGGGTCCCATTAAAATCGATGGAACATCTAACACTATAAAAAACTGCTATCATGATATGTATTTATTTTTTACAGACATATTTGCAATATAAATCGTCAAATGCCATGGCGTTTCACAAGTATTTTGCGCCTTGGCTTTATTTGTAATGGACAGTAACTGACAGCTGTCAAAAAATACGTAATTATTTTAGCAGCGATTTTCATCACTCACTTGACTGACATGATATTGGCAGAATTCGTTTAAGAGAAGCCACTTATTAAAGAAAGAAGAAGAAGAAGTAGCAGCGATTTATCCAGTTTTACTACTTTACGACTATACAAAATCATTTCGTGTCGCCCATCCTTACCTAGCTTACTTTGTGGATGATTCTTTTAGCTTACTCCTAAGTATCCCTAAACGATGTCATAGTCATAAACAATTTTAAAATTATGCAATAATCCTTTCCTGATTTCTGAAAATGACATCCGTAGGGAGGTAAATTTGAGGATGTAAAAAATTTATCCACAGAATCATAACTATATAAAATATATTAATATTTTAATAAAATGGAAATAGGCTAGCTCTGTATAGTCGTATAAACCATTTTGTATACCAAATAACCAAAAATATTAACACCAAAATGCATAAAAATTAACAAAATACTTGTCCAAAGAGTGCATGAAATAATAAATATAAAGAAAAAAATTAAATGAAGTTAATTGTATAATTTAAAATTTTTAAAATATCTCTTTTACAAAACTGTCTCAAATAATGAAAAAAAACGGTTCTTAGGAACGTTCAAACTTTTTTCTATTATAAAAATTGTGCCCAAGCTATCTTTTCGTTGTTCTAAGCAAAATTATAAAGTTAAGGGAAAAGTTTGCCTCCTGGATTACTATTAACTTAACAAATTGAGGCCTAAAAATAAGCGTTTAAAATAAATGTTTAAAATGAATAAGAAATTGATTATAGTACATAAAATGGAATTAAGAATTAAAATGCTGTAATTATTGTAAAATATGTTTTCCGTTACATTTCAACTAATCTGTAATACTTTAAAATATTCAAATGATAATTTTTATTAACTTCTAAAAATTCATAATTTAAACCTTCTTGTTGATCGTATGTATTGTAAATGTGAACGCATCTTTTGATTGATGATGTCAGCTGAGGTTGGCAATATCTCTGCTAGTCAATTTGTACTTGTAGTCTGTATATTTGTGCGCTGCGCAACAATACAATATACTGATACATACGCCAGCGTGGATGACTTCAGAGTTAAATGTATCTAAGTTAACATAACTACGTTTTATTTATTATTTTCTTAAAATGTTTTTTTCTCAAGTAAAAATGAAGCTTTGTATAACTACGCCAGTATTCTTACTTGTGATTTGTTATGGCCTCGATGTAGAAGGTAAGTTTTTTTATGTACTCATACAAAGTTTAGATTTCTGTTGTTCATACCGAGCTATGAGGTTTTAGCATACTAAAATGAAACCAAGATTTGTAAAAGTGTATAAATAAAAAAAAAATTAATACTAAAACATAAATTGGTTGTCTTCATTATTACGAAATGACAGCTTTTTATAAACTTAAATGAATGGACTTAAAAAAATAGTTTTAAACGAGGCTAAATCGTATGCTTGATATATAAATTATTATTTTGATAGTGAATCAAGTCGCTTTAAATCCACCAAAGTAGTCTGCAACAACGTAGTGTATATTGACGTTTAAAAAAGCACTTTTGAATAAAGCACGATTTTGAATAATGTCTATTGTCACTCTCCATCGTAAACAGTTACTTTTAACCTTGATTATTAGATCATAATATTAAATAAACTTTATTTTAATTTTAGGGACTTGACAAGGTTTACATGAATTTTGTTGACTAAATAAAACTAAATGATCATGATCTTTTTGTTTGATGACTGAATATGACCATGCAATACTCTCCTAAAAATTGATAGCAAAAATTACCGAAACTAGTGGTTCTATTATCTTTATCATCATCTTATTAAATAATCTCAATATAATTATTTATCAATATGTTACAAATCACATCATAGATATCAAATGGTAAAAGCAAAGAATTCTATTTAAGTGTAGTCTGTCTTTTGGTGATGGCATAGATTATATTATGCATGTACAATCTTTCAATTTAAGTTTGTCTGATACCCTGTTGATGGTGGTGCTGTTTATGTTAAAAACATCCTCTTCTTTTAATTTGACCGTTAATTGTGTATGATTTTAAATTCTTTTAACAAGGCACCAAAGACTTTTCCTTTCAATGGCTGCATGAATTTTATCTTGAAATCAATATGTGATATTGGACAATAAAGATTTGTCCAATGTCCAGAGTTAATAAAGATTAATATGAATGCTGTTGAAAAAATAAGGCTAATCTAATTTTATTAAATTAAATATAATTTTCTCGGTAAAAGGCTATGATTTATTCTGCTATTGTATAATTATCCTTTTTAACAACACTGTCATCCAAAAATTATTTGCAATAAATGTTCATGGATGACAAATTGCTTGACATATTTTTCCTTGTTGCATTGTTGCTTTTTATTATGAAGGGTGAGTAATTACAGATGAATCACAAACTTAAAATCTTGTATTCAACTTTAAATAAATTTTCTTCTCAAAGATGTACTTCCTCTATATCATCACACCCTGCATAGTATACAGTAGATTTGATTGTGAACTCGAGATATGTATATGTATTTTCAAAAAACGCAACTTTGAGCTTAAAAGTACATTGTATTGTTTATTCATAACAATGATGAAGAAATTATGTTCAATTTAATAATCCTACATGCTAATGTTTAATGTCCTAACAGAATGCTAATTCTTTTAAATCAATCAATCCCTTTTTGCTTTTAAGACACTTTAATAATACATTGAGTTGGATATAATTTATTTGACAATCCATGTCCAATCTAATATTTGTGATAACCTGAATAAAAGAGGGCAATGTCAATGTTCCAAAAGTTCCTATTATTGTAGTGAAAAACCCATAAATATAAAATTAAGTGTCATACTACAGATAGATTCCCTAAACACATAGAAAAAGAATTTTGAGAACGCAGACATAAAATGTTTGACAGAGAGGAACAGTTTGTATGGGAAAATAAAATTGTTGCTTATTCGATTTACCATGCTAAAATTAACCAAATCAGTCCAGCCTTTCTTGAGCTTTAGCCTTTAATTATTCATTTTTATATATTAGATTCATTCAACTTAATAACAAAAATACAAACCATATATGTGAAATATTGTTTGTTACCCCCAGCATTAATTGCTACCTTAAAACTACTTAAGAAAAAACATAATCCAGGTAAACATCTCAGCCTAACAGAAGTCCTAGGGGGTTTGCAACTACTTATATACTTTGCTTCCAGTCTGGCAATAGAGTTTTCCAGAGACTACTCATCACACTTGTCATCCAATGAACCACCTACACGTTGCCACCTTATCTCAAAAGAGCACAGAAATATTCAAAGTTTTCGTGGTTCGACATTTCGTTACACATAATTTTATCGTAAATAGGTGTCGGCAACACTTTTCGGTGACAACTTAATTCATGTTTCCTGTAACAACAATTAAAAGTAATCAACTCCAATGTATAGAATGTAATTGAGCTCGTCGTTGTGTAGCGTTTAGAACTACGGGAACATTGCTCTTGGTTTACGTACAATACAGGGTTCAGTACCCTCTCCAGATGAGAACTTGCGTGTCATTTATTTAATTAAAGGTAAACACATGAGCCCTTTTAGATATAGAATTTCATCTGTGTCTCATGATAGGTGAAGTCCTATACTGTCGGCAAATACAGAAAGTAAATCCAATTATTGTCTTTCGAAGCTAAAAAACCCCTTATCTATTAAACAAACAAAGTTTTCATTTTGGAAAGTGTCTCATATTGTTAGTAGCAATAAATTTTTAAGTGTAACAACAGACTACATTCTTGGGACATAAAGGACGATTCCTGATTAAATGTAGATAAAATACGTTGAGAATTTCGTCGGTGTGGCAATCAGCCGCTAAGCTTTGTGGTTTAAAAGTCTAGGCGTGAATCCGGGTTCGATTCCTGCAGCAGCGACAAACTTTTCCGTCCTTTTTTCTACAAATTTTAATGTTTCTTCTCAAGTGCAGATATTAGCACTAAAGTACTTTTTTATATGTGACAAAGTGGCAAACGAGCTTGCCGGTTTACGTAATATTAAGTGATAACCGCCGCCCATTGACATTTGCAACACCCGTAGTGTTTCAGATGTGTTGCATACTTTTAATAAAGTGGGTCCCGGCTACCTCACTCACTAGACGAAACGCAGAAGTGTAAGTTACTTCACGCCGGTCTTCTCTGAGGTCGTAGTACTAACCTGGACGGATCTGCTAATTCGAAACTGTTCGCTGTTGCACGCGTGGCCCTACCACAGTTAATAATACAATACAAAATGTACTATATAATACAATACATTGGTACAGCGTGTACTTTATGTACAGAGACTAGTGTCCGTTTCGTCACGTACCAATTTTCTATTTTTAGTTTTTATAAATTCGACATCAGCCAGATACTTTATTATCTGAAGGTGTTAAATCACACCCTTGGAAAAATTTTAATAATCTGATAATTATTTTTTAATTCCAAAGTGTTTTTATTTTGTCGTTTCAAATATATTCAAGTCTACATAAAGTATCAGACGTAGTAAACGAACGGGTTTTAATAATTAATTCGTTTCTTGTACCTTGACCATAGCGACAGCGTTTTTTGCTCCTCTCACTGTCTGGCTATTAATTCTAAAGGTAAAGTAAATATCACTAGCAGAATAGATAAAACGAAGATTTAAATGTTCATTGAATGGATTTAACAAGGGATATTCAAATATCCGTATTCTAATAGAAAGAATGAAATTCTGATGCGACGGTCTGTTCTCCAAACAACTCACTACTGTCATCATGTAAGACAATTACTCGATATATAATGGCAAATGTAGCCCCCACCGAGCATTGTTTTCGTGTCATTGTTTACTAAGAACCAACGTAACAACTATTGTTAATGTTATAAACACCGCCTATGAAAGGCCAAACATATAAATTTTATTTCGCCATTCATCATTGAAGGGCCGCGAATCGAAATGAATTGTCGTAGAGACTCTCAAATTATTAAGATCATATCGCGTTCGGCTCACAATGAGCGCGTGTGTGGCCAAAGTGGGCAAGAAAAATTTGAACAACGTAACGATCCCCTTGTCACATAGACACTTGTGAATAGAAAATTTCCCCCGGTTCCGTTTGGCGTGCACTGGTGACGCGTGATTTGGTTGCAGGTAGTGCGCAGTACACCCTTCACGAGGGTTTGGCGAGTTTCATTTCGAACAAGCCGAACATAGTTTTGCTGGAACACGAGGATCGCTACCGCCGTGATACCGCGGCGGTGGCGCCGCCCCCCGACCCTCCGACGCCGGTAGCATCGACCTCCAACGCATCGCACAACCAGGCCTCGACCAACACGACGGATGACAGCAATAGGACCACAAACGTAACAGCCCGTGAGTTAAACATTTTCCTCGACGAACTCCATTAGCACGAGGAGCCGGCGTCTAGGCGAAAAAAATCCAGTTTCCCTCTCATGGCCAATCGTAGCGGTAAAAAGTATTGCCTTGTATCTAAAATTCGCCTTTAATGATAACAGCAATCAAGTGGATCTTTTATTTTTAATGTGATGGAGCCGAGACGCGGCGTTTTAGCCGTTTATAATTCAGTTCTCGGAAACTGGATCTCTGACGTGTTCTGACGATGTCATGTCGTTATAAGTGACTGACGTCAGGTCGTTCCTAGTCTTCTCGCGTTGTTGCTCTCGGGGATGTTATTATTGCTTCAATTCACTTGATACGTTCGCAAGATGTAACATAATGGCGTGACACGCTTGTGCGTTTTATTATTAATAGAAATAATACAAAGGAAACAACAAAACATATTGCTGACCCGATTTGCTTTTTCTTTTTTTTTTTTTCACAGTACGTAATATTTTATGTATTCGAGTAAAACCGGTATTGTTTGTGCTAAGAATGCTGCTCGCGACTACAATGTGTTCTCTCATTATAAGCTGGGCGTTTGTCTTCAGTTATTGTTTCGTGTTTCTATCATATGCGACGTGTCTATTCAGTATTACGCTCGGTGTGGCCATTTACAATTTACAAACAACGTTTACACAGCTGTATCGGAAGGACTTCGCTAACTTTTTATCACTTATATAGTAGCGTTGCGAGTTATTTCTGCACTGAATTTACTGAGACTTGTAAAGACCATTCGATGTCCTATATATTATTGACTGAAACCATGGCTTAATCTACGAATTGTCTTTGCCTAAATTACACAGAAAACTCGTGACGTCATGACGCCGCGTTGTTAATGTAATGATAGTTTTGAGGGTCTAAAAGGTTCAAGTGTACGGTAGGCGGTCTCGGTTGAGGATGTATATCTAACCGCCGACTGCACGCGGTTCAATGCGGTTTCGCGTTGCTCATAACTAACACCCACAAGATACATACATATTATATTTATGTAGAAATTCACTCAATCTTTGTACACTAGCCTGTAACTCCATTGTGCCAGCTTCCGTACGTTGAACGCATCGTTCTTAATGCGCTCAGACACGAGATAAATGCGCATGGCTTTGTGTACTTATGATATTCATTGTTTCCACGTCGTTTGTATGCGTGCGTGATTCATTTTTATAATGTACGCTCCGTGTAAACGCAAACGTTTTAATTTGTGATGTAGCTCTTGTTCCATATATTCTGAGGGTCTCGTATTAATTATTCCTGTCGGCTCCGTTGCTTGCACAACGATGACAATGGATTCGCCACAAATTCACGCGTCAAACTTAACATGACGCCTGATATTTAGTCAAGAAGATAATTTATCTAATCGAATGCTCCGCGACAATGTTAACATTTCGAATTCCATTATTATCATGATTGTACTGAGAAAAATATCACCGAAATAAGCCGTTTCGTAATGGGTGTATTTAATAAAATTGCCATATCAGAATATCATCAACTAATTACAACCTCCATTAATATTACCTAGCGACGCATACTTTCTTTATTGCGCAATTAAGTGTACAGCGTTACCGCGTCTCAAGTAAATCAGCGAAGTCATAAAATATTCAATGTTTTACATGTCTATGATTTATCATCAATATGAATGACGTCACGAATGCAGAAGAACTCCAAAGATTGTACTGATGAGACGAAAGTACACACAGCCGCGTATCAAAGAAACTGGCACACATACGTACAACGCGTCAAGCGGACATCTTTGCTCGTCCACGAACACAAAACAAGACAGCGTTGACTGACCAATTGACACCTCGCAACAGCGTGCAGGGTAAAAACATTTAGCGAACATTCTACATAACATTTATAATGTTTCGTTACGTGATCAATCGTCAGAATACTCTTAAAAAATTGTTTCATATACATTGTTGAATTCCTTCGGATAATCCGTTGCGCAATATCTGGTCGGAACATACGTTGATTAATTAACGTCACATTATTCTTCGAGTCAATTGTTTTTATCAAAACCCATCCGCAAACAAAATATCTAACAACAACATCAGAATATAAGACGACCGTCCCAAGAATCGTCAGGGCTTATTAACCTAAGAGTAATGCTTTTTATAATATGGTTAGTTATTATTCATTAGTTTTAACTGATAACGCTCCACTTAATTTATTGCGTTACATAGGGCCATTAAACTTTAATGTTTATAGATATTGGTTCATTCCACTATACTTTATATAAGATATTTATAACTAAATACAGTTGCATAACGACTGTTGACTATCTTCGCGCATTATTCGTAAATGATATTGTAATATTTATAAGTACGGAAACCTACAGCGCATGTAAGTGCTGTTCCAATCAACAATTAAATGAACGTATTTAAATAATTTGCGTGATAATGTCTCGATGTTAGCCGAATGTTGTTCTTGACATTGGCGCCTTTTGTTATTTGGTATTGTTCTAGCATAATATTTGAAGGTGATATAATTTCAGTAAGAAATGAAATAAATCGACCCCATAGGTGAAGAAACCCTAAGTTCGATGGAGTGATGTTGATTATTGATATTGATAATTTAACGGGTATCCCGAAGACAAAGCTTTTATTATGGATTAGATTTTTGTTTTGTTTTTGGACTAAGGCTTTCTTATGCATGTAAATGTAGCAATATGTTCTAAACATGGAAGGCAGCAATAAAAATCTTGTTATATAATTTGGTATAAATCAAATTTATTACTCTTACACGTAGTATTAATGAGTTATTAATAATAACATGTTGCTCCTATTTTCAAAGTAATAAACTTTAATCTTAAAGACATCTTTTGTGAAATGCAACTAATTGTAACGTTAAACCCTACACTAGTGAATGATTTTTACAATATATTTTTACGAACCCACCAAAACGTCCTTGTAATTCAAATATAAATTAAGCCTAAAGAAGACATTATCAGTAATGCTGTTTCTAAGTAACGCAATCGTCAAACACGAATAACCAGTCCAAAGGTTTGCTATAACTTTCCTCACTATACTGTTATAATGCCTGCCCACCTCTCAAACGGTGACGTCATTGGATTTCCCATTTAGTTTTCCGCTCCGTATACTATATGTATTTGAATCGTACAAATTTAAGTTACTTAAATTTGTATTTATTATATAAATAAATACAAATATAGGTTAAACTTGGCTCCTACAATTACAATATTGTCATGTTTATAACGTTTGTTTTATCCGAAGCTTTACTTTGAGCTCCATAGAATCTTAATGCGAAAAAAACGTTGATTTTAATTTTAATTTACCCTTATTAAGTTGATTACCTGAGGGATTAATTGTAGGAGTTAAGAACTTTAATAGCGATTATTAGTTTTCCATTCGTAAATCTTACCTCCTGCCTTATCTTTATGTGCTGCTTTATCACCGGTGCTTGTTTTTTATTGTATAAATATACATTCAGAACCCACTGCTATGATAGTTTAATGCAGTGGGCCAAACCTAAAAAGCCAAAGATTCATATTTTTTTTAAATATCCTATATATATAAATATCCTATATATATAGTGTAGTATTTTTAAATCTATATAGTAGTTATCCATATATATCAAATACTCGTGTAGTTAGTTGCCATACTCCTCCGAAACCGGTTGATCGATTTTTATGAAATTTTATATGTATATTTGTTAGGTCTGAGAATCGGTCCTATTCTATTTTTCATAACCCTAACTGATAAGGGTGGTCCACCCCAAACTTTTTTATCTGCCCTACAAATTTCCTAGAAATAATGGCATGGCATATATGGCAAGACAACGATTGCCAGGTCAGCTAGTATAAAAGTCGAAGTAACTTTCAACTTCTTCTGCTGTGGAATGGTAGTTAAAAAATCATTTGATTATTTAAAAAAAATATTCTCTAATATTTATTTACGACATATAATATAACAGTCTATATATTATAAATTCTCCATGACATAATCCGGATGCATTGCTTTTATATATCTTGGAAGGTGGCAAACGCACTGGCGGTTCATCTGATGTTAAGTGATAACCGCCGCCCATTGACAGCTGACACCTTTTAATAAAATGGGCCCTGGCTACCTCACTCACGAGACGAAACGCAGAAGTAGTTTGTTTGTTTGTATAACCGATGTTACGCTTTCATTCCTTAGACTGTTAAAGCTTCATCGAACGCAGAACCGGTGGGCTAGCCAGAACCCACAGGTTTGAGGCCGCGCAAGTACTCATGCGTGCGTTAACTATGGCATGTCGCATACGGGCCATCGAGGAAACGCAGAAGTATATAACACCTCCACTTCACTTCCGGTCTTATGTGAGGTCGTGGTAATTACCAAGACGGACCAGCCCATATGTACAACAGAGAAGAGTATCGCGTGGCCCTACCACATTAACTGTATTAAAATTACAATAATTCGCTTCTGCAATATGGTTAAAAGCATTTTGTTTTTTATTATTTTCGAAACATTTGTGCGTCATTTCAATGAGCGTCGTGACAATATTTCATAAGTTAACTGCTGGCATTGACCTTCAGTTTAATTCTATCGTGCCGCACTCATTTTATAAGTAGCCTGTACCCTTCCTTGTTCAACAGGTAAATGGTGATAGATAAGAACGGAAATTACCGTGATAATGGAATACTTAATCAAATGAAATACGCCTTGCATAAACGGAGCGATATTTGTAGAGATTTTTACGGTGATAACTTAAATGTTCTAAATACCTATATACGACAGCTATTTCGTCTTTCTTTTTTTCCTTTCATCTTTCATCACTTACTAGTGTCTTCCTACTACTCCAATGATATGATACAATCAATATTTAAGAAATATACTATATGTAAATTATTACGCTTCGCAATATTTCAATAATTTCGAATTAGCGAGCCAATTTTGGTTAAGCATTGCATAAATATTGCCATTGTGAGAAGCTTATGCGAATGTTTATGTTATGCTTTCAAATATTATTACTATGAATATTATCATTATAGCAGCACGTCTATGTCTGTTGCCATATTATTATTTATTACGCTTATTGAAAACTGTTTTTAGGTATATACTTAATTTCCATGGAATATATTTATATGTTAGAAGGTGGCAAACGAGCTGGCGGTTCACCTAATGTTAAGTAATTACTGCCGCCCGTTGACAATCGCAACACCCGAAGATTGTAAATGCGTTGCCATGGCTACCTCAATCACCAGACGAAACGCAGAAAAAAACACACTTTACGCTGGTCTTCTACGCTGGCTATGACTTTATGGTACTTACCCAGACAGACCTGCCTATTCGTGCAACAGCAAAAACTGTTGCGTGGCCCTACCACAGTACTATTATAATACCACATACTGCATTTATATAAAATAATAAAAATAAGGAATATTTTGAGAATGAATTACGCTATGCGTTTCCTAAAAGAGCTTTGGAGATTGTCCAAAGCTGATATATTATCCGAATCAATGAAATGACATCAATTATGTTGAGATTTCATAGCGAAATTGTTAATTCATGCTTTACATTTTATTGCAGGGCGAATTACTGCTGATATGATAATTGTGAGTGATAACGCCATATTGATTATTACGTGTGATAGTTCGGGTAGCTTAGTTGCTGTACTATACATTAGATGGGTTCGATCGCAGCTCAGCGACAGCTAAACGCCTTCCAAATCATGGTATTGATCAAAACAGAATGTTGTTATTCTACATTGGTGGCCTTCGGAATTGCGGAATTGTACAAGTAACGAAGACCTCAGTACGGTGGCAGTTTCTACACCACTGTTTGGGTTTTACGTCTGAAACGATGATTTACCTTTTGCTTTCCAGAAAGCTCCACACCCGTTGCCACGGTTACCAAGACACCGCTGTTAACGGAAAACACGCCCAAAGTAAGCGAGCCTCTGCTACCGGACGACAGTGAGTGACATGTCAAATATTAGATAGTACCTAAGGTATTAACTATAAAGAAATTTTACTCGTGTTTGAATGTTTTTATCCTGCCGTCGAGTGAAACGCGTGGAAGACACGATTTTTTTTCAAAACGCGCCAAAATAAGTATCAAAACACTTCACTGCTCTTTTACATTAACCTAAAACTAGACATTATAAATGAAACTAATTTTACGTAACTAATTTTTCACCGTGACCGGGACAGTCTGAACGCTGTAAAGGGTTCGAAACGTGGTGAATTAAAATAAAAAATAAACGCGATAAATCCGTAAAATTAGTTTCATTTATAATGTCTAATCGCGTAAATACAAGAAATTATCATAAAACTAGACATACTGACAACTCGGATCTCATAAGTAGCAAATGTTTCGTCACTCAACCATCATACTTTGTGAAAACAAATAAATATATGTATGGATATTTGCAAAATATTTATTAATACCAATGAAACTAATCCAGTTGTGTTAAGTAACACCAATATCTTTCACTCGTCTATTTTATTAAAATTTTAATCATTACATCCCTTTTTTTGGACTAAAGCAACTAAAGAATAGCAAAGGTTCTTATTTCCAAGTATTTCTCCGCTACAAGGCCAAGATTAATTGTTGCCAATTTCCATTGTCTCTTCGGATCGGTTTTTCTCTCTTTCTCTTCTTTCCATATCAACGGTTTAAAATGACATCTTGAGTTTATAGCCTTGCCATTGTATTTTCATTTGCAATGCTCGTTATTAACCTTATGCCTAATTAAGTGTGGTTATGTTACGTACAGAACAACGTCATAACTGGAAAATTAACCATGACGATAGTGTAATGTATTTCTCTGCCTTATTAGTAACGCTTTCGATTAGCTGTTTCATTAAACTATAATATTAAAAACAAAATCCAATAGTGCATGTTTCTAGTTCCGGTAAAATATGATAATATAACTAGACTATAAAACTATATTAACTGTACTATTTTAATAGGCCATTCGGCGATTATTGTCATATTTGACCCAATACCGGCTATACAGGTATTCAGCCGAATAAGGTTACTGAGTGTGTTTTGTTGTACATAAAATACATCAGTAAAATGAAAAACAAATTTATTTTTTAAAAAAATAAAGATGTGACAAAAATAAACTTACGAAACCACGATAAACTATTAATTGACACAATTCCAAAAATAAAGCGCTCAGTAAAATAACTATGCAATGTACTACACTATTTATAACGGGATAGGCTCACATATTAAGCAATTACCTCATAACAAGTTAAATATTTCATTACAACGACTGCTAGTCTGAGAGAAAATATTTCTAAACGCCATAAATTTGTTTTTAAATCTTAGTGACTACGTGCTTTTTTGGTTTTATTAAAAAAGTATATAAAGACGTTTTTAGTTATTTGTAAAAAAAAACTGGAATTAATTGTATTATAAATACTTTTTGGACATTTGCAAGCTGTTGAAAGCGGCTAAATAGGTTTTCTCGACACATTGTGACGGAACCAAGAATAAAATATTTTGTACCTATATATTAGCAAATACAGAATTTTAATTAAAAAAAACGTTCACAAGAATGAATTATATACACAAAATAAGAGGGCACGCCCACTATGATTGTGATAAATCAAATCAATAACAACAAATGTATCATCAACTCCGGGAAAGTAAATAAATACGCGGAAAGTGAATAACACAGTGAAAAGAAAGTACTCGTCCATTCAATGGGCAGATAAGGTCCGTTGCCTATTACCAGCCGCATCCGCAGTGACAATATGCTCGTTGAATAGATGAAAAGGATGCCGTCGATTTGCCCGAGACGTTACGCTATCTTGGAAAGTTAAACACTGTTGCCGCCCGAGTTAAATGAAGCTATTGTGCGCTTGCATACGTCCGTTGAGTAGGGTCAACACGCACATTTTCGGACGCTGCCAGTGCATCTGTCAACCATACATTGTGCTGTAGCCAACGAAATACTGACTATTCGCCGGTGCTTATAAAGCTTTAATACTTAAAAGATTTTTATATGACGATAATTTTTATTGTGCTATTCTCAGCACTTAAGGTGAAATTAAAAAAAATCACGTGCCCAATTTTAAACATTTTTTAAATTAATTTATTTTAAGTATTTATCGAAAATGATCTCATCCTTCACAGAAAGTGCATTTAAACCCTTGGCGTATGAGTTATTATTATTATTCGAATTCAATATCGGAACCCACAGGCAATGATACTGAACTTGTTCTCGAAAAATACTTTCCACAGCTCTACTCTAGCATTTCTCTCATCATATGTTTACATATGACTTGTTTCAGAACCTTTGTTCGATTCGAAAATAATTTACGAGTACGTAATGAAGATGAGAATCAAAGATGAATCTCATTGTTAATTCACATTTTTGTTACGCAAGTAACGGTATTCTAATAAATAATTAAATCCAGCTTACATTACTCATATATATGTTTAATATATTTTAAGGCATCCCAAGCCCAGTGGCTTGGCACATCGACAAAGAGGTCAGCTCAAGTGTTTCTGCTAATAAAACCAAAATCACTTATAATTATTGTGTTAATTAGTTTCTGATCTAGGACAAGGTCCACAATTGGGCCTTAATAAACTTTGTAGAACTTGGTCCAGTTATCTATATCCCGTTAAAAGAAAATTAGAAGTTTTCAGACCAGCATATTTTGTTTATTATTATTTTTGAAATTAATACTTCTTTTGGCGCGTTTAGAAAAAAAATTTGAGAGCGCATCAAAAGTATTTTTTCGACAGCCAAAAGGCGACATGATTAAGATGGTTGCACCGCAAAGCGACCAACTACACGGTATTACCAATTACCATGGCAACCAATAACAACGTTTTTACATTATCTTATTTTTTATCATATCCTATCTTTTTTACATTAACTTATTTAATTAAACGTTATCGATGGCATTTAATGTATACACAAACAAAGGCTAGGGTATACATTTTTTAGATTTCTCTTTTTTTGCACTAAAGAAGTATAACTTCTTACGTGCGAAAGTACACACATATTTTATTAAATAACTTGAGTGTATTGCTCTCCATCACTTATGCAAACTGAGATAATAATAATGAGGTTACGTTAGTAACGAGGTTCTAAAAGCACCACTATCACAAGACTGAACAGTCCCTCTCGTTATGTTCCCATTATATCATGCTATGGATTGCTGTACGTCTTACCATTTTTTTTTTCATTCTAAAATAAAGCTCTTCTTTGTCGTTAAAAGTAAAGTAACGCACTACATATCCCACTGCTGGGCAAAGACCTCTCCTGTACAGAGTGTATTAGGACATAGTCGACCACGCGACCTTACTACGGATTGACGGACTTCACATGTCCTCGAAATATTTATTTTTTGCTTTTATTTCGAAAGTATGCAGGTTTCCTCGCGATGTTTTCCTTCGACGCAGAGCACTGAGAATTGACAATTTCAGTCAAATATTAATTTCAAGCAGCAGGACAATGAGCTATCACGGCTCAATTATATAACGTTAATTATTTTAATTAAATGAAGTAAATATACATAACATTTGGGCAGGATTACAATGCCATTTAAATCACAACATATTTTATAGCGTTCATAGTTATTGTAATAAGCAACTATATTAATTACAATATTCCTTATAGACATATCGGACGTGTTCAGGGAGACCCCGGAAATAATCAAAGCTGAACATAATTTGACCACATTGAAATACGTGAGTATATTAAATCGCTTTTCATTATATATATATATACATACTATTTAATACTGGTCCAAATGAATGACTAAAACAATTTTTGATCGTTATACTATCTCAGACCTTGATGTTTTTTCGTTTGACGAAAATGAAAATACAAAACTCATGTATAAAAGGCGTACATATATTTTAGAAGTTCTCGTTTCCACGACACGCCTTGCTAGCATTCCGAGCGATTAGAACCGATTTAATACTATAGCGTGAACTTCGAACCTCCACAGGACAACCACATGTTCTACAACAGCTCGTTCATCGGTAACGAAACATACGTGAGGGAATATTGGGCGAATATCACAGAGCCCAAGGCGGAAGTGCACGACGTACTGAGCAACTCGCATCGGCGCGCAACGGCAAGTATACTTATTAAAATCTCAGGTCTCATCTCGGGTTTAAATCTGTCTATTAACAGGTTTGCGCAATTCGTTGAAGTAAAACATTTTTAAAATTTTTCTTTAGTAAAAGTTCATGACACTATGATACAAATGAATACATTATTGATAACAGCCCTGGGAATGAGGTAAGCGCTCCTAATCTTTTTTTTTTCTTTTGTTTTTTTTTTTAACATTTATTCCGTAGGAAACTTTTTTTTGTATTTTTTTAAATTTTATACGGCATAATTTTTTTTAGAAACATATTTTGATGACTCCGTGGCGCAGTCGCCAAGGTATCGGCTTCAGCGTCGGGGGCGTGGGTTCGATTCCCACACGGGACAAATATTTGTGTGACCCACAGATAGTTGTTCCGCACGTGGGTTTGTCCGTGTGAAATTTATGTTTTTAAAAACGTCCTTACAACACAGGATAACGTTAACCAAAAGTATGGGCTATGTTTTAAAAAACAAATTTCGCCGTTTCCAGTATTCGAACTATAATAATTCGAGAAGATTTTTTGACTATTTATCTACAAATTTTAAAGTTCCATCTTAAGTGAAGAGACTAGTACTAAAAATAAAAGTTTGATTCTTCATATGTGTTAAGAAGTGGTTTTCTTTCGATTAGCCACCCTATTAGGGATAAAGTAGTAGAGCTATTTATGTTACAGTCAGCCCGGAGAGACACATAAAATATTATCTTTAGTTAACTTTGTCTGACACCGTGTAAACATAATGCAATAAAACAACCAACCAACAAACCCAAGCCAACATAAATGCATTGAACATGACACTTGTTTTTCGGGAGTATAATCAGGAGTTGAATAAAAAAGCTTAGAGCGATGTTAGCGACTTCGATTTGTAATTATCATAATTATGCACTGAAGTATCAATACAGGTCAATGACATTATGCTCGCTGTTATGATAAAATTAAATTTATATTTTTGGGTTCCGTATCCAAAGGTTAGACGGTTAAAATTTTCACAGATGATGTATTTCTGATGCTGTTATAATAACAAATACTAAAAAACGGAATAAAACCAACCAAGTGCGAGTCGGACTCGCGCACAAAAGGTTCCGTACCATTATCCATAAAACGGCCAATAAAAATCATGTTAATCATATATAAAATATTTAATTTACTGAGCCCCACTTAAGTATTTATTTTAGTGATTTTATATCCCTTTGTTAAAGTTAATGGTACGGAACCCTCCGACTCGCCTTTGCCAGTTCTTGTTGATATAACCTGTGAACTGCCGTTTGTTGTGCTGTGTTTTATCGAGATAATATTTCATCCAAAGAAACTGTTTACAATATGTGACTGTTCAACATGTGGAAAGGATGCCACCAGCGAAATGTGTTAATGGCGATTAACGCGAGGCGTGATTTGAAACCCACCTTTCGTAGAAACGTAGACACTTCTCTAGCGCTCCCATCATATATCGCATTTCGTTTCCCATGCACACCATAATGCTTACGGACTTTTCCCGCCGACTCGGCGGTTACTGCTTTTATCGCGAACTGACGACCCGAATGGCGTAGTGGGTAGTGTACCTGCCTTCTGCGCTAGAGGGTGTGGGTTCGATCCCTACTACTGGAAAAATAATGTGTGATGAACGTAGTGTTTTTCTCGTGTCCGTGTGTCTATGTATGTATTTATAGCCGTGATAGCTCAGTGTCCGGGCGCTCGCCTTTAATTCAATATACTCGAGCAACCTGAGTTCGATCCCCGGTGCCGGCACCAATGAAGTTTTCAAATTTAAGTGCTGACTTATCACGTGCTGCGCGGTGCAGGAAAACATCGTGAGGAAACCTGCATATTTTCGAAATAATAACGAAAAAATATATATATTTCGAAAATATGTGAAGTCCGCTTATCCGCAGTGGGGCCGCGTGGTGGACTATGCCCTGATACCCACTGTATAGAGGAGGCCTTTGCCCAGCAGTGGGACATGTATAGGCTGTTACGTTACTTTATTATGTATTTATTTACAAAAGAAAAGTAGTTTGGGACTAGAAAACGATGTGTAAAAATGAGTCCTAAAATATTTATTAACTTTTTTTTTATGTGAAAAGTTGCCAAACGAGCAGACGGTTCACCTAATATTAAGTGAATACCGCCGCCCATGGACATCTGCTACACCCGAGGGTTCCAGATGCGTTGACAACCTTTTGAAAATTGGGCTCCGGCCACCTCGCTCACCAGACGAAACGCGAAAGTAATATACTTCCACTTTACGCCGCTCTTCTGTGAGATCGTGGTACTTACCCGGACGAGCCTGCCCATTCGTGCAAGAGCCGAGACTGCTGCGTGGCCCTACCACCGTAAAATTTCCTATATTCCACCGTATTTATTTACTTACTAGCTGACTTGGCAAACGTTGTTTTGCCATATAAATTATTTCTAGGGAATTTGGAAGTGTTTGACAGACATAGTTGACAGGTTGACAGGTACAGTTTGTATGGGAAAATAAAATGGTTGCTATTTCGATTTTCCAAGCAATTTTTTTCCATAATTTCTCATCGTTTAAACCTTCCCTGGACTGCCACAAATATTTCAAAACCAAAATTAGCCAAATCGGTCCAGTCTTTCTCGAGTTTTAGCGAGACTAACGAACAGCATTCCATTTTTATATATAAGATTATTTTATAACTTAAGTGCGGGTTATCAACATTGTACTCGTTCTAGAGATAACATTTGTCGTTAGCGCCATTTACTCGTAACCCAATAAACGGCTAAATTATTTGATTTTATTTATAAAACCTATACGTTATAAATAAAATCGATATGTACACATCGGTATATGTATACGTAAACGTTATATCTATTACGTTACGCACTGTTCATGTCTTCAAATATTTCTACTTCAGATTAATATTGCGTTATATTCTTAGTGGTGCTATGGGGAGGCCTATGTTCAGCAGTGAACTCAAACAGGCTGAAATGATGATATGCTTAGTGTAATTATTTCGTCGTTTTGTCCTTCTCCGTTTACTTTGGCATCTAATACACTATCTTGAGTGTAGAGAGTGGTTTCCAACTCCATTATGGGGCATTCCACGCGAAGCGGACAGGTAAAAAAAGTTGAAGTCTCTGATTTTAGTAATATTTGATTATGTTATACCTATATGTGCCCTCAATCCAGATACAAAATATTTTTTCAGTATAAAATGTAGTTTACGATTTAGAGAGCTTTAAAAATGTGACTAACCGGCAGGTATGCGCCACTTCGAATCCCATTATCCGGTATTGAAAAGATAAATGGAAATAAATGAAGTAGTCAAGTGTATGCTTAATTTAATGAGCTTTCTAATTGCATTTGTGGATATTAAAAAAAATATTTTTTTTGGAAAAAAATCATGCTCAAACTTATTAAACTTGAATTTCACAAAGTTGGACCACTTTAATTTTTTTTTATTTTTTTTCTAAAACTAGTTAATAGTGTATAGATAGTCCTTGCCAAGTTGCATAATGGGCCAAGAAGTCGTTTAGGAGCTAGGCCATCTACAGTGTCGAAGGGTAGCGCCGGTGCCCGGATCGCGCCTACTGCCGTTTACATACGGACTGCCTACTGCCTACGTTTATATACGGAAAGAGGCTAAAAATCAGATTTGACTCCTCAATGACAATATCAAATTCAAAAAAATACCATGCCTTCGTTCTGACTGCTGAAGGCACTATGATAAAACGCAGAAATAACATGAAGATTCTTTAATAAACATTTATAAGTAATCGAAACATAATAACGTCGTTTTATTGTAAATTAAAGTACATCTAAGTAAGATCAAATGATTTATTAAACTCAATTAGGTAAACAAAATATTCTGTTGGATGTTTTGTAATCTAGCGTTAACTGGCAGTAGGCGCGATCCGGGCACCGGCGCTACCCTTCGACACTGTAGATGGCCTAGCTCCTAAACAACTTCTCGGCCCATTATGCAACTTGGCAAGGACTATCTATCTATACACTATTAACTAGTTTTAGAAAAAAAATAAAAAAAATTAAAGTGGTCCAACTTTGTGAAATTCAAGTTTAAAAAGTTTGAACATGATTTTTTTCCAATAAAAATATTTTTTTTTATATCCGAATGGGATTCGAAGTGGCGCAACCTGCCGGTTAGTCACATTTTTAAAGCTCTCTAAATCGTAAACTACATTTTATACTGAAAAAATATTTTGTATCTGGATTGAGGGCACATATAGGTATAACATAATCAAATATTACTAAAATCGAAGACATCAACTTTTTTTACCTGTCCGCTTCGCGTGGAATGCCCCTTATACTAACATTATAATTGCACCGTTCGTTTATATCCATCCAGACCTTGTGCCCATTAAGGCCACCGATAGGCCACGAACTGACCCAGGGCGCGCGGAGCAGCTCTAAGACCACTTCACCCTTCCAGACGCTGAAGCTGAGCTTCGACTTCCCGTTCTACGGCCACAACATCAGGAACATCACCGTGGCTACCGGCGGGTTCATCTACACCGGGGAGCATGTGCACAACTGGCTCGCCGCCACCCAGTACATAGCGCCGCTGATGGCCAACTTCGACACCACGCTCACCAACGACAGCCTGGTGAAGCAGTACGACGACGGTGAGGATAGCGCGTCACGTGACGTGATGTGACTTGATGTGACGTGTCGTGACGTCACACGGCCCGCCATGACCGCCCCCTCCCCCATATACTCGTGGGGAAGCCCGCCCGAGAGCTGAAACAGTTGATGATGAACAAAATTATGTTTTCCAATTTTGTATATCACACAAAATGGAGGGGAAATTTATAATTTTTCGCAATATAATTCGAACAATTTGATCAATTATACTGTTGTACTAATGAAAATATTAATTAATTAGTACCTAACAAAAGAAAAGTTTCTTGCACCATTTCCAAATTGAACAGATCACATATAAATATAATATAGCGATGGAAAATAAACTAATAAACTGTATAAGCCAATAAACTGTATTCTCAGTTTGGCGAACTTAATTTTTTTGAAACAATTGTATTTACTCTGTAATAAATAAAAATAAAAAAAATCAAAGCCCACATAATTATAGTCATCCTTGTTTTTTTTGTGTGAGAAGGTGGGAAACGAGCTAGGGGTTCACCTGATGTTACACTTAACATCAGGTGAACCCCTAGCTCTATGGTGGCAAATGGCATATGGCATATCATCTCACATGGTGGCAAATGGCCAGGGCCCACCTCACCCAACAGACGAACCGCAAAAGTATACACCTCCGCTTCACGCCGGTATTCTGTGAGGTCGCGGTACTTACCCGGACGGGGCTGCCCATTCGTGCAACAGCCGAGGCCGTTGCGCATCTAAGCGCATCAATCGTTTATTTAGACAAATAAAAACTATATATATATTTTGTATAGAAAGATATTTTCAACCCTTTACAATTACACACTTTTTTTCCAATTAAAAAATTTACGCCTACGCCCTTTCTCAGGCTCTAGACTATCTGTGTAGCAAATTTCATTTGAATCGGTCCAGTAGTTTTGGCGTGAAAGCGAGACGGACAGACAGAGTTACTTTCGCATTTATGACATTAGTATGGATTATTGTGTCGCGTCCACAGGCACAAAGTTCACCGTGATCTGGGAGAACGTGACACTGCAAGAGGATCCCACCAAGAAGTTCACGTTCGCCGCCACCCTGCACAAGTCCGGTGACATATACTTCACGTACAAGGACATCCCGATAGCGGTGCAGCAGATCAACGACAAGGAGCACCCGGTCAAAGTGGGCATCAGCGACGCTTACTTGAAGGACAAGTACCTTTTCAGTGAGTTTTTTTTTTTTTTCTTTCTTTTAACGGAGAAAACGAGCAGCCGGCTCACATGGTGGCAAATGGTATCGGTGGTAGGGCCACGCAGCGGCCCCGGCTGTTGCACGAACGGGCAGGCACGTCCGGGTGAGCACCACGACCTCACAGAAGATCGGCGTAATGTGGAAGTGTAATAATTTCGCGTTTCGTCTGGTGAGCGAGGTGGCCGGAGCCCAATTTTCAAAAGGTTGTCAACGCATCTGGAACCCTCGGGTGTAGCGGATGTCCATGGGCGGCGTTATCCACTTAACATCAGGTGAACCGAATAACTTTGACTTAAAAAAATTTATCACCGCCGCCCATGAACACCTGCGACACCGGAGAGCTTGCAAATGCGTTTCCGGCGTTTAAGGAAAGTATGTAAAAAAGTATGCTCTCTTCTTGGAGATTCCCAGGTCGTAACAGTTCGGAAAGACCGCCAGCGGCTGCTGGTTCCACAGAGTGGTTGAAATTCACACAACACCTTACGGCTTAGTGTTACTCTGGGTTTCGAAATCCAATGTGCCAATCTGCCAGCAAGCTATACTCAGTGTGAATTAAACGAACATAGTTGTGCGATCTAAATCCGTTTGATCGTGTTTTATCTTGATCCTCTTACGATATCCCGTATATAAAACAAATGTAGTATTAGCGTAAAACCGCTTTATTTGCTAACAAATAACCTTCACAGAAATGTGAAAATGTAGTGTAATGTGTGTGAATGTAACCAATATGGAATGTAGATAATTATGATGATCCATCTGTCGTCGATCGTAGCGCCATCAAGATCATAAGACAAATGCGTCTTCAACTTTTTATTCGTAGTCACTCTCTACTCTTTGAGGTCTGCTTAGTTGCATAAGACCTATATAGAAAAAAAGAAGACCGTAAAAAAAATATTGCGAAGATGTGTCGTCCGCCAATCCGCAGTGAGCTCGTATGTTTGACAGAGAAGACCTTCGCCCAGCTGTGGGACATATATTTCGATGATACACAAAGGAACTCCTTAAAATTAAACGGGAAATGTACTGTCAGGTTTTTGAAAGAGGCTTTATTTTTTCGGTTGAAAAAATGTTTATTAATGGATGCAACATATGAAGGTGTTAGCTTTATTTTAATATGCAATTTTTTCCTTGTCAACTTGTGTTTGGAGTAGTGGATAGTGGACCTGTGTGTCTTTTGCGCCTGTGTGTGGGTTCGATCACCACTACTGAAGAATATTACTAAGAATATTACTTGATGAACATAGTGTTAGTTATAGTGCTAGTGTCTGTTTGTTTATATAAGTTCAATGTGTAATTAGTCACAAAATAAAAAGTATGTTTTTCAATTACCTAGTAGAATGTTGTGTAAAAATATGCCCCGAATAATTGATCCTGTTTACGACAAAATGTTTGTCTCCCGTTTTCCAGACGTCAGACACAAGACGATCTACGAGTACCACCGCGTGTCCTTCAAGAACCACGAGATAACTAATAACACAATACTGAAGCTGACAGCGTTGCCCACCTGTATACAGTACAACTCCTGTGACACATGTACTAACCACAACACCGGCTTCCAGGTACCTGCATAACAATATCATATTAGGACATATACAGCGTGTCTTTACCATCGCGACAATAAATGAACACACATATAGAGGATAACTTTTTAAAATTGTATTAAAGATTTACATTCTTTAAACATCGATGTTTACCGAGTTATCAAATTTTCCAAAACAAAGAATTTTAGAACACCCTTACGTATAAAACTTTAATGTAAAGTTCATTTGTAAAGGTCACAAAGCATATGAATGGGTTGAATGATTTTAAAAGAGACAAAACATACCGTTAGAAGGAGAGGCTTGTAATGCGGCGCTGTGGCAACGAATGAAAAAGTCAGTTGTAGTTGTATAGGATGTTACAAATTTTGTTTCTTTTTTACTTAATTAGTTTGTTTGAAAAATATATTTTTTTAACGTTAATATTTTTTTTGTGATTATTGGCAAGTAACGTTAGATGTGTGTCGCGGTGGTAAAGTCACGCTGTATAAATGACCTGCCCTACATGTATGATGAATCATCATTCCGCCTGTTCGACTCCCCCCATGAGTATTAGGCCACCCCCACCACGAAGCACTGTCTGAGCTACGTCCATCAACTTCAAACGTATACATTTATTATTAATACTAGTTGTCCCAGTAAACGTTGTTACGCCATATAAATTATTTCTAAGAAAATTGTAGTGTAGAAAAAACTTTTTGGGGTGGACCACCCCTTATCACTTGGGGTATGAACATAAAATATGACCGATTCTCAGACCTACCAAATCTAATATGTAAAATTCTTGCGTCACAGTTTTAGTGTTTATACTCCTCCGAAACGGCTTGCCCGATTTTGCTGAAATTTTATATGTATATTTAGTAGGTATGAGAAAAGGTTTTGTAACAAATTTTTATACCCCTAAGTGTTAAGCGCCCTTAATCCACTGCTGTGTTGTAAGGACTTTTGAACAAACACAGACATTTTCTTCGGATCCGAGAGATCCGAAGAAAATGTCTGCGGGACCCACAAATATTTGTCTCGCGTGGTAATCGAACCCGCGACCACGCGCACCGAAGCCAATACCCTGGCAACTGCGCACGGGGGTGTCATCTTTGTCAGTAAACAGACTTAGACAATGGTGATAAACAAAATCGATTTGTCCATGTATGTGGACTGTGAAACAGCCAGCGATTTCGATGAAATTTTCAGGCAGTCCTCAAATTAGCCCAGCGGTTAACCTGAAGTTTAGTAGTGATGGATACAGCATAATTATTAACCTTTTATAATACCGACCCGGGGCGGGTCACTATGTGTATATTGTAAGATAAGAGTAAGAGAACTTAACTGTAAATCCACAAAAAGGGTGGTAACTTCCACATATCATGATGCTTTCTTATATTTTTCAAACACATTTCCTACGACCGTATTAATTTTGAAACTATAACTTTATGTATATAATGTTATAATAATGTTTTTCTTATGACGAATATACAAAAGAGAAGAATATGCTTAAGCAGCGACGGTCTAACTTGTGAACTGACATCACGGTCTCAATTCCCAGTCACGTCCGTAGATTTTCACTACATCGAAAAACATACGCATTTCCACCCTTTAGTGAGCACGTAGTTATTTAAGTAAAAATAGCATTCAATTAAATGTATTTTCTGTATGTATTCTAATGGCTTTTTAAAATCTCCCTTCCAGTGCCAATGGTGTGAGCAGATCCAGAAATGTTCGAGTGGCACCGACAGGATCAAACAAGACTGGATGGTCCGAAGTAAGCCATATTATCTTCCTTAATGTTCCCTCGCTTAATACTTCAAAAAAATTGAGTATGGTCACTTGCAATACGCGTACGTCTGTGACATTTTTCTATATCTGCTAGTCTGTTATTCGAGGCGATACCTATGTGAATATTAACAAAAAAGTACTACTGCTTATAGCCTTGTAGATATTGCATCTATATTAAGGAACTTTATTTAACAGTCGCTGTTGTATCACCTTTATTCAGTACACGTCATAATACAATACTAGACAATAGAATTATTACAATAGACCTAGGAATGATCTAAATTACTAACCAACCAAATCACGACAAACAGTTCAAATGGAATTCAGTCGATGTGTATTATGCTTGTGAATATATCTGGATTGTGGTGGCACAATAACGGTATAGGCGTCACAATAGCCATATTATACATATTATGGTCATTGCGCGTTATTAGAATTACACGCGCCAGACTGATGCCAACAATGGCGGCTTGCCAATGAACAGATGACGAAGCGTACACGCCATTGCGTTATTATATCACAATGTGCGTATCAATGTTCGCAAGCCTATACAGGGTGGCTTTTTTAAAGGTGCCCAAATCCACACAGGACGTTCAGACTCGAGTATAATCGTTGAATGAAATAAAAACAAACTTTATTTTTTTTTTGTTTAAAAAAAAATGCCATTCTATAGTCATTCATAAATGCGTCGTATATTTTTGAAACGAACTTGTGTGCGTGTTAGTTATGCATGATCGTGCGTAAAATAAATGAGTTGCCTATAAATGCACGCACTTTTTGAGTAAGTTCAAATGAATTTAATTAATTAATTACGAATGATTTTAAACTATTTATAATTTTTTATATAACATTGTTTATGTCTAGAATTTTACAATAAATGGATACACTTAGAGAAACACCCCTGTCTGCGGCAATCCTTATGGTGATAGGCAGCTGAGCGTGGCGTCGCTGTACAAAACTCACTAATCATAAGGCTGATTTCCGATTTTGTTCAGACTGCGACAAGTCGGCGATCACGAACTCCTCCTCGTGCCCAGCACATGTTCCCGTCAACGCGCCCGCAGAGAACAGCAACACCGCCTACACAACCGACGGCCAGAACAGCTCCGCCGTAGTGGTCAGCACTGGTGAGCTATCCCCCATAATAAGTTACCCATAGTTATGTTAAATTTGTCACACTACTGTGCTTCGTCTGGTGAGTGAGGTAGCCGGGGCCCACTTCATTAAATGGGCGGCGGTTATCACTTACATCAGTTGAATCGCCAGCTCGCTTGCCACATTCTCTCATGAAAAAAATGAAAGCTACAACGCCATAGACAGACAAGGTCTGCAACGCATTTGTAAGCCCTCGGGTGTTGCAGGTGTTCATGGGCGGCGGTAATCACTTACCATCAGGTGAGCCTCCTGCTCGTTTGCCCCTTTTCTCCATAAATAAAAAAATGACGAGAAGATATACAGGCAGACACGTCAAACTTATAACACCCTTCTTTTTACGTCGGAGTTTAAAAAGAAAATTAAAGTTAACAGCTGATGACTTAAATTGATCTTAATTTAAGTCATAAAATTAATGGCACACCTTGCGTTCGGTTTGCATGCGACATCATCTAAAAATGTACCGAATCATGATCGGCGAGTGTGCCCGCCGCTGTTCGCCTTAAAAAGCTTTCAAAATGGGAGCGGTGTCGGCCCGCTTCATGTTTAAAATTCGAACTCCTCGACGAATACTACTCACGCGCAGTGCACACGGAGGCGGGGGCGGAGGCGAAGGCGCCGCTGGGCAGGGGCACCGCCGCGCCCTCTACAGTACCGGGTGCTCGCTCGCCGGTTGGCGGCGCGGTGGCCGCCTTCGTCCTCGTAGCGATCGCCTGCTGCTTCGGCGCATGGGTCTTTTACGCCTTCAAGAACCCGCACACGCGCAGCGGCCAGTTCATCATCAAGGTACTCAAACCCCCCCCCCCCCCCTCATCACTGTACACTGTACGACCTGCTAGTAGCCTCGCGTTCGGAAGCCGCTTAACGAAACAGCCCATCTAAATTTAGGATCAATACAAATCCAGGTATTAACGCCCTACATAACTGTGCACAGAGCGGAGTCCACAATTAGACTGCGCTAATCCTTACTGGCTGTATCGAGGCCATGTCCAGACGTACTGAAACAATCATTAGATATCACCTGCGTTTCCGTTAATGACATTTTTAGTCAAATTATATTCCAATGTGAAAGTTGCAATTCCAAAGTTAATACAATCAATTAACGACGGACGAAATCATTACAAATTAAATTAATTTCGAAATCAACCAAAACGAAATTAATTAACACTTTTCTTAGATTATATGACGTCACTTGTTATTGGATTTGCTACAGCAGCACCATCAATTTCCGACATAGGTACATATAATTATCCTTACGATAATGTATTATTTTCTTACTCTTCGTAAATGGTTTAAATACATTTTGTTAAAGAATACTTATACCGCTCCACAGTACCGACCTTCCCAATGGGGATGGAGACGCGGTGAGGCGCGCTACACCGCAGCCACCATCCACATGTAAAACGCTCGTAGCGGTCAGGTAGCAGCGAGCGGCTACGCGTCGCTCAATAACGCTACGCATTAGCAAAAGGCAGCGCGGATCTCGTCCGATCCACTTTCGTGTTAGGAAAGAAATTATTTCCGGCACACTAACGACCGGATTTATTACGTAAGTAGTAGTTTTGCGAAAATAAATATAAAAAGAACCATCACCTGGTAAATTCGAGCCAATAGAGCTTGTTGTAAGAATTTGTTGCGATATTATGTATCTATATGTATTATTATGTATGTTATGTCTATTCATAAGCAAAATTAATAATATTCGTTACTCTGTAAACTCTATACATCTTTTTATGACTCTTCCAATGCATTACTCCCTAGTACAAAACTTCAATAAAAAATGTGACCGTCCAGGAATAATCTTTCTACCACTGCCAAATCTATAAGTTTAGGCTGCTTCTTGATTGCCATGAAACATTTCTTCCCAAATGCATTAAAAAACTTTTTTCTAAACACTGTCATCTACTGTAACAGTAGCATTTATTGTTCATTATACTCAATGTTATCAATATACCATTTTATAATGTACAGTTACATATTTATAATTGAATTCTCTAAATTAAAAAAAAATATATTCTATATATATTTTTTTTAATCTATAAAATGTAATTTTTTCCATTGTTATGAGTAATAAGTTAAAAAAAGCTATTTCAATTATAATGTTACATTTTAAATTAAGCTGTTTTTTTCCTACTATATTTATAGTCACATTTAAAATTTATAGTTCTTCTTTGAAAGGAAATCTGTTCCTCTTATAATAATAGTTTCTCATTTTCTATAATAATAATTACTCATTTTCTAAACAGGTTCTGTGAAATTGATTCTTTTGATAATAAAGTATTTTTCTACTTTCTCTACACATTGATAAAATATCCCTATTATTGTATAAAAATTTTACACATATTTTACATAATTATAATTTGGTTTTATACTATAATTCATAATCCCCAAATGGAATTTGAGTGATGATGGTATAAATTTAATGTTTCAAATTTTTAATGGTTGTAAGATATTGGTTAAATTCAGATACTTTATATTAATAGCATATCATGTTTTTTAAAAGTATCAAAAAAATATTGAAATCATTGGTTAATAAAATTACTTAAAAATAGTACTTAAGGTCCATATTGATTGGTGCAAGGTTTATTTGTGATATTATGAATCGGGAAATTTCAGGAATTTGCAACCTTTTTAAAGGACATATTTTTAAATTAAATTAATTTAAACTGCATATCCGGGCTTCCACAAAGAGCACATTTCTTAGGTGCAATTACCACACTACTATTTCTTTTTTGATGTTACTTTTTGACATTATATTTGTACCTCACTTTCTTTCTAAGTCTATGTATGATAAATTTTTAGGTATATAATTATAATTGCATATTCGTTTAAAATATTTTTTGTTAATTATGTTCACTTGACTATATTATATGTTTCATGGGTAAAGGGTTAGAATTGTTTTGGAAGAATACCTTTTCTAATCAACTATTTTGCATTTGTATACACGGTAGCTTTAAATCATACAGCTATGTCTGTCTGGGTTCTAAACTTTAAGGTTTTTTATTGCCTAAATTCAGACGTCTACACATACTTCCCTCCACATATATGTGCCTTACACATACTGTAATATTATAAAAATATATCATAAGGCTTTTGAATCTCTTTATATTTAGTTGCTGTATTATTTTCCTGGCTCAATTTACGATGAACTGCATACGCATATATTTAACGTCAATTTTAATTGTTAATTGCGGACCGGAACTATCAGCAGCCGTCTGTACTGCTTTTTGCACTTGCAACAAGCACATTCATCAAGAGATGTGCTTTGAGTTCCGTAAGACACATATCGGCAGCTCCGTCCTTGTATTTTACTATAGAAACCTTCTAGAAGATACCGTTTCAATTCTAATTAATAAATTTTCGAAGTGTATGTGAAATCTCCTCAATAATCTTTATTCATCTTAAATGGGTAGTTTTGCTCTTCGCTTTATTAGAATTTTATTATAATTGTAAAACGATGGTCTTCAAGTCTTACGGAACTCTAATATTATAATGTTTGTCAGTGTACAAAGTACACATGCAACTGGTTCTTAACATGTTTCTGTTATGAGATGGTTCAGAGTATTTTAAAGTTTCTTAAATAGTATGGATATGCAAAGTGATATTATTTGTATTTTTGTCATTACGTTAGTAAACATTTCCAGCTGTTTTCTTAAAGATTCTCATCATCAGGCGATTAACATAAATAAAAAAGCACACCAAAGATTTTTGAAAATACTACAAATCTTACAATTTCGTGTCTTTTGGGATGTGTAAGAAGTACGTACCGCATTGTATAATTTTCGAGTCCACTAGATTTATTTAGATGTTATATTATATACGGAAACTATATAAATAAATGAAATTTATTTTAAGGGCCCGCTCATGAAATATTTCTTGACAATAAAATGTGGCATTGAAGTTGTTGTTTTATTTAAAAAAAAATGTATTCCTCATTCCATAATTGGTTATAAAAATAAACATACTGCATCGAGTCCAAATAGCTTCTAAATCGAATGTTACGCATTCATTGTTAAGCGAACAATGGGCGATAAAAGAATAATTCGACCGCACCTGCGTAGAACTGTTTGTGCAACATTTCCCCACAGACGGTAAGACGCGACCCTATTCGATTGGCGACGCAAATGTATCGGCTAGGTGTGTGTTTGGTCCTGATAGCGGCGGACAGTTGCGGCGCGCGTTTGTTCTGCGAGAAGAGCAAGGCGCCGCTGGAGGTGGGCACCTGGGCGAGTGGCCTGAGGCACCTGGACTCGGCGGTCGTCGAGAACGGTGCGGTGTCCGTGCGAGAGGGACAGGTGTACGTTTACGAGAACTCCTTCCCCGGCCACGTGATAAGATACCTCCACGTGGACAACGTCGCGATAAGGTCATGCGGCGCCAGCGCCGTAGTCAAAAAGGGCGGCGTGGGCGCCTCCTCGGTTCTGATAGTCCTGCACGCGGCCGCCAACGAGGAGATCCGCTCGGTCGTCGACATCTGGGGCTCGAGAGGCCAAGACGCGGGCGCACCATCAGCGCCGAGCGAGGGCCCCAACAACATGAAGTCCATATACTTGTACGGGGATTTTCGCGCGATTAACCATAATAAGGGGTTCAAAGTCTCTGTATGAGAAACGGTGATTCCCCGTTTTTGAGATACGAGCATTCCTTTGAAGCGGTGTTCCTATTGAAATCGCCATAAGATTGCGTTCCGTGTGAATGTTATTAGCTTTTTATCATTATTTTTTTATTTTCTATTGGGTATATTGCGAAATAAAAATTCTGGTTGCATAATTATTTTTTCCATAAAGCTAATCCTAATCTCCTCTTACAGAATATAAAATAACATAATTTAGAAATTTTCTCCGGAACTATTAAAAGTACTATTTAAAGATCCAAGATTTCAAGTATTAACGCCTTAAACCTCAATTTTGAAAGGATGTTTGTTTATTATATATGTATGTAACTTAGAAAAGAAACGAAGTAATTTAACACTCACTTCATGCCGGTCTTTTTTGAGGTTGTGGTACTTCCCCGAACAGACCTGTCCATTCGTGCAACAGCACAGACTTACGTGGTTCTACCACAATTAGGAAATATTAAAATTTTAAATCAAATGCACACTGAAATGAAATAATAAATTGATAAGCTGTTTCTTTGCAATGTCGTTTCGTAAATGGCTACGCATTTATATTAAAATAATAAAACATGAAATAGAACACAATTGAGAACCGAAAATGCAATTGTTATACTACATAAAAATAATTTACTTGCATGGTGGATATTAAAGTGTGAGGTGGATATTAACGTGTGAGGTGGATATTAAAGTGTGAGGTCGATATTAAAGTGTGAGGTCGATATTAAAGTGTGAGGTCGATATTAAAGTGTGAGGTGGATATTAAAGTGTGAGGTGGATATTAAAGTGTGAGGTGGATATTAAAGTGTGAGGTGGATATTAAAGTGTGAGGTGGATATTAAAGTGTGAGTTGGATATTAAAGTGCGAGGTCGATATTAAAGTGTGAGGTGGATATTAAAGTGTGAGTTGGATATTAAAGTGCGAGGTCGATATTAAAGTGTGAGGTGGATATTAAAGTGTGAGTTGGATATTAAAGTGCGAGGTCGATATTAAAGTGTGAGGTGGATATTAAAGTGTGAGTTGGATATTAAAGTGCGAGGTCGATATTAAAGTGTGAGGTGGATATTAAAGTGTGAGTTGGATATTAAAGTGCGAGGTCGATATTAAAGTGTGAGGTGGATATTAAAGTGTGAGTTGGATATTAAAGTGCGAGGTCGATATTAAAGTGTGAGGTGGATATTAAAGTGTGAGTTGGATATTAAAGTGCGAGGTCGATATTAAAGTGTGAGGTGGATATTAAAGTGTGAGTTGGATATTAAAGTGCGAGGTCGATATTAAAGTGTGAGGTGGATATTAAAGTGTGAGTTGGATATTAAAGTGCGAGGTCGATATTAAAGTGTGAGGTGGATATTAAAGTGTGAGTTGGATATTAAAGTGCGAGGTCGATATTAAAGTGTGAGGTGGATATTAAAGTGTGAGTTGGATATTAAAGTGCGAGGTCGATATTAAAGTGTGAGGTGGATATTAAAGTGTGAGTTGGATATTAAAGTGCGAGGTCGATATTAAGTGTGAGGTGGATATTAAAGTGTGAGTTGGATATTAAAGTGCGAGGTCGATATTAAAGTGTGAGGTGGATATTAAAGTGTGAGTTGGATATTAAAGTGCGAGGGCGATATTAAAGTGTGAGGTGGATATTAAAGTGTGAGTTGGATATTAAAGTGCGAGGTCGATATTAAAGTGTGAGTTGGATATTAAAGTGTGAGGTCGATATTAAAGTGTGAGGTCGATATTAAAGTGTGAGGTCGATATTAAAGTGTGAGGTGGATATTAAATTGTGAGGTGGATATTAAAGTGTGAGGTGGATATTAAAGTGTGAGGTGGATATTAAAGTGTGAGTTGGATATTAAAGTGCGAGGTCGATATTAAAGTGTGAGGTGGATATTAAAGTGTGAGGTGGATATTAAAGTGTGAGTTGGATATTAAAGTGTGAGTTGGATATTAAAGTGCGAGGTCGATATTAAAGTGTGAGTTGGATATTAAAGTGCGAGGTCGATATTAAAGTGTGAGGTGGATATTAAAGTGTGAGTTGGATATTAAAGTGTGAGGTGGATATTAAGTATCACAAAAATAAACCACCGATAAGGAGCCTTCACTTTCCATTGTCAAGATTTGTTTGGATAATTGAAGTTTTACCTGTATTTTGTATACTGACAATTTTAAAATTGCTCGATTGCCAATATCGAATGGTTTGTGGAGGTTGATTGAACCTTTCGTCTTCCACTCAAAATGCGAATAAACACATTCCTACATATATTTTCGATTAAAAATATTCTTAAATCAGATCGTTATTTTGAAACTATAATACCGTTTATAACTTAAACGGTAAGGTGTTTAAAAATCAACAAATATAATCCCGTGCCTGGAAGTGGATATTATGTCAATTGAAAGATTGCATTCGTGCAAACATAAAAACCGATTACATTAGCTAAAGGTGGGTTTAAAAACAAAAAAAGAACACTCCCTACCTCTGAAAAAGATGATAGGAACGCTCATACAATTAAAACGGAATATATTTATAGCCTAACCTCAAAAATAAATTTCTGTACCATTTGTATCGGCTATGTGAATGTAAAGGCAAAGAAGGACATAATTTTACTTTATTCAAGTTGCAATAAGTTTAACAAAATAATTTTCAGTAATACATAATAAGAAACACCTTACAAACATCTAAAAATTTGTGACATGAAATTATCACGGTTTTGAAAATTGCAATTACAACACGATTATGTTTGATTCTTTTTTTTTTATTTATCATACGGCGACGATAAAAGGCGGAATTTTATAATATACTCTCACTATTTGTTCACAGATAAAATATCGTATGGAAAAATACTATCCCTGCGTACCATACTTATTTTTCGAAATTGGTTAACTTACATCTTTTAAAGAAAACCGGCAAAACCTAATCGTGTCGCAACCTCTTTTGGGTATTTCGCATTTGTTCGAATCTAAACGAAACTGACTAGATACAATAGTTTATAATACAATGCGATCGATTAAACATATAATACGTAATTAAAATTAAAATAAAAGGGTTTTAGAATACACTTCGTAAGTATTCTTACAGTACAAAATATAAAATAATATATGTGTTATTACACGATTCATATTATTGGAAAATTGTGCTTATGATTGACGAGATATTTAAAGCTTTTATGTTTTATGCTACAAGGAAAAGTTATTTTAAATGTATAGAACATAGCTTGATTGTGTATTTTTATAATCTCGTTATTACGTAATTCGGTCCTCTTAGAATGTCTGGCAGTCATAATAAATCACTTTTAATATTGTTTCAATCAAACCTTTTTACGAACACTACTTATAAAAAATTTATTAAATGTAGCCAAAGATTATGTTAAATTTTATGAAATATATCTCACGGCTATGTTATTTGGTTGGTATTTGTCTTTTAGATCATTTGGCAATATATTTCAGTTTATATTCTTTTGCTAAATTAATGGAGGAATCTATGATACACTTTGTAATGCGTAAAGCACATTTTAACTGCCAGATGGTTTTTTTTCGGTAACATTGTAATTGTTGACATTGTAATTAGAGACCAACATTAAAGTGAATGTAAGGAAAAATTTTAGGGCTTTTCAAAACTTTAGTAAGGCCTCTGCACGAACACTGCCATCTCGATGAGAAATAGAATACAAGTACTATATAAATAAATGGTAAGATTAAACATAATACTAATCCTAGGAAACACTTTATACGACTCAACGCTCAAGATCAGCGCGGTATATTAAAATGACTCGTGACAAAGATATCACACGCACAATAACATAAATTATCCTTTGAGCGTAAATGACTCGAAGAATATTAGAGGATTATGGCAATAATATATCAATATTGAACCGTTAAATATAACGATTCAGAAAATCTCGATGCGAAACGAATGACGTAATGTTGTAAGATCTGTATTCTATTTATATATCCAATACAACTACTTTTAAGTTGTATATGACCTATGCAAAAATCATGTGCACTGCGGGCTGGCGAGGCCAGTGCCAAGAGATACTTATGCACAAATCGATAAAGCTCATTTAGTTCAATTTATTCCGATAACGACGCCCTTACTATGGGCGATGTTTTATGAAACATTGGTCTGTTTTGGTTTTAAGTTTTATTTGAATTACGCCAGATGGGCTATGACTTATATATCCATCTCTAGAATTTGTTTACTAGCGATAGGTATTTGACATTAGCTCCATATTAATTAGGTCAATATTCTAGTAACCAAATTTATATAACTGGCCGTTACGCGGCGATGATTACGAGTCGGTAGTGTTGAGAAACTATTAGGTAGCGCTTAAACTAGACATTTGGTCGTCGCTGAACAATGCACTGAGGCGGCACTAGTCGACGTTGTGGAACTTCAGGATGGCGCGTCCGTTGATCTCCGAATTGCACAGTTTCCTCACCACCTCCTGGGCATCCTCCGCCGGGAATACCGAATGGGGCGGCGGCTCGATCTGTTGATTGAATGCGCACAGTTAATGGCCAATTTCCTTCGGGATTCATAAAAAATTACCTATGCACATCCCACTGCTGGCAAAGCTGCTGGTTAGAGACGGTATCAGGGCATAGCCCACCACGCTGTCCCACTGCGGAATGGCGGACTTCACATATCTTCGAGATATTTCTTTTGTTATTATTTAAAAAATACGCAGGTTTCCTCACACGATGTTTTCCGTCACCGCTTCAAGCACGTGTAAAGATTACATCAAGCACTTAAAATTAACAATTTCATTGGTGCCGCCACCGGGGTTCGAACTCAGGTTGCTCGAGTATATTAAATTAAAGGCGAGCGCCCCGAACACTGAGCAATCACGACTCCTAATAGGTAGATTGACATTTTTCACTTTAATAATTTAATTTTTTCTACATTAGTTTCTTCTTATGTTCTTATATAAGCACTATAAAAATACATAATTGTCATATAGCAAAAGCGAATCTATCGTTCGAATTATCGTTGTTCGTATAACAATTGCTTAAAATCCAATCAAAATGACAATTAAAATTGGTTTGTTTGTAGGTAGGTATGTTACGATATCCCGAAGTCGATTATAAAGAATAACTTGGCACAGAAGTAATTTACTAGTTTTATAGTTATTCATTAATCATCATATTATACACTGATATTATATTTAAACTGAGTAATATTGAATTTCTTCAACAAAGCTAAGTTTAACAAATGCCCACAACATTTGTAGATCACGACGGAGGAAAAATGTGAAATCGATAAAAATTTGCCGATGTCTGTTTTTATGAGCCGCCATTATATAATTAAATCTTAGAAAATGAAGGTTTGATTGTACTTTAAGTTCAATCCTCTACGCCCCAGGAAATTAAAATAAAATATTTCTGGGCCGATGGATTCGAACCTGCGTCAAAGTCAAAGATCTTTATTCAATATAGAAGCATACACTTACTTATGATAGTCAAAAAAACTCTACCATCGGTTCGGAAGGAAAGCCTAAGAAGAATCGGCGTAAGAAACTCAGCGGGATATTTTTTTTTATTTTTTTAACTTGATAAAAAAAATTACAAATATGTGTACAATTTATTAAATTCTACTTGAAAGAGCCTGGAGCGATCAATTCATTTTCAGAGTGTGTTATCATTCAAATGATCACTAATACTGTACTAGCCATTAACACACAAACGTTTCTTTGCAAGTTTTTTGAATTTAGCAACGGATTGATTTTGAATGTTTTCTGGGATTTTGTTGTAAAAGCGTATACATTGTCCCATAAAAGATTTACATATTCTACGCAATCTAGTTGAGGGTAGAACTAATTTATGCTTCTTCCTAGTATTTACATCATGCACATTAGTAAATCTTAAAAAGTCATTCTTATTTTTGTGGACATACATAACATTTGCAAGTATGTACTGAGAAGCTACTGTCAATATTTTTATTTCTTTAAACAAGTTTCTTAGTGAATTAAAAGCGTGTTCCGGTAATCGCATCCAGGCGCTGGACGGACGGATCCAGGAAGCTGAGTGGAGCGATGACCTCACTGATTATTTCTTATTCCTATATTTTGAAATTGAAATTTTAACCTAACTATTATAAGTCCTCGTGTCCGAAGAGAGGTAGCAAGCTGGTATCGACTGTTTCCGAGAGATTTTTAAAGTATGTAACATCCAGGCCGACTAAAAGGGACTCATGGAAAAAAACCTTAATTTCTTATACCTGAAATGGCATAATTATAAATGAGAACCTTACATCTTTGGGCTGGATATCTCAAATCTCTTTGTTTCATTAACTAAATTTCATAATAATTTCGCTTGTACGGTAGCAAAAGACACGCAAGTAAAGCACACACCGCCAACGCATGCCAATTCGATCTCCGCTAAACACAACAAAGGGGGCTATTGCATTATTTATTATGTTAAACTGCTCTCAGTCCCTGGTGTAAGGTCATCGATCACGGGCGACCTGAGATTTTGCAGCTAAGTTGTTATTCGCCAGCCGCTATCGGGTGCCTGGGGCGGTGGCGTAAGTCATGCGCTTAAGCGATTCAATTGCGGCCAGTCGTCGCTCTAGCGAATCAATTGCACCGGACTCGGTACATCGCACCGATAAAGTTCACATTGGCCATGAACGATTATTTAACGACGTCACGCCGATTAAATTGGTAGCAATTGGTCCACCGCCCGCTGATTGCATCTCATATACGACGTTTCGTTGCGTTCGAAGCGATATCGAGCGATTCCCGAATAACATTAGACCCGTATCCTCTCCTAAGCGATACATTTCACGCGTTTTGTATGTAATGTAAGCGGTATCCTATCTGTCGCCTTTTGGACGAAATTTACCTAAATGTTTGGTGGAGAAAATATTGAGCAACAAAATATACAAGTTGAGAAGTGTAAACATGATGAAGCAACTTTTCTTTTTAATTAACAATTACGAAAGGCATTCAGCTAGCTGATCCGATGTATTTCCATATTGGTACAAAGTACTGTCCGTGCAGTTTCTAAACACATGTACATGTAATATGCGAATAAAATAGAAAAATCTTACTTATACAGCGTGTCGTTACCACCGCGACAATAAATGAACACACATATAGAGGATAACTTTTTAAAATTGTATTAAACGTTTACATTCTTTAAACATCAATATTTACCGAGTTATTAAATTTTCCAAAACAAACAATTTTAGAACATCTTTAAGTATGAAACTATAACGTAAAGTTCATTAGTAAAGGTCACAAAGCATATGAATGGGTTGAATGAATTTAAAAGAGACAAAACATACTGTTAGAAGGAGAGGCTTGTAATGCGACCCTGTGGCGCGAGTTGTATAGGATGTTACAAATTTTCTTTCTTTTTTACTTAATTAGTTTGTTTGAAAAATATTTTTTTAAAATTATGGATTTTGTTTAACGTTAATATTTTTTTTATGATTACTGACAAGTAGCGTTAGACGTGTGTTCATTTATTGTCGCGATGGTAACGACACGCTGTATAAGTTTTTTGGGATTCAATCATACGAAAAGTGCATTAATGACATCTTTCCGGCAAGTACTATAAGACCACAAGTATCCATACTGTACACTGTCTGGTGTTTTGTACACTACGCATACAATGATACTTACGGCATTGGTTGTTTTTATGGGTATTTATTATTATATATAAGTATTTTCGTGACTACGGCATCCACCAACCGAGCGGGTCGTCATTTATTAAAATATGTTCACGGTTCCTTTGTCTAGAGACGAATCAGCGGCGAGCAAGTTGGGCTGGTCACATCGGGAACTCTTTATTATTCACTTTATGGTGAATGATAAAGAGTTCCCGATGTGCTAATGCCGCCGCCATATTCGGGCCTTGAACCCAATGGAAGCTTACATTAAACGCAAATATCTTCCCGTCTGGCGCAATGCGGCTGTCCAAGGCAGGAGTACAACAGGTATTTACGGAGCTGGGGCTTACAATATTATAATAAGTAAGTGCAATATTATATTAAAAAATATTATATGCCAATTATAAGTCACCGATTTCCGCCTAATGAGTGTGATATGAAGCGAACAAACGATGGTGACACACGATCAAATTAAATTCAAATATCTTTCTTCAATACAGAAGCATCGTTACGCTTACTTATTGAATGTCAAAAACACTACTACAGTCTCGGAAAAAAAGCGACTGGCCCGAGAAGAGCCGGCTAAGGAAACTCGGCGGGACTATTTGAAGATGATCGAGTACTCACCTCGCCGCTAGCCACCAGTTGAACCAATTCCTTCAACTGTTCTATGGAGCCGTTTGGCACGACCACAATGTGAACCCGCATCTCCTCCGCCTTCTTCGCGAACTTCGGCATCAGCTTGTCACCGACGTCTTCCGTCACCAGGACCATTCCGCCCTGGGGGAAGAGTGCCCAATTTTTTTTAACGGAGAAGGTGGCATACGAGCTAGCGGTTCACCTGATGTTAAGTGCGTTCGCAACAGCCGCAGGGTTGCAGATGCGTTGCCACCTTTTGACAAGAGGGGCCCGGCCACCTCACTCACCGGGCGAAACACAGAAGCACTTCTACTTGACGCCGGTCCTCTGTGAGATCGTGGTACTTACGGACGGACCCGCCCATTCGTGCAACAGCCGAATCTGTTGCGTTAAGTTGCCGAAGTAAGAAGGAATACCACCATCAGCCATCCGCGTAGCGAAGCGAAGATTAGTTGGAACCGGACATCGAATATTATAAGAAAAAGATCGTTGGGATTACTTGTTTTAATTTACAATTCGCATTGGGATTACGAAACAAACAATTCCAACCGTCCTAAATCTGTCTGAGGCAATTAAATTCGCAAGCGCGTTTATTTTTGACCTTAATCTGCATCATGTTCATTATACTTTATATTAAAGATGGTGCAAACAAGCGAGAAAACACAATTTATCATTACAAGGATATTAAAGGTGTAGTGGTTATATTTATAATTCTATAAATAAAATCGCAAAGGGCGGCGGCACAATCCATAAAGATATCGCTTATAACCAGATATGATGTCACCTTCAAATGCAAGTTAGGTTAAGGCAGTAACAGATTTACTAGGTTTCTCAATATCAAAGCCGGCGTTCACTTTGGAAGAGAGCTGTCGGCTGTTGGGAGCCAATGCAACATCCAATTCAATTGGATGGTGCCTTGGCTCCTAGCTTGGATTGTCGTACTGGACAATGAAATCCTCATACGCTATTAGGCGTGGCTTCGATATCCAATACTAGAGCAATATTGTAAAACGACTATGTTGACATAGGCGTTTTCTAGTGCCTGCGTCTTAATGTCTACACACATGTTACTTATACAAAAGAAACGTGATCCTAGGTTTATTTATCAGTGACCTAGTATCCACAGTGAAAGCTTTGCTTAACTTCACTTACAGTATAAAACAATGTCGTCCCGCTGTATGTTTGTCCCTATGTATGCTTATATCTTTAAAACTACACAACGGATCTTGATGCAGTTTTTTTAAATAGATAGAGTAATTAAGAGGAAGGCTTATATGTATAATACATTGCACCCGTGCGAAGCCCGGACGAGTCGCTAGTTAACTATATGTAGTTAACGCTGTAATATAATTATTATATATATCGGAGGGGTGCTAACTTGTGACGTGTGTGGCCGCACATTGGTTAAAAAAATCGGCTATGTCAGTCCGAGAGCGCATCAGCGACGCTCTCAACGTTAGAAAATACTCGCTCTAGCCGAACACGGCTAGGATATATATATATATATATATATATAAAAGCTGTAAAAGCACCGCTAAATTAGGACTTGATATGGTTGATTTAAAAATGGGCACCGCCGTTACGTACCGGGGCGAGGCACTGCAGCGAGCGGTGCAGTGACCGCGACGTGGTGCCAAAGTTCAGGACAATGTCGACCGGTCCGCCGCAGGCGTCCGTCGTGCGCTCGATCAGCTGCCGCTCGTACAGATCCTCGCTCCACTGCACCACGCTGATCCTGTCGAGTTGCAACACGGTCGGTTCATGCGCGGTCACGGTCGGTTGCATGCTCGCGGCTCGAGACGAGGCGAGCCATATGGGAGTTTTTTTTTTTCTCTAAAATGTCTACACTCTACGGACCCCAAGTCCGTACGCCTATCTGTTTTTACTCGTCGCATTTTCATCTAAAAGTACTCTGTACTCTTCGCTGTAACGAAACAACTGATTGGATACTTAAACGTACGCTTAAGCTATTACTGTAGCGGTGTTTTTATTTTATTGCTAGTTCCACTTTGACCGACTAGGACTTGGTACGACTCACTTGTCGCTCTCCTTGGCGAGGGCGAAGCCCTCGTCCTTGAGCGTCGCCACCGTGGTCCTTATGCGGTCGTGGTACTGGCTGCGCTTGAAGTGGTGGGTGGCGATTCGCAGCGCCCACAGCGCCAGGCCGCCGGTGCCCACTATGAGCACCGTCGCCGTGTCCCTGCGCTCGGGGCCCATGAACACGGTGTTCAGGCACTCGCTCGCCATCTGAACCGTGTTGGTCGCGAGCAGCGCGCCGGTGGGCAGCATGGCCGCGACGCTCAGCGGCAGGCGGTCGGGCACGCGCACTAGGCACTTGAAGTCCGGCACAACTATGTAGTCAGCGTAGCCGTGCGGCACCCCCTCGTAGGGGTACAGCACGATGCGGGTGCCCTCGGCGATGCCGTCGACACGCTCCGCCGCCTTGCCCACGGCGTCCACCACGCCGGCCACCTCGTAGCCGGGGAACAGGGCGCCGTCGCGCAGCCCCTTGTGCGCGGGCGTGGCCACGTGGCAGCCGTACGCCTCCGTATCGCCGCCGAGGCTGCTGATGGAGGACACGGAGGACGTGCTGCACACGGACGCGGAGCGCGTGCGTGTTGCGCGGTAGCACGCGCCCGCGTACGCCACGCGGATCCTGGCGCCGTACATCGGCACGTCGGGGACGGGCACGTCGAAACTGAACACGCACTCCCTGAGCGCCGGCCCCGGCGACTCGATCGACACCTGTCTGCACAGCTTGCTCATTGTTCCGACGCTCGCGCTGCGAACGTAACACAAGCTTAGGCGACGGATAGAAACGCCAGCGTTGGGCGAACGGATGTGATGGAACGGAACGGACGTTACCCTTTATAACTGCGATAGAATTATTGTTTGCCACGCTCTTTAAATATTTGCTGGACATTAGTGATTTGTGTAATTACTAATGCAAAGTATATATAATTAATACAATACAGTAAACAATAGCTAAAAAAGTCTTATTAGCAAGATAACAATATCATTAAATGTAATTTTCATCCACACAATTTTTGGGAAGCTTAAACATAAATCACTGTTGTGTCTTTAAGATAACTGAGAAGTACATATTCAAAAAACTTATAAAGCCTTAAGTATTTTCATTAGTTAATGCATTAGTAAATTACAATTACTTTGACAATAGCTTGCCACATATTGAATCTTTAACAAAATGTAATGAATGCATCTTTCACAATTTCAAAGATTTATTCCATAATTTAATATACAGTGTAAGCACTTAATAACATTGTTCATTATAATGAAAAACTCTTTATTACAAAAAAAATTGTTCAATTTGGTTGGTTTACCACAAAACCAATACATTAATTCACTCTTTATAATGCAACTGCCTTTCTTTATCAGAAACAAATATCTTCATATTTAAAATAATATTTGGATGTCATATGACATATTTAACAGTATCATTATTTTTATAATCTGCTTACAAAACTAACAAAGTTCTCCAAAAACTGTGTCAGTATTTGGAGAACTTTCAAGTGTTCAACTTGAAAGTTCGCCAAATACACACACTTGCCCATTTTTCTCTGAAAGGATATCCATTCTGCCTTCTCAAATTTTAACAGAACATCTGAAATTCTTGGGCATTTAAACGGAGTCCGCACTGTCAACCGCAACTTATGTTTTGAGACCAGAGATAAGAACGCTTCTGTGCGGCGTTTATTTCTTCGCTTTAGTTCCCTGAGTAATGAGAGGAAGGGTTTCGAAAATCTCCAGAGAAAATAGTTTGACGTTCCCCATTGGCCTTTCATCTCGGTGTATGTACTGTAGTGTTCTGTTAACGCCCTGTACAGGTGATCAATCAAAATTCACTCTCAGTTTACTTTTTTACTTTAATGTCTATAACCTATAACTGACTCGAAGTGCGAGATAATTAATGAATGGCGTCTATGGCGAAATGGGTATCAGCACTAAGTCGTTTTTGGTTTTCATTAGATTGATGAGATCAAATCGTTCTCATTCTTTTTAATTCTATCGAGGCATTTTTGTAATAAATACTAAAAGGCAAAATAATTTCCAAATATCCTAGCCTAACCAAATCTATATTCCTAAACAGGGACAGATTTGTCCGTTAGTTGCCCCTAGGCTCATTAAAGATTAAAAGTCTCCCTGGAAGGCACAAAAAATTAAACAAAGACAGTTTGTACATGATATTATGGAGCCGACGAATGGTACCTACTTATCAGGCCCGCTTGATTTGTTATAATTTTCATGGAATATCGCCTACGCAAAGAAGCGAAAGGCAAGCAACGCTATTAAAAAGCACCACTAATTTGCGGTCTATATAGAAATCCACTACTGTTCTCAACAACTAACCAAATCGCAAACCAAAATCAAGGATATCCATATACCAAGTTGAACTAAAATCGTACCTATCTCAATCCAAGAAATTCGCATTATTATTTTTAAAATGCAAATGATCGGCGCTTGTCCCTTAATTAACTTGTTAAAATATGTATACATCGCTTTATCGTGAAGAACGCGATCTAGTTTTTGCATGGGAACTAATTCCTTATTGTAACTTACCTATGCTGGACTGTAATTCTACCAATTGAAGAAATTGTTAATAAATAATTAATAAAGTTTGATTTTTTATTATGAAAATTCACATTATCATGGTTAACTTTTATCACTGATAGTACATTTTGTATGGAAGGTAATTTTTTGTATTGGGAGCTACTATGACATTTGAAAAAATTAAAAACTGTTCCAACTGATCCAGTAGCTAATAACGTGTATATTAAGTTTAAGCAAACTAATAACGATGAAACGATATTTAAATATTGCGAGGAAGTTGTACTGACGTTGTACTGTCAAAAACCCCGTAAAAACGATGCTGCTTTGTGAGTATTCACGTAACTTTCTTTTGAGTGAACAAATAGCAATAAAACAAAGCTTTTAATGTTGCACAGAATTAATCTTGAATACTTTCAAAAACATCATACAAATAAGTCAAGTAGTTGGATAACTGTAATAACTAACTGTTTCGACTGCACTGCTTTAATCTTAGAACTCCAATATCTTCCGTTTGAGTGAACCAATTGAGATGAAACAAAGCCTAAATATTGCCCCTAGCTTTGCTAAATAACCAGTGAAAACTACATCTAAAACCGATAAGAATTTTCCGAGTTTATCGCGCACAGACAGACAGACAAAAATTCCAAAAATGGTTTTTATGTTTCCTATAACTCTTTATGATACCCTATTTCATTTTTTCATAAATATATTAAATGTACAGACACGCAGATTCTACTCTTTTATTATAGTATAGATTTCTCTTCCTTAGGTCCCTTGAAATTTGTTATAAAGAGATCTCCACTGTATATGATTTATTTTATTTTTATTATTCTTTCTATATTCATTTAGGTCCTGGCTTTAAAATTATTTACCTCAATATGAATATTGTAACTAATTAATGGTTTTTATAAAAAGAAAATATATAGCCTTAGCTTGCTTAAGACATAACAAAACATTTTATAAGTTAAATGATTTCTAAAACTTGTCCTGAGTTTAAAAAATTACCAGTTATTAACAAATAAAAAAACTTTATTTCTTTAGAGCTTTCTTCTGTCAAAGTGGGCTTATCTGTTACTTTTGGACATACTCATAGGGTCACCTGTTCTTCAATGGTGTATTGAAATAGCTTGGAAATTTGAAATCCAAAATTCAAAAAAATAAAGAATAAATTCAAAGAATATGAAAGATGATAGAACAAACTACAAATTATAAGATAAAATAGACTAGTTCATACCTGAAAATATTTGTTATAGAAGATGTTTGACTTATATAAGTTACTAGCTGATCCGGCAAACATTGTTTTGCCATATAAATGATTTGTAGGGTAGAAAAAATGTTTGGGGTGGACCACCCTTAACATTTAGGGAGATGGGAAATAGATGTTGTCTGATTCTCCACCCTGGCTGATATGCACACAAAATTTCACAAAAATCGGTTGAGCCGTTTCGGAGGTGTTCAATTATAAACATAGTGACATGAGAATTTTTTAAATTACATTATATGCAGAATTAAATTTTATTCAAAAATTACAAAAATATTGAACATTAAAAAAATATTTAATAATGAGGGAGAATATATTAAAATATGCTTAATAAAGAAACCATATCAATTTTATTGGATTATTATTAAGATACATTTAAAATGCAGAATTACAGGAAAATTATCCACTTTTTTAGCCAGGGTGGAAATCATTTTACCTTGAAGAATATGTAATTACTTTTAAAATACACATATTTACCTTAAAAAAAATAAAACGTCGAACTACAGGTTGCTATAGGTCATATGACGTCCAAATATTATTTTAAATATGAAAAGAAGACACTTTGTTAGTCTCAATTCTAAAAATAGCAAGAGGGCAAGAAAGACGCGATAACCTGCTAGCACCTTTGCGTGTTTTGAATGTAGCAGCCAACGGCTACCGTAAACAAGGACAATCAATGTATAACGACTGATCACATAAACGCTGAGTGAGAAAACAAAAGAATGCGAAACGTAATTATATAAACATTGTTTTGACCTTCCTCACTCTTGAAGGTCACTATTAGCTATTTCATAAAAACTTACCGTTACTATATTGATATAGTAATATACAAACTATAAATACACAATCAAATTTCAGTATAATAATATATTTACGTTTGAATGTAAATTACGACTGCGTAAATTATATAAAAACACATATATACTTAAGTTTCATGTTAACAGTTACACCGTATGTATGATATATATTTACCTGACTGTCGGAGAACGCTTTTATTATTTCAGACTTTGCTCCCTCGAGTAATTTAAAAATATTAGGGTTTTATTTACAAGGACATATGAAATCAGAAATACCTATGACGTTTGTTTAACGTTCCGTATAATGAAGCTTTTGACTTATTATTGCTGTTTTTTATACATAGATATATTCTCTAATTATTATTACTATACTATTATATATGAAAATATTATTATAATATCTATAGTTGATAATTACTTAACATGTAATAATATCCTTTTCCTTTTAACAGAGTTAAGAGTAGTTACGAACTTCAAAATAATAGCCGGGCGACTTGCTTAGTTTTCTAATTGCTTTTATCATGTAGTCATTAATCTTATATTAAAATAAATACTGCACGAATAGTAGTAGCTGGTTTAAATTTATTTTTTTTAATTTCTATAAAACATCGTGTATGCATACTTTGTAACTTAGAAAAAATTGGGAATAAAAACATCGCATCATCACCATTATCATGTCCGTTTCGATTGAGTCTACCGCTGAACATAGGGTTCCCCTAATTAGAAACGTAGCACAATCCTGTGCCAATTGTATCCATCGATTTTGCGTACATTTGTACAGAATAATTAATCAACGATCATAACTAAGCTGATTTTCTATTAAATAACAATAAATACACGGTGCAAGCGATTCAAAAACCTGGTACACAAGCAATTCAAAAAGATATCGATTACTGAAAATCAGAAATACAGAATAAGGAAGGATTTAATGTTAATAATAAATGTAAACAATGTAAAAATTTCATTAAAAATTATGGGATTGACTAGACGTGTACCACACTGAATTAACATATAATTTGGCAGACTTATGATTCAAATACATATGCCTAAACAAACAATGCAGGACTCTAGACCTAGCATTATTTCACTAATATCAAGAATGGCAACACACATCGGCGTGGGTTTAGATAGTATTGTTAGCGTGGGTTGATTGATAATTATTTACTAAAATTCTTGTTATAAAGTGTAATAAAAGTGCTATACTTAAAATTACAAAACACAGCATGGGTGAGTTGATTTAATTAATCGTATATGATGCGACTCGGCTTTTGCATTGTTATTGATTGATGTCATTTGTTCGGAGTGGCCTCATCACTATTCTAGTAGTTTTTTTGTACCTTAGTATGTGCATAAAATGGAATATAATTTTGAAACCGAAGCGAAACTTTGAAATATTTACAATTTTACTGGACCACGGGATCTCTTTTCAGTATATCATGAATACGACGCATCATTGCTCGTCGAGCGCCCGTAGATTACGATCGACTTCTCTGTGTTGAATCGAGTGTCACAAAATTAAGTGTTCAGTTCTTTTTGTCAAAGGCTTTATTTTTCTTATGTAATGAAGGGTGCAAAATAAATACTGTTTTATTTGTTACATCAACCATGGTTTGATACATTCTTAATTGCAAGACTGTTTTCTTAAAAAATAAGGTAAATACCTTGTTTAATTTTAAATTTCACTGATTTAAGATCAACCAAACGAGATATAATACAATCATATTGAGTTAAATACAATGAAGTTGTTTGAACTATACTATTGTTAATTGATTGCTACATTAATAACTTTATTTATAGTAATGTTTGTCACTATTAAATTTGTTTTGATGTTCTATATTAAACAATGTGTATTATTTTTGTACGATTAATACATCATCAGGAACTGTGATGATAAAGCAAGTGACTACTATTCACATTATTGCTTATTAAAATTTAATGTCTACATTCTGTTTTAGCAATGAGTAGTAAACAAGACTTAAATATTTTATATACCTTTAATAATAAAAGATTTTGTTGTGTGTCTGTTTGTGATATCCATAATTTAATAACTGAAAAACAAAAAAAGTTCTTATCATGCATTATTTATATTTATTTTAATTGGTGCTATTTCTAGCATTTGCGAAAGTATTCACTGCAACTGCACTCTTAATTTTAAACAATGCCATATTAAAAAAGTAATTGAAAGAAACAGAAGTAAATAGTGGTTGATGTTATTAATTGCTATTGCGAATTTACATCACAGCTGATTCATAATGATCCCTTTTGTATCAGTTCTTTACTTTAATATCTGACATTGTCTTTTCAGTAAGGTGTTTCTTCATATTTTAACCAAGATATTCAAGAACATAAAGATAAAGGTAAAGGATATTTAACATCCTAGTTTTATTTTATCCATCATTTATAGATTAAATAAATAATAGATCTACATGATATAGTTTCTTCATTGTAATAGATTTTTGTAATTTTGTTAATATCATTATTTAAAGTAATTGTTTCCTTCCTAATTGTCACAGGCATATACCATCATGTCGCAACAGTACAGCCTCCGGTGGAATAACCACCAACCCAACTTCATTTCTATGTTTACTACACTTCTAAATACACAGACCCTTGTTGATGTGACCCTAGCTGCAGAAGGCAAGCATTTGCAAGCACATAAGGTTGTGTTATCTGCATGTAGTACATATTTTCAGGTAATTTGTATAACCTTAAAACAATGAATACATTTTATTATGATGGCAGGAATGTAAGTATAATTTTTTTAATGTTTTAGGCACTATTTGTGGACAACCCTTCTAGACATCCAATTGTTATTCTTAAGGATGTCTCATTCTCAGATTTACGCACCATGGTAGATTTTATGTACTATGGTGAAGTAAATGTTACTGAAGAACAACTACCACAGGTAAGACACCAAATTATTTGAAATTAAATCTCCAATAGTTCTTAACATACAAAATATGTCCTTAATATATTACTTAATAGACCTTTTTTACTATTGTACATAAGTAAGGGTGCCAAAATATCCCTTACATTTATTATTATGACTTTACTAGGTACTTGATACAGCCAAACTGCTGAAAATAAAAGGATTAACTGAGATGCCAGATTCAACATCTCTTACGCGGTCACAGGGGACTTCTGCAGATTTTCAATCCCCAGGAGACTCCATAGACTCACAGAGGCATTCTGCATCACCTGCAGCTTCACCATCAAATAAGCGTAGAAGGTATGTTTATGTTTCACTATTGAGAACCAATTTAAAATTCTTCAAATACTATTTTAAACTTTATAGGAACTTGTCAAATATGAGAAGACACAGCGCTTCTGTGAAATGTAGGAATATATAAAATTTTCTTAGATACAATCCTAATGGAAATATGAGAAAATTAGTTATTTATTCTCATGTTACCAGAATGTAGTAGTAATTTTACTTGTTAAGCTAATTTTATTATTTATTTAGAACTAAATCTACAATTTACTAAGTTTAAAAAAGTATGGAATTATGGTACTTGGTGATTAGGTGACATTCAACAAATGAGTGATAATTACTAATGTAATAAATAGTAGCTAAAGGACCTAGAGAGGGTTTTTTTTTTTTTGGAAAATCATGTATTTTGGAAATAAAAAAAATAAAGAAAATGATCTGGTATAGAAATAAAAGTAAAAAAATAAGTGTGTAAATGATCGTGATACGAACAGCGGCCGTCTGTTTGGGGCCGCCGACTACCGACCCAGCTATTATTACCTTTTTGTTTTGCGGCGAAATTTACTGTCATATTTGAATGATATTTTTCATTCCATCATTCCTGAAAACAGGGATAAAAGGACATTTTCTAAAAATGAAACATAACTAGATCGATTTTTCGCCCCTGAATGTACACACATACTAAATTTCATGAAAATCGCTGGAGCCGTTTCCGAGATTCCGATTATATATATGTCTCAGTATAGCTAATTTTCCAAAACAAAGAATTTTAGAACAGCCTTACGCATAAAACTGTAACGTAAAGTTCATTTGTAAAGTTCACAAAGCATATGAATGGGTTGAATGAATTTAAAAGAGACAAAACATATTGTTAGAAGGAGAGGCTTGCAATGCGACGCTGTGGCGTGAGTTGTATAGGATGTTAAAAATGTTGTTACCTTTTTGCTTAATACTTAATTATATATATACACAAGAATTGCTTGTTTAGTTTAAAGGATAAGATAATAATAATAGTGACTTCACGACTAGAGTTTGAGACTGTTACTGAGCTAATGTTCTTACCATCTAAGATTGTTATACCTTTTTACGAACCATAAATAAAAAATATAAATTTAAGTATGGTATCTATATGGTGTATTTATTAAATCATACAAAGTAAATATATATTAAACACATTTTTATTAGCAGTCTTTTAATTTTTAACAGACGTCGAAAAAGTTCCACTGGTTCAACATCTCTAAACATGATGCCCGAAGATAACAGAAATGAAGATCCTGGACAGTCTGTAGATTTAGTTCGAGGAGATTCCATCACACTGAGCAGCTTGCCACAGCAAAGAAGGATGAGGGAGTATCAGGATGATAGAATGGAAAATACACAACAGGTGCGTAAATATAACATTCAATTTTTACTATGAATGTAGAAGGTTGGTAAACTTGAAAATACTTGAAACACTTCAAAATTAAAGCATCTAATATTTGTGGACAGTATTTCTATGATTTTTCTAAATTGTTATTTGTTTAATTTTAGGCTGCCGATCAACACAACCTCAATGTGGAGCCTCTATCAATGGAAAACAACCCTACAGGAATTCCACAAGGTAAATCTACAATGTTATGACTAAAAAAATGAAAAATATATATGTACTAAAAACTATGTTAAAAGTATTTATGTTTTCTGAAGAACATCACTCAAATTTGAACAAGTCTGGAACAAGTATGTTTAAAATAAAAAGGTTATTAGTTACTAAGCATCAAAGAGATACATTACAACTCAAACACAATCAGTCTAATGGTGTTTGAGTTGAAAAGTCGGTTCTCAATGCAACAACCAATTTTTATATCTTTACTTATTCTTCTTTTAATTCCATTGAATTAAATTTATTATAACACCTGAAAAAAGAAGCATGTATAATAAAATTTATGGTATTTTTAATTTCCATTATATCAAGCTGGTTTCTGTTAATATTAGTTTCTGGTGTAAATAAGGGCACTGAAGTAAATTTAAATCAATTTAAATACCCTCAAACTGTACTATTATTTATCAAACAACTTATTTAACAAATATTGTGTGTGTGTGCATGGGCAATGTGATCATAATAAACTTTCTGGAAATAATAAAATATTTTCTTATACATTTGTTACTAAAGTTATATTGAACATGATCAAAACATATTGTAATTGGTAAGTATTTTTTACAGCATTGCTTAAAATGAAATTATTTAACAAAAATCTTATTCATTGTTTTAATATTAATATTAAATAGTGAATAAAAACTCCAGTTATACAGCGTGTCGGTACCACCGCGACAATAAATGAACACACGTCTAACGCTACTTGCCTATAATCATAAAAAAATATTAACGTTAAAAAATACATAATATAAAAAAAAATTCAAACAAGGTAATTAAGTAAAAAAGAAACAAAATGTGTAACATCCTATACAATCACAACTGACTAATTCATACATTCAGAGACTTTTTCATTTGTTGCCACAGTGTCGCATTACAAGCCTCTCCTTCTAACAGTATGTTTTGTCTCTTTTAAATTCATTCAATCCATTCATATGCTTTGTGACCTTTACAAATGAACTTTACATTACAGTTTTATACATAAGGGTGTTCTAAAATTGTTTCTTTTGGAAAATTGAATAACTGTAAGTATTGATGTTTAAGGAAAGTAAATTTTTAATACAATTTTAAAAAGTTATCCTGTATATGTGTGTTCATTTATTGTCGCGATTGTAAAGACACGCTGTATAAACTTAACTTTACATTTCGGTACCATAACCCCGGACTAACACATTACAATACACACACAAAAAATTCCATTGTAGATAGAGGTTATCTAGGGCTACATAACTTGACATAAGCATGCTGTAGAATCTGGGGCAACTCTGAGCAATCTTTTATTGATTTTCAATATTTCTTATCAATGACGATGAAATGGGATTGCCCTATCATATGTTCTACATCATCTGTCACATATACCATGTCATATAATATAAAGAAGAAAAAATTTTAACATTATGGACAACATGCATCATCTATACTATTAAACATCATTGGAACAGTGTAATTCATAACTATATAAGAACTAGCCTTAGTTACTTTATCTATGCAAAAGGATGTGGATAGAGGTTTTCATTTTGTCTGTTTCAGTTAGGCTCCTTAACGGATCATATTTATCTGTTATGAATTTTAAGTTACAATTCCTTAACTTGTGACAGTTATGATGAATTTAATTAACATTTCTCATTACAAAAATTATTGGTATTTAATACATTTTAAAAATTTTAGATTTCTGACACAGTAGCTTTATACTACAAGTGTCTTGATTGTAAAATAAATTGATTAATATATTTTGAAGTAAAATAACAGTAAAATTTTATTCAAAGCTTGATATTCTATCAGACTTGTAGAATGTTTAATAAACAGCAATTAACAAATTTTATTTTTCATTTTAAGGTTTAGGTTTCTCATAACAAAAATTATTGGTATTTAATACATTTTAAAAATTTTAGATTTCTAACATAGTAGCTTTATACTACAAGTGTCTTGATTGTAAAATAAATTGATTAATATATTTTGAAGTAAAATAACAGTAAAATTTTATTCAAAGCTTGATATTCTATCAGACTTGTAGAATGTCTAATAAACAGCAATTAACAAATTTTATTTTTCATTTTAAGGTGTTCCCTATTTTACTGCACTAATGAATCAAATAGCACTCTACTTATTGATGTATGGCACTCCTGGCAAGGATTATTCTGCCGCTTCTGGTAGGTGAAGCGCTTACATTGTGGAGGGTATTCCTCCTATCAGTTGATATTTTCAAATTGTATATAACACAGCCTGATTGATCTGTAATCTGTATATGCAATACATGAGAACAGCCTGTATAGTATGTGCAGCATAGCTTAACGCAGGTGACAGCTGTCATTTAAATCATGCCTATCTAGTTCTGTAATTTATGAGGCTACAATGTACACAAGGCCATGTTATCCTTTATTGTTGAATAAGTATATGAATTGTGAAGTTTCTTGGGCAGTTGTACCACAGACTATACTTAAAACAAATTTAGTAAATTGTTTCTTTTTAACTTCAAAATCAAGATTTTTTGAAAAATGGATTTCATGGATAAAAATAAATTTAAATGTATACCAATGATAATCCATGATGATCCTGATATTTTTATAATAAGTACATTCTTAGTGATTATAACTTATTACTTAATGATTATAACAGATACTTGTTTTCGAAAGTTTTTTGCGTTTTTATTTAGTACTAAATACTAGGCACTGAGAATTGATAATAATAATTAACAATTGATGATTGAACTTTAACTTATTCATGTAAAAGTTGATCAATCTTTAGGTCATAGTCAAACTCTCACCTGTCATCTGCACAAAACTGCAATATATGGATTGTAAACATTTTAGCATTACCATGGCCTTCCTCTTGCTCCTCACTGATATATATAAATACCAATATTTGATGTAAGCTTTCAAATAACTGTATCCTGTTCCTTTCAGCAAAATTATTATCTTGAAATAGTATTCAAAAATGGTGATTAAATATTTTTTTTACGAAAATTTACTATAAAAAATGAACATGCAACTATATATTTACATATATATTACAAAAATTAAAATTTCTTATAATCATTAATAAATATTTCTTTTGAGTTTTTTTGCTGTTTAATAATTTTCATAAACATGTTTTAAATTATTTTAGTTACCTTATAAATTTGAGAACCTAAATAATAATTTTTACATTTTTTGTTTATGTAATTTTATGTCAGACAATATACTGTTGAAAACACATTTTCCTGTGTAACTTATAAGGAACATTGAACATTGTTTATCTCAAAGATCACTTTTAATTAAAGTTCAATTAGTTTGTGATAACAACTAATTTCAATATTTTTTTTATCTTTTGATACACTTAAAAATTACGGAGTTTTTAAATTACGGGCTGCATCTTTATTCACAGGGAAGGGAGATCAATGAAAAAAAAATAATTTGTAACCAAAATATACCTTGTTTATTTAACATTGTAATGGCAATTCAGCTTTGTTTTACAAAATCATTTATCTCTCTTCCCAGGAGGCCAATGGAGTATGATGGAGCACACATACCCCCGTTACTCGAACGCATGCATCGGCGGTGGCGGTCTTCAACCGGATCACGGCATGTACATCAACAACGTTATGAACCCGCACATGGATTCGGATATGAACGATTACGGACAGGGCCTGGGCGTGACCGGCCCTTCGCCCGGGCCCAGCTGCATCGCGGAAGCACAAACCGCCCAGGAGGTTATGCCGCAGACGCAGCCGAAACGACGTCGCACCACGAACCCACAGTCCGAAGAGAACTTCCAGCGCGCCCTGGAAGCGGTCCGCTTCGGCGGCATCGGCTTCTGCAAGGCGGCCCGCATGTTCGGCGTGAACAACAGAACCCTGTGGCTCGAGTACAAAAAGAAGGGGTATCCCAACAACCGGCCCAGTATCAAGAGCAGGATAAAGCGCGAGCACACAACCCCGCCGCCGGAGCCGAAGGAGGAGGTGCCGCAGCAGGACCAGCAGATGGCGCTCCTATGCCCCCCGCACCCAGTGCCGGTGGGTTTCATAGACTCGCGGCCGATCGACTTCCCGCTGCAGGGCGTGCCGCACAACTCTCCCTTGAACATCCTCGGGGTGAACTTTAACTCGATGCAATAGAACGCGGCGTGCGGGGCGTACGGTGACGAGTCGTATTCCTCGTGACACGAGTGGCAAGGCGCGGAATACACGTGTAATCTCGCGCCTTTGCCCACACCCCGCCCCCAGTCGCTTATGACGTGTACATGCGCGTGTCCCTGTAAATATTTGTTACCGTAATCGTCCAGTATTACCCGGTCTCAGGATCAAAATAAATATTTTGTTAAGACCTAAGTCTAAACATAGATTGTATTGAATTGAATGTGATACTGGGCGTTCAATGTTGTCTGAGAGACCAGGTGTCTTATTGCCATAATCAGTAATGTATGTTTAGATCTCAGTAGCCCCATAAGTTACGGTAATTGGTGATTGATAAAAAAGAATCGGCTTTTCTAACTACACTTTGTTAGATTTAATATTTGATAGAAAAATGATATGTGATAGCAAATATATTATGTACTGTAGAAATGCTCCCAATTACATCACTGATCTTCACCTAGGATTTTAGCTTTAACATATACAATGAGTGAATGGCAGGTTACATTCAGTTTATAAACTACCTCTATCTTTAAGTATTTTCTCCTTTATTATATATACAAAAAGGTATGTTGTTTAGCATCCACCAAAAATAACCATTAGTATTATTGAGTTGGAGGTCTTATTTAATATTTTAAATTACCCATAAATTGCTGTGGTATTCTAAAATGCCAGAAACTATTTTGTTGTCATATATTCTTCAAATGTATGAAAAATTTTAAATAATCTCATTTGGTCAAGTTTAAGGAAGGTTTTCATAAACTATATCTACTTAAATACGATTTTGTACCCAATTAAAACTAAATAATTATTCTTGTTAGAACTTTCTTTTTATAGTTATTACATTTCTTTTTACTTCTATATTTTGAATTTGATTCTAGAATTTAAATAGTTGTTATTTTAAAAATTCAAGCTCAAGAAACTCTGGCTATTATAATTGTAAACTATTTCGTGATTTGTACTGTTATTTGTACCATTGGAGTGGCCATTGCAAAATTTTTATTTCAGTTTCATTTTAATTTCCCCTTTAATTTCGGATGCACTATTTTTTTTTATAACATACCTCTGATTTATGTTGCTAATTGCTGTATAAAAATTGAGTGTACTTGCACTTTTATTTCTTTTAGGATCTTTATATTTATTTTTATTTCATTTAACACATATTAAATTAATTTCTTATATTCATGGATTACATTAGAAAAACCTTTTAATGAATTGTCTCCAATCTACTACTTACAACTAAATGAATAAAGCCTATTCACAGTACATATTGTATGTGTAAATAAAATTACCATGTTTAGGCAATAATGTAATCAACATATTGTAAAGAAATTAAAATATGGTCATTAATTCGTCCGAGACACAAACCTATCCCAATATGATTTATGTTTGTTAATTATTCAATCAAGTACTATTTTAAATTAATTATTATTGCATTCATAAATTGTATGTGAATATTTGTATGTGAAGGGGACAATAGAAAAATTTGGGATTCTGGCATTTTTATATTTTAGTACAATTGTACTTGAATGATGTGTAGATGTCTACATTGTCTATAAATTTCGTTAGAATCGACAGAATACATATATAAAGAAAAAACATATATGACCAAGGTTATTTAAATATGTGCCTTTTAAAAAAGCAATGAAATTTTTTGTTTGAAGGACTCATTGCCTTCGAAAAGGTTGCTTGCATCACTGAGTTGTACTCGATTATTTTTATACTTTTACTATTATAGTCAAACTTTAAAATATTTTATATGCGTTTTTATATCCATATAGTGTGAAAGAATATAAATAAAAAAATTCCCATTGTCCACTTCATATGAAATGCCACTTATTCGGCAACTAAATTTACAGTGCTACATGTTTGAAGATCTTGATTTTAATGTATAAGCTGTAGTCTTATAATTAAGAATAATTTTATTGCATTTATACACTCTAATTAATGTATATTAGATAAGACATTTATAGTATAAGTGAGAGTTCAACCTTAGATTTGTCTTTTTTTATCAAATTTCATAAATATGCTATTTAGCAAATCAAAACGATATGGTCAAACAAAAACAAAACTATTTACATATGTTTATGTCATGACTTTTATGTACATTCTTTAACATAATGTTACCACAAGTAAGATAAATAATCAAAGGTTTCTTCATTTACAATTACTGTTATTAAACTGCAAGCACAAATATTTGTGCACGCCTTAATAGCGTACTTAATACTTTTAAGGTATGAATTGATTTAACCAAAAAAAAATTAAACCATATAAATAACAGGGTTCGAGTAAATAAATTAAAAACCCTTGTTGTTAACCCTTGTTGAAAACAGTATTTTTTTGCATTGGGGGAGGAATCTAGAATAAAAAAAATACCCCAGCTGATGCTCATATTCAACAACAGTTTGATGACAGAAAAATAATAAATCGCAAATCATTTGAAATTATAATAAATTTTATTTCCATATCATTATTAATCATGACTAATTGTAAAAATGCTATGCATAAGTTAGTATGTATTATAATAGTTGTAGTATTGCAACAATTCTTTTGTAAGTTTAATTGTGCGAAGATCTCTATAATTTTCGACTGATTTTTACACTGTTTTATTACACAAACTTCTAATAAGAGCACACCTTATGGAATGAAATAAAGTGAAAAAAAAAAACGCTAGATACATTAATTTTTGTACTTATCTTACTCTTGTACCAGTTATTTTTGTAGTGAGTTAGGTAGTGAATGAATATACAGTATTATATATATCAATGTTTTGCTAGCCTTATGGCAACTTATTAGAGGTTAGTGTAAAATATAATGTAATTTTTATAATACATTATTTAGGTAGGCAACATAGCTGCTACAATATATCTATCAATGCATTCAATCACAATATATGTAAATAAATTTGTATATAATCAGTTAAACTTAGCTACTTAGTAATTAATTTCCTACACTTTTTTTAATATAAAGATCACTTTTTGAAATGGGATCTGAATAAAGTATATTTTGTGATCCCTATTGTTAGCCAGATCCGGAGTTTTTGAGTGCCATCCAGACCACAAGCAATCTTCCAAACTGTTGTTTATATTAAAGAATAATGTACACATTCATAAGCAATAATCGTAGTTAGTTTTCTTATTGTTTTGTTACCATACTATTCTCTGTTGTTCATTATTTCATTGAAAGTTATATCAGCTGTGGCAAACGGATCTTTCATTTAACATTCAAATAATTACCGTGATAAACAATTGTATCAGAAATGTCAAAACTGTATGTGCTAAGCACTGAATATATTTGTTTTTTTTTTTTTACCAAAATAAATAAATCTTTCAGTTATTTTTTAAAGGATTTCTCAATTGATTAAAGTGTAACGGCTGATTTTTCGACTGAAATGTGAAGGTTTGTTTTATGTTTGTTACTTCAGGACTCTACCACTTATGAACTGAGATTAAAAATTTTTTTGCATTGGTCAGATTGCAGCGATTAGTCAATTACTCATTGAAATAAATTAAAATGCATGTAGTGAGCGAATTATTATATGTGGTGTTCACTTAGTAAAAATGTTATTTATGCCAACATTAACATGCCAAACCAACAATCAAATTTGTAATATTTAAAAAATTATCTGTAAATGAAGCTGTTTCCATCATAGATATTAAATGATAGCTGCTTCTTGAGAAGAATAAGCAATTTTTATTAAATACATTAAAATTTTTTGTTGGAAAAGCGGGAATCGCAGCATGTTGTCAGAATATTGGTATCTTGTATGTGGGAGCGAAATATTGTCGTTTATTTTTTAAATACTATGGTGTAAGTCAGAACCGAAGCTGGATAATCATCATACTCACCGTCGTTTTATGTGATCATGTTAAATTAGTCTAGGGGAAGTCACCTTTTTTATTGGAGTTATTACATGAAATAATTAACTACCAAAATCATCGTATAATCAAACGCAAATATAATGCTTGGTAGCAGTTGTAAACAGACATAAAAAACATATTTTTATATGAAGGTAAAATACACTGCGATTACAATACTAATATTACATATACTCTCCTTTTCAAAATTGGTTAACACGAGTCATTCTGCGTACTTCATTTGCCCAATTGTGAATGCCTCTAAAGAATAGGATTTTACTGAGCTAGCGCCTAATAACTAACTGCTGCATCACCGCTTACAATCAGGTGGGATTGCAGTCAAGCGCTGGCCAGTTTCAAAACAAATGATAACCGCAGGCGCGCTCGTTTCGCACCAGGTTGAGGGCTCGCGAGGTGATCGATACCGATGTTCCAGATGCATTCGCGTCGCAATCGAGTGTGCGCTTGCGACGCACGAAATACTTCAAGCGACAGAGCCGCGTGCCCGACGAGCGGGAGGTCAGGAAGCAGGTTTCGGAGCCAGCGCCGGCTACCGGTCTGCCGGTACTGCAAAAACACGAGTCCTACCCACAGTACTCGTCCAACAAGGTGAAACTGTATATCTTATATGTTCAATCTTACCAAGTCGATTTATTTCGTAAATCCTTAAATAGGTACTCTAGTGCAGTGCCGTTTTTGAACACGCGCACTAACCGGGAGGTCCGTGAACCGGTAGCCGAAATCTTGAATCTGATAAAATTGTATTACACAAAGAAAAACTACAAAAATTTCTTTCATCTAAGGCCATAAGTTCTATTTGAATCTTGCCTTACGCTCTAGCCCCGTTAATCCCGAGAACCGGCGACTTCAGGCCCAGTTGCCGAGGCTTTTGGGCGTCGGGGGTCGAGGGTTCGAGGCCCACACGGGACAACTATTTTTGTGACCCACAGATAGTTGTTTCGCATCTGGGTGAAATTTATGTTTGAAACATTATGTATCACGGTTTCACCACGATGGAAAAGGAAATATCGTTTCTAGTTAACAAAGAAAGGGCGGTGAACGATCTGGCAAACGCGTGTAGGTAGGGGTAGGTCGCGATCGTTTCGGTTGCTTGTAGGGCCAGCGCCTGAGGGCCAACGAGCGCGCGGTGGGCTCGCTGCTCATAAAGCTGGTGGACCGGCAGTCCAGCGCGACGTCGACGTCCACCTCGTTCGAGGCGGCGGAGGGGGCGTTGCAGGCGCAGCGCGCTAGCCACACGCCCGCGGTGCGCGACGGCCCCCCGCTCAGCTGCAACTTCTGCTGGAACACGGTGGACGAGTGCGGGCGCATTTTGCGCCGCAAGACCCAGTACCACTGCCCCGAGTGCCGCACCAACCTCTGCATAGTGCCCTGCTTCCACGAGTACCACGACCTGCCCGAGGGCGAGGCCACGGCGAGCGCAAGGTGAACCCCCCGCAGAGACAGAGACCGGCCCGCCCGCGACATGCGAACGCGCGCCCCCCTCGGAGCCTCATCGCTCGCCGACGATCCTTGGAATTAGTCTCCGCGCCCAACGTACACAAAACTGCATCACGTATCGATGTTAACAACTTCGAGTGTCGGTATTGAATATTTTTTTTTTAATAATTTCGTCGTACAATATAGGGTTCGAGGTAGGGATTAGTGTTGTGCCGAATTGGTTCGAACTTGCCCTCGTAAAATATCGTTAAACCACCAGCAAACAGGTTTTTCAGATTGTATTAAATGCCCAAAGTTTTGATTAATGGATTGAAACTCTACCGCCGCATCTTTTTCCTGGCTTTAGTTTTTACACTTTACAATTTCTTTAGTTTCTATATAAATTTTGAGATAAGGGGCAAATTAGGAAAAAAGTAGTATTATAAATCGTAATACCACTCTAATGACAATTTGAGTCTCTAATGCAGATTTTTTATTAAATTATTCAGGTCATAAATTAGATGGTTACAATTTTTAATGAAGAAGAACTTCCCGCGTGGTTTTTCATGGTGAAAATTATATGAACTGGTTGTGAATAAAATAAAATAAAAACATTGACAGACTGTTAGCTCGCTGGTCGAATTAGTAAAACTTCATATAATTCGTATCACGAAAAGAATAAAGATAGCATTTCATTACATTAAATTTACTTTGAAATACAGCATTGTAATTGTAACTAATATCAATCGATAAGCAATATCTTCACTTTATGTACTTTGTAATGTCACTGTTGGGTATCGATCAATGGAACGACCCCATATATGAGAATAGATACGAGTTGATATTTTAGTGTAAAAATTGTTGAAGAGAACATAAATATTTAATGGTAATTATCAGATGGGATACAACTATTTCATGCCCTTTATACTCTGCTTTGAAATCATGTCAAATTCTTTACTACAAAGGGCAAACTTCATAATGTCACCCCTCAAGTAATGTTAAAATACAGTTGCCTTCTTTGGCCAGGCATCGTTCAAATAAAATGTTAATGTTTATAAATTTAAGAATTCTAACTAATATTGAATTGTTTTCAATGTATTTGGGTCTGAGATTTGCAGGAATTTTTTTTTGATAGGGTTATTCATTAGCCACTCCGTCCTATAAGGTGGAGATTTTATTTTATTCTTGTTCTAAAATAACTCATGAACTTGAAAGTATCGCCGATTTGAAGCATGCGTGTACTAATGTTAAACAACAATCATCTGTAATTTGTAGGTAGATATATAGTTTCTATGAAATGTTGGTAACGATAAGTACCAGTTTAAAGTATTGGGTGCTATAGGGTGCGCTTTAAGCGTGTAGGTTGAATCTGAACAGCACACGATTTTCAGTCATTGGTCGCACGTTCAAGACACACAAAATCTTTATAACGTTTATAAAATTTGTTTTAATGAAGTAAAACTTGTTGGCTTATATTTATTTTACTGCAAATGCGTTTGTGCTCATGAACATATGGGTATTGGCTTAAATAAATTACATGATTTTTTTTAAATATGTTGGCACGGGTTTTGGATACAAGCCTAAGCCTGTATAATTTCATCTACTTACCTTAACAATGACTAACTACAAGAGGTAGATTTCAGTGTATTTATGGAATATCTGATGACCGAGCAGATACAGCAGAAAGTGTGGTCTGTTGAAAGTAGTTCAAGAAACTATTCGTATTTTCTACGACGGAATAGTTACGTAAACGTATTCTTAAAACAAGCGCAAGGATATTAAATACTTAATCCTTTCATGTAGAATTGTAACATATCTTTCACTTTTTTCCCATGACGTAAAATATTTATATATATATATATATATATATATATATATATATATGTATATAAAATCTATGGTAAAAATTGGAATTTTGAAGGCCGTATCGTAAGCGAAAATTAACTTAAAAAAAATTAAGTTATAACACTTAGTGCTTTATAAGTTGAATAATCATTACCTTTATTATTTTCCGCTTCTATGGTGTCTAACATCGTACCATTTTTCGTTGGTATAATGTTATATTGTTGGTATACTTAATATTTCTTTGTAATGTTATCGATTCAGAACAGTGCATCAACCGTTTTTGTAATGTAGTTGATGACAAATGTTGTTCAAACGAGTACGATTTATGTCGTTTTAACGACTACGAATTGAATGTTGAAAAGCAATTGAGACTTTTAGTCAGTGTTAGTGTTAAAGCAGCCATTGATGGCTTTTTTCGTATAACTATATGCACAAATATATTTGTACATATTTTGCTATTTTATGTATCTCAACTTTAATATTGTTCACTCTAGGTAACTCATATATAAACATTCTTGTGACTACACTTCATTAGCTCATGAATGTAGTGGAGTGAGTAGTACTCTAAAAGCTTCCAAAATAACTTTGGCTATAAGCTGTGACTGACTTTGATTTTGTGTTTTTGGTGTTCCACCAGTACTTGAGCTTGTATATACGTAAAAATATTTACTATCTCATAAATAAATGAAATTTTCAAGAGCATTGTACAATTTTATATACCGCAAGATAATTATATATTATAAAAGAAAAATATTAACGGAAACGCGAATTGTTAAACTTTGTATAATCATAGTATTTAATCTTGTAGTTATATAACACTTACCGTGTAGCCTTACGTGTTAATATACTTAATACTACATAGTAATTGTTGTCAATAATAATGATTTATTGTATTTACTCGAATAATACACTTAGCTAAAACTAACTTTTATACTGCTTCTTACGGAATATCCATTTTGTGGTTATTTAAAAAGTATTCGACATTTGCCACCGTAGTTTTTATAACAAATTAATATTACTTTCTCCTCTGATTAGTAGCTAAGCAAGCAATTTTACCAAAGGTAGCTTTTTGTGAAGTAATCAATAACAATATCAAGGAAACAGTTAAAGTGAATTGAAAAAGAAGTCATCAAACATAGTATTATTGAGTTTATTGTTTGAGTTGTCACTTCGAAGTTATGGGCTAATAAGCCGTCTATAAATTAAAAAACTGAAAAATTACAGTCCGTGCCAATTTCAGCTATGTCATAGTTCATATTGCCTTTCGTATCTCTTATTATGTAAAAATATAAGGGTGTATTATAATAAAAAGAAGCTTGAAAAAATTAATACCTTCTGCGGTGATATTTGTAAATAATAGATCTAACCTTAGGCGCGTTTTTGAAACGCCATAAGAAAATCAAGACTATAATATTTTTTTCAAGATTTTTTTGTATTTCATATTATAAGGGTTATTTTAAAATTTTTAAGAAATATTTTAATAAGCTTTCTGTACGTCTGAGCAATGCTCGGCCACTGTTCTTTAAAGTATGAAGTGTTTGAAGTTTGAAAAATATATTCTTTTGTTTATTTCATAAGGACGAAATAACCGAATGCTATATTTATATAGGGATAAAAATATCAAATGTTAAAATGAAATTTATAACCGAAGTATATAATATTGTTCCCGAATGGTTGCCATAATCTTTTAATGCAACTGCTATGTACGGAAAACTAAAGCAAATGATAGAGTTTATTTTGAGTGAAGTAGTTTAAGGATATTTTCGTAAGTGTTATGAATAATTTTGTAAAAAGCAATTTAACATTTCTATGTGTCATACCAAAAGTGGTGATTATTTTTTGAAAAAAGTATATCTAACGTACATCGTTTATATATGTCATTACTGTGTATGCCTCTGTTATAGGGGCTTACTCATGGTGTTTATTCGTAGCGAGTAAAATTTTACATATCGTTAACGTTGCATTATTAAATTTTAAATAAAGTAGAAAAGAAAATAAATATTGATGTAAATGAATTAAACGTTAATTTTAAAAATAAAAAAGGGGGCGTTAACCTTGAAAATTTATAAACTATTGCGCGCGCACCGTAACTGTTAACGGTTAAAATGAATACATTTCTTTAAAATGCAATACCTACTTTGATAAAATACTGATGTTGCTAATGTCTTTATATAATAAAAATAAAAAATGATGCGTAATTTTAAGGTAGGAAAAAATAATTAAATTCTTGTAAAACACACTAATCTACGATGTTATGTATAGGTGCCATTTCCATAATTGTGCCATTTGACTTGGGTGTTATTATTTTATATACTAATTGCTATATTCAAAGAAATATCGATTGTAATAAGTAAACGAATATTACATTCATGTGAATGGTAAGAGTAATGCAATATTTCCAAAATAAAGATTTCTTCCCATCCCTGGTATTTTTAATGACGGGTAACACATCATCATCATCCTATTTGAGTCCATCGCTGAACAAAGGCCTCCCCCATAGACTGCCAGGAAGTGCGATCCTGAGCCACCTGCCTCCATCGACTTCCCGCACATTTGCACAGGACGTCACTCCATGTACCTACACGGTCGTACTACACTGCGATGGCTAGTACAAGGCTGCAGCCAATCGAGAACCTGTCTTCCCCCTTTCTTATCGGTTCTTCGAGCTATATGACCGGCCCATCGCCATGTGACCTATGGGTAAAACATTCATACATTTATTTAGTTCTATTTTTTGTAAACCATAGAAAGTTTTCATGTATATAAATATAGAGTTTAAAAAGTCATCGAGTTTTTTTGTATTCATTAAACAGTACTAAGTTTTAAGTTGTGTGTTAGAAATTAGATTTTAATAATATCAAAAATAATAATATCTATGTATGAAGATAAACATTCTTCAATTCTAAAAACAAAAAGAGCTTGCTTGCTTCAGATCACCCACTTACCTGCATAGCTTGATAGGAACGTCCACGTTGGGTACGGCACGTGCTCATATATACTTTATCCTCTGAGGTAGGTATTGAACGTCACCTATCGACCATCGATATTCGGCATGGACCGTAGCCGTGATGACCGTGGTCTGGGGATTTCCTCGAACGTCAATGAGGATGTTACAGAACCCACAAGCCTGATACGGCTGCCGCACTTGTGCTCATGCGTGCGTTATGCAGGCCGACCAAATGGTGCCGGCGCAATTTGCACGAGCCTCATATTGAGCGACAGACACCACCATGCCTGACGCTCGGGGTTTCACACACTGTCGGGGGGAAAGTTGAACCTTCTGCGCCGTGGTCTCCGGCGGCGTATATCCAGGGTGGCAGTCTCCTCCTGGGTAAGTCCTCGCAGTATTACCGTAGCGCGAACTACTGCAGGCAGCGAAAGGTCGCGCCCTACGATAGTGCTCAGCCAGGCTGGGTACTATTCTAGCCCGTGTTGGGCCATCTCCTCGGCACATAAATCACAGTGGTGACATTTCTCTGTGGGCTCCCTACTCGCCACGCGAAATAGATACCACCCGAAACGCCTGTGTCCCGGAGGACCTGAGACGCACGGTGGATGACGGTACCACGTCCACCCACCTTCTGAGGACAGGACGTATGGCCTCCACGGTTCTTAGGCCAGCACTGCGCTCCAACTTCTGTACCCATTCCCCATTCGTAAGCAGCCCACCTGAGGTCTCCACCACAAATGCACACCTCTAGCACAATTTTGAATTGCCTGAGTATTGGACGTTACGGGTCGTATGCAAGCACTATTGCTACATTCTTCTCGGTGTTGATGTCTGTTCTCAGATTGTGGGAGTGTCACCGAGGCAATCGGCATCTTTGAGGTGAATGGTGATTCGGCAGAAATGTTTATACTAGTGTACAGCTGCGAAAAAGTGCCTGGGTCTTTCAGGACGTCGCTCGTATAGGGCTAAAGAAGCATTAAAACTGTTAGTTTTAAGGGGAAACCATTTTTTTAAACGTTCAGTACATTGCAAGATTGCACTTTTTGATCTTTGCACTTCTTGCACTTTCGATTTGCTTGAATGATCACCACCGCCGTATGACATTCGAGACGCCAGAAAAGATCGAGTGTTACCAATCCAAAATAGGAAAATACCCGAGTATTCCCGGTAATCCGCAAACGCTTTCCAAAAAAAGTTGTAACTCCGAGGGCTTTGTAGCAGACACACGCTGTTCGCCACCAAGCTTTGAAGTGTAATGCCCAGAACTACCGTTAGTAAAAGGTAAACAATTACACAGCTATGCATAAACGCGGAAACTTAACTCAATTCAATTGCTAACATTAAATATATTTCCATTGTTGATCAAAGCACAAGAACTTATGTGATTTTTTTAGGATAAATGGGTATAAACTGCAGATTCGACCTGTCTGGTCGCATTTGCAGTTTATACCCATAACTAACTAACGCTAAGCGGCAAATTTTATCTTCAGTACAGAGACTAACACTAAAAATGAAAGTAATCATTAAAAGAGCTCAGAGTCTACGGGAGTGATTTCGGCTACTTGTAAAACCATGACCGTAGTATTTATAGAATTGTGCTAGCTATTGATATATTGCTCAGTTATAATGAACCACTAATGTGCCGCGTAATTAGTTTTGAATTTATATAGTGGTAACAGGAAGACAAGTAAATGTAATTATGAAATTAGGGTAACAACGTTACAAACATATCGAATATTGGATAATTTTTGAGCAAATGGTTTAACAATTGTGAGATAAACAAATAATGAAAACATGTTTTTATTATATATATGCGTGACATTAGATTATACATGGTATGTAGGTACAGACATACAATTACGTGAGATAACAGTGCATTTTCAACAAAATTAAGATATTACAACGTATGCAAGACCAACTCTACCTATATAATTACGAAGATCACATTGTATGCTAAAACTTAAGAAACTTGAAAAAAAACTAAGTTTCATAATGAAACTACTATAACTAATCATAAATGCTACAGTATTTCGTGTTTTAAAATATAAAATAGCTAGGTATATGCTAATTTTCAAAATTTTTAACACCTCAAGAGCGACTCTGGGTCTCAGACAACTAAACGATACATACAGAACAGTGTTTAGTTGGTGCCATTATAAACATGACTATTAAATATAGTTATATTGTAAAATGATTAGGTACGAAGTACAGTAAGTAAACTTATGCGAAGTCTAGATTAAAAAAATATTAATGCAATAACATTAGTCATAAGTCAACTAATACAATATAATTGAGATATCGTGTTAAATGTCTTCACAATAATGATGATATAAATTTGTCGAATTAAGAGATTATTGCAATAAGGTAAGTTCGCTTATTTAATTGTTAAATAATACAAAAATAGGGCAGTTCATTTACAGTGCAATTTAAAAAAATATCGAAACATCTATTCTTTAAATATTTAATTTACATTAATACTGCCTATATAATTTTCGATTGCATCCCTATACAAGTAATCTTTGGTACGTAAAGATCATGCAAGCTACTTCCAGCGTTTTTTTTAATATTTTTTTAAGAAACTACTTTGAGTAAATTACACGCAGATAATATATAATTACATTTGCAGTAATATTTGTAAACAATTTACGATCTAAGGCTTTCAAATTGGTGTTATCGCTCTAAATGGCAAGGGTACTATTATCCCATGCCATCTGATAGGAAACATTTAAAACTATCGTAGGGCTTACGTTAATGATCTTTTATGTACCAAGAAGACAATACCTTAATTGAGGGGCATGCTCTAGTTTATTGTCGATGATTCAATTATATACAAATATCCTCCAATATTTATACTTACACATACTATATATTACTGGCAAGATATGATAATTAACAGAGAACTGCTTCAATATATGTAAATTTATATCTTAAATGAATTATATTATCCATGCCAATACTTAATCTATATCGATGTAACGATGTAAAGTATATATAATAAGCGAGGTATTGATGCGAACTTCCAATATATAAGATATATTTAAATCTTCTATACAACGCGTTATGATAAAAATATTAATCACGTTAAAATATTTCATTCCAAATATTTCTCAGTTGAAACGACTAACATACATGGAAGATTATTTAAATAACTTTATTATAGGTCTGTGGACATCAATGCGATATGTTTGTATGCATGTATTAATAAATTAGTATTTTTCGTTTCACCGCTATAAAAACTAGCTTTTTCAATGACAATATTTTACACCTGCGTATTATTGCATTCTAATGCAAACACCTGCTATTTCTCAAAAGTAGTGAATTCGTATATGAGCCGTGTTAGAATTTATTGCGTCGTGAAATTTAGTGATCTGTGGCTGGTGTCAGAACGATAATACAACGTACGCGTGATTTCTTTATATCTTAATATGTTAGTATGTACAGTCGCGAATAACATCGTTATTCTATTTCGAGGACACAATTTCTTCTTGCATATCAGATAGTTTTGTTGCATTTGACGGTAGATGCGGGACCGACTTCACTCGGCCGCATGACTTTCGCGTAAACCGAAACTTGCCGGTCCATACATCGGCCATGTCCTCGATAAAAATATACACAGCATTAATATTATACACGGTTATTGCTTGCATAAATAAGCTTCGTGTTGATATTAATTAAATGGCAATGTAGCCAAAAACTATTGCCCCCCAACAAAGGTATTGTTTAATATAAACACTGGCGGTAATCTATCTATTCGATGAACAAAAACATTACGAGGAATAAGCCTAGAACTTACATAATTGGCTTACTTAAACTTTAAATACATGTGTTACGATATTCAATATTTAGAATTATATATGATTAATATGTAGCGAAAATAATTATTTCTTGTTGTTCCTAGTGAAATCAGAAAATATAAAAGCTTAAATGCTGTGAACAGTGAAATTTTGTTAAGAACTCTTTGTTGTAAACCATCAATAGTTATTAGGATTTTCAAGTGTATGCGCTGAGAGTGTATTATGAACGTCTATTGAGCTATCGATGGCTGAGCAGATAAGTTTGAAAAGAGAAATTTACTATATATATGACCAAAACTGACCGGATCGGCTTCGATATGAGTAGGGATACCACACCAAACCAACTTTATAAAGACATAGTTACACGGGAATGGCTGAAACTATGGGAATACTGGCATTTACAGTGGGATTATGGCCAAAATCGGGTATTGAGATAATCATTGCAATTGCTACGAAAACTATTGTCCGTGATATTAACTCAAATGCCACAAAAACGGTGTCCGCTATATCACCCAGGGCCTGTTCGCAAAAGCTGGGCATTTGGGTTATAAATCGATAGGCCTTAATTTTACCTTGATCCGTGGAGAACGTTGTAAGTGCCGCAAATACGTTTAATAAGGTTAGCTACCGTTAACTTAATATTTTTGATCGGTTTTTAAAGATAATTCAACACTTTTTGTCTTTTTCTTCTACTACTGTGATCAGGACGGATTGAGATGGACATTAAGATCTCTTGTCTGCGAGAACCCATCAGTTGCGTAATTAGAAGTCCCGCGGGGGTCTAAAAATATACAAAAAAAAAAAAAAAAGAAAACCAGCACATTCTAAATAATATGGACGCAGCTGAACAACGTTAGTAAATGTATCTATCAGAGTCGCATTAATTAATTCAGTTGGTGGGTAGAGTGATAAACCGGAGAAATTCGCCCGACACCCTATGTGGATATGTTCATGTTTTTCAATCTATTGTGTTAGCATTATTGTTCTAAAATTTACCTAAGTCCTCAGTCTTCGCATGGTTCTGTTTGAGGTTTTCCCTCCGATTTTAACCTGAAATTAATAAACCGCTGTTCAATTTCTACAACCCCCATCTTAACAACACTTGAATATACAACTTCATTGTATAGTCAAGACGGGCATACAATATCATATAACAGGTATTAGGGTCGCTACAAAAATAAAATAAGTTATCCTAGTAAATAATGTATATAAATTGTGTCTTACCTAAATCGCTAAGCGCCTATTAATTTGTAAATTTTCATATTGCTTATTAACCTATGCACATATATCGCTCTAGATGTATAAAAACGCAGCGTAGATACATAAACGTTTTATTCAATTGTATTGTATTAGTCGAGATAAAAATATATAAATTTCTCAAACCTCTAAATATTTTAAATACATTAATATTTCGTCAATTATAGCTACAGCCATGGGTTTTTATTGCATTATATCACTTGTATTAATTCACATTTTAGAAAATCTTGGGTGTTGATATCGATGTGAGTCGTTCGTATTACTCGGAGTTAAGCAACACCTTTAAATGACAATTAAAGTTTAAGGATTTCTACGTACGTTTTCGAATTTCTACGAACTCTCGCGACTTCAGACCAAAAGAGCCTTTCTTATAAATTCAAAAAGGCGCTCTTTTCAGAGTTAAATAACTTTTTGTGTTATAAAAATTCTCTGTTGGATGAAACGTAATAAGTACGCCTAGCTAAAGATTTAAGAGTCAATTTAATATTCAGAGTCAATACCATTACGGACTCATATGTTTTAGCACGAGAGAATTCTGTAATTATTAACCAGTTATCCATTCCATTGAATCGCCCATTATAATCATGTCAATTACTTCATTACTTCAGCGACTGGAATAAAAGTTAGTTAGTTACAAAATACTTCAAGCAGTTAGCGGTTAGAATATTGTGAAAATAAAAACCAACTTACATATTAATCCCTAACCTATATCTAGATTTATTAAATTCTAACGTTTTGATAACGTATCATACGAATTATAATCATTGATTACTCGACACACGCGGCTTCTTACTAATTTAATTTTAGATTAAAATTACATTATCATAAAATATTTCATTGAATTGCTATTAAATCATTAATATTTATCTAAATGAGATTAAGCTCATTTTATATTTGGAAAAATCAACGGGTAAAATGAGGTGGAACATTCTTTTTGTGTATAATGCGTGTAAATATCATATAAACGACGAAAAGGTAACTACGACTAAGAAATCAATTTGTGCACTAGCGCGGATATACTCGCGATAAAAACTGTCGCTAGACAAATCGATTACAACAAAAACACACACAAAACGATCAACTATCATTAAAGTTTTATAATGTAAAATAACCTTAGGGTGCTATTTTAGAATGTACAGGCAGTCAAGGCATTTTCGATGGTGTTATTTGCTTACAAAAATCGTTCATAAGAATGGTTTTGGTGTCTTTTCGTATTTCGTACACATCGCAATCGTCGAATATCATCATTAGTACGTATATAACTTTCATAAATTACAGGCGTATAAAAGTTAGTACGATAATCAAATGCAGTTAGTCCTAAGTTAATTAGTTTTTCAGAGTCGCGCAGGGCATTATAAAAACGACGTAGACGGCCCACCTCAAACGCTTGTAACAAACTGATGTTTAAAAAAAACCGATCGATATCGCGCAAAATTCACAAACAAATTATTCGATATACAATTGACTTCGTCGAAGTGTTCGACATGGGAAACGTGCGAGCGAAACGAAGGAGCTGGTGGCGTTGTTATTTGACAAGGGGAAGGGGGTGGAGGGATTCGGGCGAGCGAGTGACTCGAAAGGGAGGGGGGCTCCCCGAAAACGACCTTTCAATGGCACCATTGAAGGCGTGGTAACTGGGAACCACTTGCGTTGTAATTTAAAGAGCGACGAGAGGGGTGAGTGTGGAAGGGGCGGCATGCTCAACGTGACCGTGCGTTGGACACGTGGATCCTGGAGGCGAGGTTCTTTAACAGGGGGATGGAAAGGGGTCACAGGGAGCGCAGGTGGGTCTTAAACGGCTCCTCAGTGAAACCAATGGCGGCGCGAATTGAACATGGCGTCGCAAACAGTTACTCTGAGGCAACACGTCGTTGCAGCGCGACCGTGCATTCACCAGGGGCCAGGTGGCTAAGTTATATAACAGGGGGACGGGTAGAAGGGGGTTGAGGGTCCCGATTGGTCCCACCGAGGCAACATGGCATGCTCACAACGTGACGCTGCTCGTTATGACAGGGGGACGGGTTGAGTAGGGGGTCACCAGGGGGGAGGTCGGGTAGGGAGGGCGGGGGGGGGAGGGTTTGGTTGGCGAGGGGTCCCTCCGCGCCACTAGTGCTTGACGTACGCGTAGACCACGATCCCGGCGAGTAGGAAGCCGAACGTGATGGTGAGTGGCTTGTATAGTGACCTCTTGAGCGCGTGCCACTTCTCGGCGTCGCGGGCGCGCCTCTTCATCGCGGACACGCGGTCGGCGAGCTCGCGGGTGCGCCGCCGGCGGAGCGTCTCCGAGTTCTCGCTGCGGAACAGGCGATAGACAACGGTGAGAGGGATTCAACGGGCAGGCGTCGAGGGCCTTTAGGCCGGCGCCGATTTCAGGCTGGCCTGTGGCCGATCGCCCCACTGGATGCGTCGCATGTGCTTGAAGACGAGACGCCCTGAGTTATGACTCACGTCCACTGTGAGCACGCGGCAAGCCGTGGTATGGACCGGGGCCGTTCGTTCATGCGACGGGGAAGGGTTTTTTATATGGGCCAATGGGCACGCGAGCAGCCGGTTCACCTGATGCTTAGTGAATACCGCCGCCCTTTGGCATCTGCTTCACTCGAGGGTTGCAGATGCGTTCACAACCTTTTGAAAATTGGGCTCCGGCTACCTCCCTCACCAGAAACGCTTAAGTATTATACTTCCACTTCACGCCGGTTTTCTGTGAGGTCGTGTCACTTACAAGGACGTGCCTGCCCATTTTTCAAAATCTTAAGCTTACCATTACATAATATGCCGAATTTTCCGGTGGGTTGATAGTGGGTTCGATTCATTAGCGTTATATATAAACAAGACTGGCAGATATATGCTATGTTACAAAAATAAATAATAACATTTTAAAAAGTTTTTTTTCTAAATCTAGATAAATTTCGGCTAAATTTTCCGAGACTACATTTTTCGATTGGACAACAATGAAAGCTCTTTTGCGGAAAGTTTACTTATAAAATTTAGATTTGTAATAAAATTACACTACAATACGATCCGTATCAACACACAGAATACTTTACGTTTTTTCTGCTGTGTACAGGACCACGCGACCGACGGCTTGCTTGAACCTTGAAGTAAGGAGGGGAGACAAAATATACTGATTGCCTGTTACGTCTCCATTCCCTGTACTGATTCCCTGTTATCTCCCCATTGGCGGGGTAATGGGAAGTGGCCTAAAGTCTAGCGAGTTCTGTCACCTGTCCATCGGCGGGGTGATGGGAAGTGGCATAAAATCCGGCGAGTTGTGTCACCAGTCCATCGGCGGGGCGATCGGAAGCGGCTTAAAGTCCGGTGAGTTGTGTCACCATTCTATCGTCGGGGCGATCGGAAGCGGCTTAAAGTCCGGCGAGTTGTGTCACCAGTCCATCGGCGGGGTGATGGGAAGCAGCTTAAAGTCCGGCGACTTGTGTTACCTGTCCACTGGCGCTGTGATGGGGTCATCGTCCTCGTCGTCGGCGGACGACGCGGCCGGGCTGGGGGTGCCCCGCGCCGGCGGCGTGGGCGGTCCCTCGTCCGAGCTGGACGTGGCCGGCGAGGGAGCGAAGTTCAGGTTGCCTGGAAAACGGGCGACGTTACCAGTACGGGACCCTTTTAATAGGTGGCAGTAAGGTTGAAGAGTGTGTGGCGTTGTGCAATTTACCTTATTCTGGTGATTAAAGTAATCTGGTAATCACAAATGCAAAAGTACGCCACTATTTTGCGCTAGTATTCCGGACCGCCCTGGTGATTCCTTGTATCTCTACAATAGTAGAGTTCAAAAAAAGTCCTAATCAGAACATGACGTGTTACGGTGGTAGGGCCAGGCAGCAGTCTCTGCTGTTGCACGAATGGACAGGCCAGTCCGGGTAAGTACCACGACCTCACAGAAGACCAGCATAAAGTGGAAGTATAATACTTTCGCGTTTCGTCTGGTGAGTGAGGTGGCCGGAGCCCAATTTTCAAAAGGTTGTCAACGCATCTGTAACCCTCTGGTGTGGCAGATGTCCATGGGCGGCGGTATTCACTTAACATCAGGTGAACCGTCTGCTCGTTTGACAACTTTTCGCATAAAAAAAAAGAAATGTGTGGTTGGATAGTAAGTCCCAATGTCCACTTGTTAAACAGATCTATTGCAGTGTTCCCTTCAAAACGACTGTCGGCGCCGACGACAGAACCTAGTCGACTGTAGTATACATTGGAGACGTTAGAACGCGTGAAATGAATATTTGAACGGTATCTAGGACGACTGTGTATGGGGGAATTAAGGAGAATGTTCTTACCAAGGGAAGCGCTGGTGGGGATTGCGGGTAGAGGACGAGCGGGCGCCCTGGTGAGGCTCTCGGCCCTGGGCGGCGGCGGGGGCGGCGCCTCTTCCTCCAAATCCTCGGCCACAGTCGAGTAGATGCTCTCCGACATCTTCCTCTCCCCTTTCTGCGGACCGGCGCCAGTAATTACTAACGCGCCCTCTATCGTAATTGGAACCCTAACCATACATTCACTTACGCGCCATCTATCGAACCCTAACAATAAACCGTAAAGATCGGATGACCCTATCAGTCCAGTCTTATTACTATACTAGGCAGTGCATAAGCCTCGATTTGGATCTCCAGAAAGATGGTCAATTAGTCATAGTGTGCGAAACCTGAAGCGGTGGATGTGGGGTTTGGAGTTATAATAGAATATGCGGTATGGTAAGCTGGATTGAAATCTTCACTTATAAAACTTGTATTTTTATCTTACTACTATCCGAGATTCATTTATTGTTTGCATGTGACAGTACTAATATTTATTGTGGTAGCATTTGTGGTTTTTACATCGAAACAAGTGAGACTAAGCGCGCTGATTCTATAAAGTCAAATCAGACTTTTTGAATATAAATTGTCGATAACTTTTTAGCACAGCCCTATAGCAAACTACATGTTTTAGCAAATGAAATAGCACATTGCAGTAATTAAGTACGACTTTATGTAAATTACCGCCCAGGAGGTACAATGAGATGAAGACAATCTGCTCTTATAATACCACTGCGAATAAGCGGTTGCAGAATCCAAACTTGGACGAGATCGAAGCGAGAGCATTCAAGGTCCCAACTCTGAATGTCATACGACGCCTACGACTGAACAAAACATCGGCAAAATGTGTGAATCTAATATGGAAAGTCCGTTGACGTGACATTTCCCATTTACTATCTAGGAAATTTCTGAAACTATAGACGATTCACATGAAGAAATGTAAAGCATAATTATCGATAAACTTGATTTGGAATGGGTACCTAGTTTGTTCCAGTGGCGCAAATAAAATCAAAAGGTCATCATCAAATAAAAAGGTTGCTTTTGAAGATCTTAATGAAAAATTTTATAAGACCAGCCGCCTTGGAAAAAGAGTTGAAGGACTATTTATGATAATTTTTTATTCATATGTGTATGTGATGTGATATTTTCTGAACTTTGCTGCAAACTTTTCAAACCACCCTTGTGAAAAGTTTACAGCCAAGTCCTTGAACTATACTATCCAAACTCAAGTAGTTCTTTAATCTGAGCAATTCCTGCTATCAGCGTAATTACTTAGTCACATCACTATATACATATATTGTGTTCGAGATCCTTGGGTCCGATGATGGAAAAAGCTAATGAAGCAACGCATTATATATGTAGTATGTCCAAGACACGATAACTTCAACCGCAACCAGTGGTGACCACAGAATATGAAAGCTTTTTACGAAGTAGAACCAAGACAAATGGACGCTTGAACGGTGTTTCGCACAGAGTGAAAAATATTTCGCAACGGCTGAAATTACAAAATACTGCAAACTTAGACGAAAAAAAATGTATTTGCTACTTTATGAAACGTCGCCAAGTACATTTTCGCCAAGCGTATATCACAAGCAATATTTGAATGCGCATATAAGAACTATGTTTAGTAAAAGTAGTCGATAAACAAAATTTTAACATTAAGAAATAAAAAACTCCGCATAGAAAAAAATATTCATTTCGAAACCCAATAAGCTATCCATATTTGCCGGTGGTAAACTCAAAAAGGATATTACTTCGAAGAGAACGGATGTTTCTTCATTGCTATCTAGCGGAGAAAATACATATTGCCAAACAAATAACTAGTCAGTTTACTTTTGCCGAAACTGGACTAGGACATTCAATGCGCGGGATATTAAAAATAGGGGATCTCTTCAAGTACTGTTTGCAAAATAGGGCATCGTGAGAGAACATAACATTCGAAGAAAAAAAAATTATTATTCAAATAGACGCATGCGCTTTCTTGTGAGACGTCGAATTTCACATAAACAATTGGTACATAAGTTCGTATGTTGGTTACCCTCGACCACCAAACGCGCACAGACCCCGAGTCGGGCTCGAAATTCGGACCAATCAATTCGGAAAATCGGAAAAACTAATTACCGACAAGCATTGAAGCTGACGGCTCGCTGTTGTTTATAGGTAACGTTAAACTAGCCATAGAGCCGTAGCCACCTGATACAATGATGACAGAGTAAATATGATTGTTCCGCGCGGTGCAGGGGCGCCGAGCGGTGCAACTTGTGACACCTCGCCCGTAATATATCCTGCAAGGGGCACATTAATCAAAACAGACTGCATAGTATCAAACCGAGGCCGCTGATTCGTCCTGTCGATGTATATACATCGGCTAACAAAAGTACTTTCAAATGCCTACCTAATTGGTAAGATAATTTTTCATTTATTTATCGGGAGAATATCAATGTCCTTAAGCTTAGAGACTGACATAAATAAGCTCCTTAAGAGAAAATGTTGTGTATTTTCTATAGAAATTCTTGCAAATACTTAAACCAATATTAACATCTGGCAAGATATGAAATAGAATATTTCTCCAAGGGACCTCTGTGTAATACGTTTTCTCGTTCCTTATTTAAATTTTTGCACTCCATGACGGCGTTAACATTATAAGTCAATTTAGCAACTATGGCAGAATTATTCTCTCATTTTTGTTCGGCATTTTATTTATTAAAACTATGTAGGGAACTCATTAAACAATCTTAGTCTAAAGAATCATAATAAATGCTTCAAAATCATTATTACACTCGCATTTGCAAAAATTATATAAAAAATCTTTAGAACAATAATTACATATGATGCACATTATTTATCGGAAACATCTTATTAAAAATAAAAAATATTCCAGGACACATTTTTACACAACAGTCCCAAACTAAGCACGCTTGTACTAAGGGTACTAGATACGTGATAAAATTACTTAAACGTCCTTTATTTTATTAAATACAGACATATTATATATATGTAAACACCCAGACACTGGAAAAACACTATGTTCATCACATAATATTTTTCCAGTAGCGGGGATCGAACCCACCCTCTGGCCCATTACGCCAATCGGGTTTTAATATACCCGTGGACACAACAGATATTAGTGTTAAATATTGAAATCGCCAGGCGCACAAGAGTAGTGTAAGGTTCTCAAATAGTTTGCGCAGAAACGATCCCCAGTTCGAGCGACAAGACTTTTGTTTAAACTTGGAACACAAGATACATATTCGACAGCGGAAGTGGCGTGCCAGTTGTGATCGAATATTACGCGCCGTGATTGCTGCCAGACGCCATAAACACCGCGATAAATTGTCCCGACGTGGGGACGTTATCAACGAATCAATATGATGAGAGGCAGACGAGTATATTGCAATATAATCACCGCCGGGGAACAAATGCCACCTCGTTGAGGAAATAACGCAGTCGCACAGAGATGGCGCAGAGCAAATGACATATTTCACAAAAGCTACACCACCGCAAATTAGCTCTCGAAACTAAAACTCCGTCTGTTCAGCGAAACTCCTTTAAGATTATCCGCGCTTTTACAGAGTTCAGAGCGGAACAATTAGCGAACTTTCCCAGTAACGAAGTCGGTAAAAGGAGTGAAAAATTTCCGGTTCTATCAAAGTAATCAGCGAAACTTACCAGCGCTCTGTAGAAACTAATTTATTTTCCTACCACACAGCTATGATAAGTTTAAAGCTGACAGGAAGATAAAGTTAAAAAAAATCTTAAATTAAGTCTGAAACTTCGTCAGACCGAAAGTCGAGGTTAATTATTGATAAATTAATTGACGGTGTGGCAATCAGCCATATAGCTTAGTGGCTAAAGCGTCAGGCCGCGAATGCCGAAGACGTGGGTTCGATTCCCACAGCGGGACAATCTTTTTATACTTTTTCTACAAATTTTAATGTTTAATCTTAAGTGCAGAGAATATCACTATAAAAAATTTAAATTAAATGACTTTAATTTGACTTTAAATCAAATTATACATATATATCCGTATCGGTGATAGCTGTCTCCGGGCGCTCGCCTTTAATTCATTAGCAACCTGAGTTCGATTCCCTTTGCTAGCATCAATGAAATTGTTAATTTAAAATAAAATATCTATAAAATATATGATACCGTCATTACAGAAGAGCCCTTTGCCCAGCAGTGGGACATTTATAGGCTGTTACTTTACATTTACTTTTAACACAGTCATGTGATTACAATGTGTTCGGCGCTATAAGCAGCCTTAATAATATTGCTATTAGAGTAACGTTGGCTATGATTCTATCATCATGAGAAACCATTACTAAAGTTTTCCCAGTACGTCATTGCCACGCGCACGGAATCAAACGACATTTTTTATGAAAATTATAGTTAGTTTTCGGCACGAACAGATACAAAATTAATATAATCTATATATACAGATAAATAAAATTGGAGTGTCTGTTTGTAATGTTATATGTACATATGGATGTATACACATTACATATACCAAAATATTTTTCTTACAATTTTTGTCTGCCTGTCTGTCTCTTTGATCCGTCTAATCTGAAAGGGCTGGGGGGAATTTGACGGGACTTTCACTGGCAGATAGCTGATGTGGTAAGGAGTAACTAACTTTTATTTAAGAAAATCTTTTATTAATATACTGTATAGTATAATTCCACGCGGACGAAGTCGCAGGCACAGCTAGTCTATATACATAAATTTCTAATGCCCTACTTCTCCGAAACAGCTTGATCGATTTGTGTGAAATTTTATATGTATATTTGGTGGGTTTGAGTAGCGGTCGTAATCTATTTTTCATACCCGTAAGTAATAAGGGTGGTCACAAATTCCATAGAAATAATTTATATGGCAAAACATCCTTTGTCGGGTCAACTAGAAAATATGAAAAACAACGAAACGAAAACAATTATCACTAGTTTATATAGTTAACAATTATTCTAGTTTATTTTCATTAGTTAGGTTTTTAATATATATGTCATCTCTCAAATAGGCTGAAATGATGTTGATGATAGTAATGATGATTATACTAAATTGAGTTGAAAATATTTAACAATCACACGAACCACTGCACATCGTAATTGAATAAAACTTACCCAATTGGGATTGAATCTCTTAGCGCCTTCTATGATCGCCTGGTACGAGAAACGCAGTTGATCCGGAGTCTGGATAAGACCCATCCGGTCCCTCCGCATTTCCAGAAGAATCTGCTGGATGTTCACGCTCTCGATGCCCTCCTTCTCTATCTGATGATTGAAAAAGTGTTTTCTAGCGGTAGCTCCCAGAGGTGACAGTATGTCGTTTATTATAACATAAGTTTTGAAGCATACAAAAAATGACTAATGAAATGCCTTATATAATTTGGGCATTGAATTGCTTGGAAACAATTTAAGTACATGATTATAAATAAATGAACATTGCAACATACATTCGCAACAGACGAAGGGACCTTTTCATCCTTTAGAGGTCAAATTATCTAAATGTAAATGAGACATAAAAGAAACGTAGAAAATGAAACTATATTATCATGTTTGATTTCATCAGAACGATCGTTGGGATTGATTACTGATAATTCTAAATAGTTGATTTAGATAAATGGCAGGTAATGTTAATATTCCGAATGAGGGTTACAACAAGTATACAAGAATCGTAGTAAAGTACATGATACTATCATCTTTATTTTAATCAGATGGATAGGAGTAGATATTAGTAATTCTAAATCAAATCACACAGTGACGCTGAGTTCGTCACTATGAACGTTCTAACGGCCGTTTATGGAGACAAGTGCCTATTAGAATAATGTCGCCTATCATTCCATCAACACGAGAGCCCTTAGTAAAATTCAGATGTGGCAAGTGACTATTTATAGACTCCTTTTGAAGGTGCTTAGGTCGTATCGGCCCGAGAACCATATGGGGCGAGGATACAGGATATTCAATTCCAAATATCTTTATTCAACCTAGGAGCTTTACACTTATCGAATTATATATGCTAAAAAACAATGTAGATAAAAGACATTAAGATTTTCGTCGGTGTGGCAATCAGCCGTTTAACTTCTTGGCTAAAGCGTCAGGCCGCGAAAGCTAAAGACCAGGGTTCGATTCCTACAGCGGCGAATCTTTTCGTACTTTTTCTACAAATTTTAATGATTACAATATATTAAAGTCAATAATCAATGAATTTCCAGTGTGTGTTATCATTTTTATCATCATTAATATTATATTAGCCTTTAACACACAAACGTGTTATTTTTCATTGAGCAATAGATACATTTTGAAAGTTTTGTGGTTTTTTTCTAAGGTTTACTTTAACTCAGCAAGCGGGTAGCACTGACACCGTCAAGATGTCGAGGTCGATAGGCAGGTTTAATGCTGTTCGGAGGGGACTGCTAAGGCGGAAACACTGGCAAGGCCGCGGAAATGTGCGAAAGCGTTCCCGTGGCCCTGCCGATATGCGCCTAGTTGGAATATCGTGAGGGGTTTAGTCGGTACAAGTCCGACATAACCGGCTCTTGCCTCTGCGAGGGCGGAACATTTCCACCCACGTCAATAAAAAAAAAGGTTCAATCAATGCCGTTCGGGCAACTTACGATCACGAGGCACGAGTCGACGAGGCAGAAGGTGCCGGAGCGCCCAATCCCCGCGCTGCAGTGCACCACAGCGGGCCCCACGTCGGGCGCCAGGGTGCCGGACGCGCGCACTTTCTTCAGGAACTCGAGGAAGGCCAACGGCGAACTCGGCACGCCGAAGTCCGGCCAGGTGGTGTAATGGAACTGTATCACATTGCGGCTTTCCGAGCTCTCCGTGTCCAGGATCCTTTACAGGAACAGCATCCACCGTTACTCTAATACTTGCCGACTTTACTCGCGTCGTTCTTAGAAGTGTTGGGATGAAAGCAATTAAGGCTTGTGTGAAGATCACGGGGAGCCGTTTACGTGATCATCGTCTTTAGACAGACAGACATCGGCGTTTAAATTGCGCATCACTCCTACAGTTGATGAATTAGTATTCAATTCATCAGGTTCACAATAGCACGTCTATCACCACGGACATTTATGTCTACTAAGAGACGTGTAAATTGGTATGTAATTTGCAATAGTATTGTGCACAGTAATCTACATGTAGAGTACACAGTAAAATCTACATGTAGAGGCTATATCTAGGCTCCACCAAGCTTATCTTTATTTAACAATATAATAAGTGCTATACTTTACAAAAACATTTTTAAACTAATATTTTATATTAGATGGAAGAGATTCATTTGTAAAAAGCTTTTTTTACAAAGCAAGAATTGTTTGTAAAATAGTCTGAAGAAGAACGTTACTGTCCAAGTGTTTTTATTTTTATACTCTATACGAATTGTGTTTACATACCACAAAAAATAAATATTAAAATGTAACTTGATGATCAAAACTATAAAGAACATTCGCTCGATATTATTCAGAAGCATGGCGAAACAACTTCAAAAAAAACTATAATCAAAATAAATAATCAATAACATCTACGACTTTATAATGTCTATGATAATTTTGATTAATACGTAAAATGAATTAAAGTGTAATCAATATTATGGCTATGTTTTTAAAAAGACTTACCAATAACCATTTCGAATATTTCTTACGTATATCTACGTACATTTTTAATTTACATGGGAAAACGTAAATAATAATTTCACCAGGGCGAAGAACGATATATCTTTACACGGAGAAGCATCATTTACAATTCTTTACGTTCGTGATTTATTGATTCAAATTAAATTCGAAAAAGAATGACTCGATGTAAGTAACACTAGTGTAACAAGTGTTAACTGTTTATACCTTACTACATATTTTTCTTTGGCTGATAGTTAGGAATGGAACCCGATGATGTGTAGACGGATTCCCTAAAGATCATCGAAGGTAAACATACAATAAACAAACATTGTTTACTGTGATCGGCATTCAAATAGTGTGTCTCCTACGTTTGGTGAGTGTTTTGTATAAAAATATTATTCCTATCTTGTTTTGCAAGTACACCTTTACGGCCCAGAAACTCGGGTTTATCGTAGAAGTCAAAATCGCTGCTTTAACGATAGGTCAAACAGAAAACAATAATAAGTAAGACAATATAACGAAAGCAAAACGAACATGATAAAACTTTGTCAACGATGTATATTTAAAAACGACGAGCGATATGTGCTAGTTAATGATGACTAAAGATTTTTTGCTCTTAGACATTTAGAAAATTTATCAACAGATTTAATAAATTTATACAATGCAGTAATATCGTGTCAAGAGTAAGCAAATGCTAGATAGGTACCATTCATTATTCGAACTCAACAAACGCAGAATTATACTTATGCCTCGTCAGCCTTTACGCAAAGATCAGATAATAGCAACTAATAATAATATGAGACAATGTCTTCATTCTCAAGATATATATCTTGTGAGGGCCGCCAGGTACGCTCAAAAAGTGCAATAGAATAACTTCCAGGTGTACTTGGCATGTTTTTTTTTATTTCGTTCTAGAAAAGTCAAGTGTGTTTTATATAAATTCTGCATTACTGACTGAGAGCTCGAAATGTCTACAAAACAGCATGCTGTCACTTCATAGATAGATAAAATTATAATCTTAAGGCGCTTTGATTTCTAAAGTAGCACGGACGACCTGTATGGTGTAAAGGGTAGCCAGCTGTAGCCCGAGCAAACCTTTACATATTCTTATTTATTCTGTGCGAGGTCGATAAATAATTACCGATGGTGTTTGCACTATTTATATGGTGTTAACGGCGGGCGAGGAATCGTGGTTGAACTATGGCAAGATATGTGAATGTTTTTTTTATTACGATCAAATGTGCGTCATATGAAAAAATATTTTTAGGACACATTTTCACGCAACGATCTTTAGTCATAAGCTAAGCACCGCTTGTACTATGGGTACTAGATAACTGATAAAGATACTTAAACATACTTCTCTTTTGTAAATAAATACATATTTATATATAAACAGACATTATTAAAATACTATGTACGTCACACAATAATTTTCGAGTTTCGGGTATCGAACCCACGCCCTCTGGCGCGGCTTATGGTTGCTGTACCTTATATCATGGTATCCAGATTGTCCACGATGCCGATGGTCAGCGGTTCTTTTTCTAGGGCTTTTATTGAAAAAACAATTTCGACCTAAGCACTGCCTACACGAAAAACCTATTTCGAATCCGTAAGTTACGACTAACGAATCTTAGAGTCGTTTTATTCTTTCAATCAATCATTAAAGATACAACAAAAGGAATGAGATTGGTTGCTTATTCGGTCACGGTAATATCGATAAGAATATGAATTCATAAAAATAAGGTCGTCTGGATTCCCGACACATTAAGCGACGTGTAGCGGGAGTACCCGTTATTAGCTCATATAGTTATATGCATGTGTACGTATGTACATATAAAGTTGTTGCAGACAATTGGTATAGTGTTACAGGCTTGCAGTGTGCTTAGTTTGCCACGTCATATTTTTGTAGATAGAACACAAAACTTATTAACGACACAAAAGCAAGAAACAAATTGATGAATAATGTTTTCCTACAATTGTTACACAGAATGAATTAATAACAATCTATCTTTACACAGTTCAGATAGCAGATGCCAAAATTCCGAGACTATTGTTTTAAGACAGCGTATTGTGAACATACACTATAATGATACACGTAATATAATCGTATATACATTAACATACCCGCCGGAGAGTTAGAGGTAGACTTATTTTTTTTTTTAATATTACGTATTTACGAAAACAAAGGATTTTTTTTTTGTTGTGGAATGAAGAATTTAAAGATTACTAAACATTGGCCAAGTTATAAAGAAGGCCGTAAAAATTGGTCGGTTAAAAGCTTAAAAGCCTTAAATGAAATATTAATACAAACTGTGCTTTGTTTCGCTAATTGTTTCGCAAAATCGAAACAATGGCGAGGTAGTCTGGTCACTTAATTTTCAAATAAAATATAATATATGGCCACGTAAATTTCTAGACATGAAACTAGCTGTTTGTACGGGAAATTTGTTTCGTTTCAAATGAGCATTGGTCACCTATGTCTATGAACTTTCTTTAAACGCTTGATACGTGATCTCGCAAAGATATAAACCGGGCAAATACGGCAAACTGAACAAAGTTATTTGTCGGTGTCCGACATAATCCTGGTTCCATCGTTCGGGCTTAGTGATCGAAGTAATAAAGGCGCCCACAAAAAGGATTTACCCGATTGGCAGCAGACAGTAATCATTTTCCACGAAGACGTCTACCGCCACATGATTACTTTGCGACTGTTTTTTTTAATAACAATAATAAAATATCTTTATTCACGCTTGCGCATTCTTATGAAACGTCGAAATTTTACAAGGAAATTAATATGTTCGTAAGTTACCACCGATTCGGAAAGCAGTTTCTGTTGAGAAAAAACCGGCAAGGAACTCAACAGTTGCTCTTTTTTAAAAGGTCAGTTTATAATATAATGTTACAGGTATAATAGTCTTGTTTTAGCCTACGTGAGTATCAACAGTATTAACCCCACACATTGGCGTTGTCAAGATATTCAGCAATATGTGTTACAATCCACTGGCAACACTGTTCAATATACGAGCAATAACAATTATACTTAATAAACATTGAACCATATTTGGTATAATATTATATAATAAACCATGCTTAATAATAATTTATAATTTAATAGGTCAATCTTATTAAATGTACTAGTAATTTAATAAGTGCATAGATTTGTAATGTAGTTGTGATGACTCATTACTTTTTTGTATATAAGCGCATAATGTTTCAGTAATAGGGTAGAACACTTTATCCTTTGTATAGGACGTTACTCTGTCCTAATAAGTAGGAAGTAGTCTAATTAATATATAAAGTTGTTTACGCTATCCTCACTATTTTATTTTGACCGACCAACCTACAGTCTTTAATATATGCTTTATCCATAAGTTTACTTTTAACTTTTCGTTTAAATTGATCAAGTGGCAGACTTAATATCGACTGTGGGATTTTATTATACATGCGCACACTTTGCCCCATGAACGACCTGTTTAATTTTTGTAGACGAAACAATGGCGTAGTTAGTTTGTCCTTATTAGAAATAATATTATTAGAAATAAATCGTATTTAGTTTATGTCTGTCACGATAATTATTAATATTATGTTTAACATACAAAATATTACAATAAATAAATTGAGACGCAACTGTGAGTATATTAATCTCTTTAATAAGATCTCTGATTGTATTCCGGCCACCGATGTTATAGATCGCTCGGACAGCTCTATTTTGAAGAATAAATATAGAATTTATATCAGATGCACTACCCCACAACAAAATGACGTACGACAAGATGCTGTGTAAATAACTGAAGTCTGTAAGTGGTTCTCCGAAAACATATTAAACCGCGTTTTTAATAACTAGGAAACAGTCGCGAGTGGTGTGGAGTATGCGTGCTCGTTACCACGTTGAAACGTGTCATTTCATCGGACAACCGTTTGAGCGGTAGATGGTAATGAACTAGTTTTTTAACCATTACAAAATTACTATTTAATTATTTTTTTCCAATTCAAGAGATTAGGTTTATCCTTGTACGTTAACTGGTTACGGTTCGATCTTACCTGGCTGACACCCTGTTTCTGAAAAACAAATGATCTTCTTAATGATCAATTCAAAGAGTTTAACATTCCTTTTGGCACCTAATATGGCATTTGAAAAACTATTTGACAGCTGATAAATTTCTACAATAATCAGGGTTTCAGAAACCGGGCGTGACCGGGCCTGTACCTAGTGTATCCTTACTAATATTATAAAGGCGAAAATTTGTATGTATGCTGGATGGATGTTTGTTACCCTTTCACGCAAATACTACTGAATGGATTTTAATGAAACTTTACAATAAAGCTTATACACCAGAATAGCAAATAGGCTATAATTTATATACATATTTTAAGTGTATCTGTCTTTCTGGCTTAATGTTGCACCTTAAGCCTATTCTACGCAGACGTAGTCGCGGGCAGCAGTCAGTAACAAATAATAAAGTATGTAAGAAAATAATAATGTAAGTGGTAGGGCCACGCAACAGTCTTCACTGTTACACGAATGGGCAGGTCGGTCCGGAGGAGTACCAAGACCTCGTAGAAGACTGTCGTCAATTCTGCGTTTCGTCTCGTTAGTGAGGTAGCCGGGGGCCACTTTATTAAAAGGTGGCAATCCATCCGTAACCATACGGGTGTGCCGTGCTTAAATGTCCATGGATGGCGTTAATCGCTGGCTCGTTTTCAGCGTCGTTAGAGAGTTATCCATCACCGATGATCACCTGGTATGCGAGAACTTTGACCGAGTAAAGATTAGGTCGGTACTTGGTAATTGCATGTTCATATAAAAATATTGAATAGAAATAATGCCCCTAAGCTTGTATCAAATGAAAATCTTGGGATCGACACAATTTTTTAAACATATTTACATATACTATACGGCAAACATCATAACTTTATTAAGAAAGAAAAAATATGTATTTAAAGTCGTCCGCTTACGTAAAACAATTCGAGATTAAATAAAGGACAAAAAGTTCGAAACCAATTAGCAACAATAACATTTCGTTGGAACTCTTGAGCTGAGTTGGAACAGTTAAGAAATTGAAAATGTTTGCGGATTTATTGGAAGTTCTTTGTAGGTCTTCAATTTAGATTTCGAAAAAACAGTTAAGAAATTTAACTTCTTTTTACGTTCTATTGAAAGTACTTTGTAGGACTTCGTGTTGGGTAACTCGTGTTGGGTACGCATGACCGCCATGAAACAGTTTCGTGTACAAAATTATAACAACGTGAGGCAGCTTATGACATGGAAAATTGTGAGAAGTTCATTTCAACATTAGCTACGTAATTGGAGGCAAAAACGAAATGTAGAGAAATATAATATGGTAACTCTTTTTTTAATGAAAGATATCGCTCTGTTCATATGTAATTTAGCATTGAGCTTGGCAAAGCTCTCAAGTTTGAAATTAAAAACGGGCGGATCGCAAAATCAGTTCAGTTCACCCTTTGCTCTTAAACATTTAACTACTAGTAACGAGTGCCACTCAGTGGGTTCAGTAGCATCATTTGAAAAAAAGACGAGACAAGGGTTTTAGACCCTATAACAAAAAACGGAGGAGCTGTGAGGAACATCTTAGACTGAAAAATATTTCTAAAAAAGGAATGTCTTAAGTCATCTCTATAATATGTGATCCATTAAAGCTCGTGGTACAGCCAGATTTCAGGAGCGTGATACGTTGGGTGGGGCCGTGCATAAATGCGTGCGTCTTGAGGGTATGTTAAGGGAGGTATTGTGACCGAAGGTAGATGACTATGTTAATCATTGGAAGGACCACCCTGGAACGCGAGTGTACCTTGTGCACAAGTTGTGTTGGTTTCGCCAAGGCTCCTACGGTTACTAAATTTATAGGGCCGCCTACTGGTGATAGCACAACGCTTACTAAATAAATAACGCGGTTCACCTCCAACCAGGATCTTAATCTTTTCTCGTACATACATTTATTACGTATTACAGAATTACAGAATGCCTAATTCTGCTTTTTCGGAGTCATTGAAAAGAAGTGAAACGCTATTAGGTCTAACTAGGGGTGCACGGTACTTTCATATAATAACTGTGGTAGGGCCGCGCAGCAGCCTCGGCTGTGGCACTAATAGGCATGCTCGACCGGGTAAGTACCACGACCACACAGAAGATCAGCGTAAAGTGGAAGTATAATACTTTCGCGTTAAGCCTGGTGAGTGAGGTAGCCGGAGCCCAAAGTTCAAAAAGGTTTTCAACGCATTTACAACTAAAAACTTTCGAATGTAGCAGACGTCCATGGGCGGCGGTCTTCACTTAATATTAGGAGATCCGCCTGCTCGCTTAACAACTTTTCACATAAAAAAAGAAAAATATATTACGGGCCAGAAGTGAGCAATGGCTTAAGACCTTCCAGGAGGGCCTAGCGGGATTTAGCGTTCTATCAGTGTTCTGCGATATTTTACCTTTATAGTTAGGTCAACTTTGAGTTAAGTTCAATTCCCATTGACATCGACCGCAGACTATTTTGGTCGCGTTCTTTTCCCTAATCAAATGTCGGAGGTCAGACGGAAGGTTAAGGCGATATTCTCACCGTTCGTTCGCATTCTTCGACGGCAGTAGAGATGCGAGAACAGCTTGCTATCGCTCGACTTACGTCATCGAGCGTAACTATCGCTTCGGGAGGATGTTTACGAGATTCACACGAGGGCACATGAAAGCAGAAATCTGCCTAGTTAATCAAAATCGCAGTATAATTATAATGTCCTCACAATATATCGAAACTAACCAAAGTAAGGGCAGCTTCGTAGAACAATCGAGAAGTTTTGATCGCTTCTCTCGTTATAAGTGCTACGCACGATTGAAGTGCACGGAAAAGTCATCAAATAAACATCACGAAATTCTGAAGTTCTAGAGAAATCTCGCTACAATATGCCAAAACATAAAGAACTCACCGGAACACTCTGGTTGAGTAATAGCTGCAATCCTCCTCGCTGACTTGTTCCACAACGAGCTTCACGTCGCTGAGCACCATCTTGTGCTGGTCACCGATGCCGTGGGGCCAGTACCAATGGCACTTGATCTCGTTCTTCTCTATGATCTTGTTCAGCATGAGGATAGCGCGGCTGTTTTGCTCCCACACCATCAACCAGAAGTGGCCAACGGTTGACCCGAGCGGACCTTGCGTCAGTATGTACTTTCTATTCGCCCGCTCCATCTAAAGACGAAATGTACAGTAGGAAGGGACAAGAACGGCGAAATGTTCACATAGTGTTCTGTTTTCTTATCAGTTATATTTACTCATCAGGAACAGATGGTTTTGTATCGAATTTCAATAATAACGCGAATAAGTTAAAAGTAGGATTTTCACATATGAAAATCCTACTTTTCGAGAAAAAAAAAAGAAATAAAAAATTTAATAGATATTTGGCTTTCTTGTAAAACTTTTTATCTGCTAGAAAGCGTCTTTAACACAAATATTGTGATGTTCTATTACCCGAAAGTTGGAATAACGAAGTGATAGGTTATCATTCGTCATATTACAAGGAATTTAGAGTAAAATCTAAATATTTGTCTTCTGAAAGGTAAGTCCATCGAATATGTTTTCACTTTATTCTTAAAATAATTTTATAAGTTTATACTTTCACGTAATTATGTAAAAAAAATTGAGTAATACTATTATGAAAGTTTAGTTATATTTAACATATTTTCGTCAAAAATTTGGATTGTAAATTGTAATATAAATATTAGGTTGGGGAAAAAGTCTTTTCACAAATAGTATGTATGTACTTATAATATAATCTCTTGGGCTATACCATTAGTATCTCGGTGGTTTTGGTATCATTGAAAATTTAAATTTTAAAAAGATAATTCAAAATTAAAATTAGGAAAATTTGTGATTTTCATTTATTTTTCTTACTGTTAAGATGAGTGATTCTAATGAAGAAATTCGATACATTTTAAAATTTTACTACAAAAAAGTTAAAATGCAACGCAAGCCGCGAAAAAAAATTGTGATATTTAATGACATAGTCCAGTGTCTGTGAGAGTAGCACAAATTTGGTTTAAGCGTTTTCAATCCGGAAATTTTGATGTCAAAGATGCACCTCGCTTTGGGCGCCCTGTTACAGATAGAATGGATGCCATTTTTGGAAAAGTGGAGCAAGATCGGCATATCAGTAGTTATGATGTAGCTGAAGAACTGGGGACCACAAAACAGTTTTGGCGCATTTGAAAAAAGCTGGGTACACAAAAAAGCTTGATATTTGCGTGCCTCATGAGCTCTCTGAAAGAAACCTAATGAACCGTGTACTCATTTGTGATTCTTTATTACGACGTAATGAAACCGAACCATTTTTTAAAAACCTGATAACTGGTGATGAAAAGTGGATCACGTACGACAAGAACGTGTGAAAAAGGTCGTGGTCAAAGGCTGGTCAGGCTTCACAAACTCTGGCAAAACCCGGGTGATATCGCAACATCGTGTGTATGGTGGGATTGGAAGGGCATTATTCATTATGAGCTGTTAACCGCCAGGCAGGACCATTGATTCTGAACTCTACTGCGAACAACCGATGAGAATAAAGCAAGAAGTTGAGAGAAAGCGGCCGAAATTAATCAACAAAATTAGGGGTGTGATTTTTCATCATGATAACGCTAGACCTCACACATCTTTAGCCTCTCAGCAAAGATTAAGAGTTTGACTGGGAGGTGTTAATGCATCCGCCGTAAAGTCCTAACCTTGCACCTTCAGATTTCTACTTGTTTCGGTCTCTTCAGAATTCTTTAGGCAGTGTCAGGTTAACATCACGAGAGGACTGCCAAAACCACTTGTCCACGACATGTGGTTTTGGCAGTCCTCTCGTTTTTGACCAGAAGACCCAGAATTTCTATAGCAATGGGATGATATAGCAATAGGTAAGGATATGCCTTACCTACAAGATGGCAGAAAGTTATCGAACACAATGGCACCTGCAAACTTTAGTTAAATGTAAATAAACTTTATTAAAAATGTTTTGAATTTTCATATAAAATGCGAAGAAACTTGTTCCCCAACCAATTATATTATATTCAATAGTAAAATTTTTCACGTGTTTCCAGTTTGTTCCAATAACAGTCAGAGTTCGGTTATTGTTTACTGTTTACATAAAAAACCCAGATTTTTTATGTACATTGCAAAATAAAGTTAATTAAATTTCAAAAAATATATTGTCACTTTATGCTGTGTTATAAATAGGGAAAAGAAAATGACAATTCTTGTAGGATTAGCAATACATATCTTTATTTTGGTAGGACATTGTTATATTTGGACGAAAAACATACTAATCTATCACATGCTACTTTTGTCCTACAGTTACTAAAAAAAAAATTGTCTTGTGGCATTGATAGCTTTTGGTTGTAGGACCAGGATTTGGTTGTACCACGCAATTTGTAGGACAGTTTGGTTGTTAAATTATTAAATATTAAAATATTAACTAACCAATAGAAAAAAAATTTGCTGTTTAGTAATTACTTTTCATGACCTTGTTTATACACGTTTGAGAGGGGGGACTACTACATAAAACTTTGAATTTTGTAGGACAAATATTTTTTCGGTTTATTTAGATAATCTTGGGAATTATAAAGAAAAATTCAGTCAGTAATAAATTTTTGAAATTCGTCAAATCAACATATTTCACCTCTGCTAACCCTGTTAGCTACCGTTTACCAAAATTGTTATAAAGAAAAAGTTGGGCGTCTCGTCAAAATGAAGCTACTCACAAATAATCTGCTTGTTAGTAATAAAATGTTAAAATGGGCTTGAGATCCCGGACTAACAATAATTATATTGTTTTTTTGGATATCGAATCCCTTTTTTTTTTAATTGAAAAGTTGCCAAGCGGGCTGACGGTTCACCTGATGTTAATATAATACCTGAATACTGTATAATACTCTATAATAATAGCTACAGAGGGTTCCAGATGCGTTGACAATCTTTTGAAAATTGGGCTCCAGCCACGTCACTCACCAGGCGAAACGCGAAAGTATTATACTTCCACTTGACGGAAGTCTTCTGTGAGGTTGTGGTACTTACCCGAAACACCCTGCCCATTCGTGCGACAGGCGAAGCTATCGCTATTTATCAAATCTATCTAGATTTAATATAGAAACCGACCGTAAAAGCTACCACTGGTCAACTTATCGCTTAGTAATGTTTACTGCCTTAGAATTTTATAACAGCAAGGAGTAGTTTACCTGTGCAAATTTTTTTCCATTAACGAGTTGCGTGAAGCGTTTCGAGCATACTTAACTCATGCACCTCTCTACCTAATATTTGACTCTTGACATTTATTTTCCAAAAGCTCTTCGGTCTAAAGTTAATGACAAAGCCTATTTATAACACGATCAAAAGAACGCAATACATTGAGAAACCGTCTGGGCGCAAATAAAGCTTGCATATTCAACAACAATGATGTTATAATATATAAAGGTATACAGGTAAAGATATACATTTTTACACCAACATGATGATCATATAACATGATCCATATAACGATAATAAATCTAAGAGCGATTAATAAGGTAACCCCTGGGAATTCACTAAAGCTCAATGAGAGTAACCTAGAAACATAATAAACGATAATGTACTAGCCATTAAATGTAAAAACAGCACCAGTTGGAAACTCAAGGATAACTGACCCCAGGGACGGAGAGAATACATTAGCGGATTGCAATGCGGCCTTGGCGAAACATGTGCACTGGTCGGTGTTGGTAATGTCGTGTATGTTTTAACTGTTTACATGAAACTTGAAGGGGCATTACGAGATGTAGTGAAATAATAATAGTAACGTTAATAAAATGGAACACTGTATTAATGACATGTTAAATAAAAATACACGCTTTCAAATATATTTGAAATCCTAAGTTATGCAATTGCGTGATCAATCACATTTCGGGTATTATTTAGAGACCGTGGAAAATGACCAAGCTATAAAACAATTAAAAGACAAATTGAGTGCCATTTATGGAAATGTTAGGTCTCGTGTTCTCTGAATATTACGTAATTGTCACTGAATTTATTGCACTGAGTAAATTTTTCTTAGGGTAGGCTTTCTTTCTGATCTTACTTATTAATCAAGAAACTGGTTGTCATTCCAGGGTATAAAAACATAACTAAAGGAAATCCATAATTCTGTAGTTAATGAAAGGAAGTGTTTCCACAGTACTTAGTAGTATAATGCTTTTTCAAAATGGATAATTTGGATAATATAAAGATAATGTTTAGGTACTTCATGAAATTTTGGTATATGCAGTCAATCAATCAATCATTCAATGTATTCTTTATTGTACACCAAAAACATGATTAAGTACATAATACAAAACAGTATAAAATGTAGGTATGATAAATATTGCCGCAGTGAAAGCCATTTCTTCTTGACAACAATGGTAATTGAAATTATTTTAATTAAAACATAAAGAGAAGAGCAAAGGGAGGTGTACAAAATATTAGGCTCATTTTAAAGGCATTTGTAGATAAAAAGCAATAACAGAGACATGTAATAAGAGTTCCAAATAATGAGCCTTCACTAGTTTTTAATGGAATAAAGAGACAGCTTTTTGAATGTGTAGGGGTAAAGAGGTCCACAAATGCATGGACATGACCGTAAAAGAGATATTTGAGTTAGAGGAGTGTACAGGACTTTGGAGGAACCTTTCATGGGAGAGACAGAGAGATATTTAAAGTGGTCTATTGAGTATTTAGGAGTGGAGTGATTGAACAGCAAGCAGTTCATACTATTCAATCCCTCCACTCCCAAAAAAGAGGAAAAGATATGAGTGTTTCTAAGAAAACTAATTGGGAGCCTCTTGTGCTGTTTACAAAAATTCAAAACATGATCATATTTGGACAGCAATTGTTTTATGTGAACATTTTTCAAACATATTTTTAATTAATTTTCGTGGCCTGCAAAGATTAGCGCTAAAAAATTTAAAATTACCTTAAAATTAATGTTGCTATTATAAAATGCCAAAGTCTGACAAATGAATTTTTGAGCCACCTATAAAAAATGGATTTTAACATCGCTTCTATACACTGCATAACCAAAACTTGTTTTCAATGAATTTTATTTATATAGAGAAATCTGGCTGTTCAATATGCCCAAGATGAACCAGCTGATCAATCTTTAATCATGTTAAGAATTATTAGGTGTATTTTCAAGTTAAAATGAGAGTTATTTTTATTAACAACGGGGATATTGCAACCTGCCAGGAATACTTCTTATTTTAAAGTAATATATTTCCTTCTTTTCTTTACTATTTTTTATTGTTATACTCTCATTTGAATATAATTATATTATGGTTTTAACACATTGTCTTTAGAGTTTTAAATACCTGTTATTAGTGCAGGTTATGGTTACTTTAAGCATTATTTGCAGACTGTTAATAAACACTAAGGACAAAATAATTTTTTGAACTAAAAAAAATGTTGCTACCTGAAATTGTACTTTTAAAATTTCTTCAGCTAGAGTAACAGATCAAAACAAAAAAAACTTAGATACTTAAAAAATTTATTAAAAATAAATTAACTAAAAAAGGCCTTACCTTAACAAGATTAGCATTGATGTAGTCACGCTCACATCTCTTCAAAATAACCCGGCTATGATCATAGGGATTGACATCTCTGTAGCGATTCAGCTGTTTATTCTGTGGTTTCTTTGCTTCCATACATGTATATGGATATGTTTGACATTCTCTCCCAATTTTCTACAAAACATGTGTTGTTTAATTTATCTACAGCACACAAGAAAACTGCATGGGCCAAATTTTTTAAAAGACAGATATGAGGAAAAATAATTAATTACTTCAGACCACTTAGACTTTCATACTCTTGGTAAATGAGGAAAATCTTTAAATAAGTTTCATGGAAATTATAGGAGCATGGGAGCATCTCCTGTATGGCTGATACTTGACTCCTGGCGTTTACTCGTGCGTGGCATATCCAACGTAAACCACCGCGTCACACCTACGCAAAACTTACCTGATAGACAATTGGCCATGCATTCCTGTTCGCAATATCCGTATACTCCGCCTCTACGTTGCTAGAATTCATTTTTTCATCATTCATGATGAAACTATATCATTTCAATCTACACGACCAAAGTATTGGTATTTTGTTGCTGCCGGATGCCGCAAAACTCGCGGGTTACGCACCAATCTTAAAATATTAACGCGTGAATTAAAAGTTATCTTTAAAAGTTTATTTTAATGACAAAGAAAACCGGCCACCTAGAGGTCTCGTACGCGTCGCATCAACTGTATAAATGGTAAAAACGGGTAATTTGTCGTATAACGTATAGACTTCCTATCTTGAATGTGAGTGCACCGATGTTCGCTGTCTAATTTGATGTTGTCACGTTTGGCTCCATTTCCTACCAAAAGGAAAATAAATCCACCATTTAGCAGTTTATTCTTCGTAAACTAAAAAAATTAGTTGAAATAAAATTTTACAATCAATAATGTTTGGAATTTGAATAGAAAAGTATTAAAAAAATCCTTTACTAATTAGTTACAATATATTATAGTTATATATTATATTATAGTTACAATATCCATTGATAGAACGACTCTGCTGAACGAAGTGGCTAACCATACACCAGAAATATATCATTATGTTTGGCAATGTTACAGTGAAAAGAGTAATTTATTTTATGAAGACAGTATTATTGATTCTGCTGTCGACGTTCAACAGGGAGATCCCTAGGACCAGCATTATTTAGTTTGGGAATTCATCCAATTATTTCAAAATTGAATTCTAAACTTAATGTCTGGTACCTAGACGACGGTACTCTGGGAGGTAAAGTTGACGATGTACAAGATGGCTATGATCATACGGATTGACATTTCTGTAGCGATTCAGCTGTTTATTCTGTGGTTTCTTTGCTTCCATACATGTATATGGATATGTTTGACATTCTCTCCCAATTTTCTACAAAACATGTGTTGTTTAATTTATCTACAGCACACAAGAAAAACTGCATGGGCCAAATTTTTTAAAAGACAGATATGAGGAAAAATAATTAATTACTTCACACCACTTAGACTTTCATACTCTTGGTAAATGAGGAAAATCTTTAAATAAGTTTCATGGAAATTATAGGAGCATGGGTGCATCTCCTGTATGGCTGATACTTGACTCCTGGCGTTTACTCGTGCGTGGCATATCCAACGTAAACCACCGCGTCACACCTACGCAAAACTTACCTGATAGACAATTGGCCATGCATTCCTGTTCGCAATATCCGTATACTCCGCCTCTACGTTAAAGTAATTTAGAGCGTGCCCGTTTCCTAGGCGTCTAGTCTAAAGAATTGAGTTATTGGCTTCACGCTTTACCGTCAAGTAACTTGGGCACATTACTTGACGATGAAAGCTTACGCATTGCTGTAGTAATCCGTCTGGGTGCACCGACTTGTCAACCACACCAATGCCCTTGTGGTGTCAGTATAGACAAATTTGGTCTCCACGGGCTTTCTTGTCAAAAAAGTGCTGGCCGTTTTTCCCGCCACGGTTCCCTGAACGACATCATCCATAGGGCTCTTGTTACCATCAATGTTCCATCTATTTTAGAGCCCTGTGGCATTTCTCGCGACGATGGTAAGAGACCCGACGGTTTAACATTGATCCCTTGAGAGAGGCAAAGCTCTTGATTGGGACGCCACTTGTGTAGATAGATGTTCTTGCCGGTCTCTTCTCAACAGAAACCGCTTTCCGAACCGGTGGTACCTTACGAACCTATACACATAATCTTTGATGTAAAATTTGACGATTCATAAGAGCGCGCAAGCGTCTATTTGAATAAATATATTTTTGATTTTGATTTTGATACTTTGGCTGCCTCTCATCTAAGGGCTTATTCGGTTAGGGCCGGGGTGCATCGGAGGCAGCTGAAGTAAGTAAATGGTGCAAATATGAGTCCTTATGTTTAGATTATGTATTTGTGCCATTTGCTGTTGAAACTTTAGGTCCGTGGAGTCCCTGCACATCAAAATTTTTAAAAAGTTTATGTCCTAGGCTTAACGCCGCGACTGGTGACAAGAGAGCTGGTTCTTTTCTGGCTCAAAGGTTAAGCATAACTATTCAGCGAGGAAATGCAGCTTGCGTTCTTGGCACCATGCCGCGTGGATTAGGTTTATTAGATAATATGTAATTTTAGATAGATTTAATCTTGAAAATATTAGATCAATAAATATTGCAAATAATTTTTCATTATCTTAAATCTAAATATTAAAGAAATAAAATAAAATATAAAACTATTATTAGTTAACTAAATATTTCAATCTCTACTTCAATGTAATGCGTATTACTGGTATATTGTTTTAATTACGATCTTAATATTAAGACTATGGTACGGTGTTAGCGTGATTGCTTTGACAGTTTCATCGGAAGAGGACCGCGGATAGACAACCGATGAACTCAAGAAGGAACAACGAAGCTGGTACACAGTCCACTGCGATGACACTATCACGCCATTCACGAGGGGTGGGGAACTGGGGAATGTCATGATACGAGGTTGTGACGTTGGCTTGAATGAAAGGAATCACTAGTTAAAGTTAGTAAATGATCTGATAAAAAATATTATTTATTCGCCACACATTATATTTGAAAGAAGAGCTTTAACAAAATTAATTTATTAAAATTACTAATTCATGAAGTTTAAACGGATTTAGTGAACACAAAATTGAAAATTCATAGTCAGTTGCAGTGGAATTTCAGAAACGCACACAAGAGAATGAGTAGAGTATCAGGAGAAGGATACGCTTTGTTTTGTTTCTTATTGTTTTACCAAAGTAAGTTTAAAAGTTATTTTACAATTTTATTTAACATATATTATAGTAATAGTATTCATTCCCCACGTTTGTACTTTGAAGAAGTGAGACGAGAGGGTTATGGTAATTAAAATAAGCAGTGGTGGATTTGCCCTAAGGCCCAGTAGGCCCGGGCCTTGGGCGGCCAGATTTTAAGGGCAGCTTGGAAAAAAAACCTCAATGATGATCACAAGAAACAACTCAATGTACGTAAATATTCTAAAGTCTCGCTTAAATTAAAGCAAGCCGCACATCACCGCATCGTTTAACGATAATCTTTCTAAATCATGACCTGGGGCCTAGGGCGGCTACGACTGCAAGTCCGCCACTGAAAATAGGATGACATCATATCTCACTTATTCAAGTGCGCGAGCATCGTAAAAACTTTACTCGCATTTTTTAAACGCACCACGAGAAATACAACAAAAATGTTATCTATCAGTGATTTAGAATCAAAGCCTCAGAGAATTGATTTAGAGTCAGAGCCACAAGAATCAAAGTGCTATAGTTAAATTTACATAAAACAGTTACCGCAAACTACAAACCTAATACAATCTTAAAATCTGGAGGTTAGTAGCGCTACGGCCTTTTGGCGCCGGGATGCTGCCCCTGACCGAGTTCCTGCGCCAGCAAGTCAAAAGTGTGGTGAACGCAGGATGCAGTAGGTTGCTTCTATTTCATTAAGCAATAAGAATTATTAGATACAAATAAGTGTAAAAAGATTGTTAGTACATATAATTTTAATATCCTTTATAAATATAGCAAAAAAATTATTTTCATTAATATAATCCACTACAAATATTTCTAATTTTTATACATCATGTTTGAATGAGTTTGTAAACTTTCACGTCTGTTCTGTGTCCCCCTACACAGTTTTTTGGTAAAGTTATATTTGCAATAATACAAAGTCTAGTCAAGTGTATTTATAGTCTGTATATTTTTGGTAGTTTATTATCTACGCATAATAAGTGCCAAGTGGAAGCAATGAAAAATTGACATCGAGGCAGTAGGTACAGAACTTTTAATTTTTACAAATTTCAATTTGTGAAATAATATATCAAGGTTAAAGAGATGGCTTCTCCGCGCACCCGTCGTAAGTTAAATTCAGTGCGCAATATGGATGAAAATCATGTGAGTATTCAAAAAATTATGGATTAGATTTTATTGCTTTTTTTAACTATTTGATATATTTTCTAGAAATGTTTTGAGTGCGGGACTCTTAATCCTCAATGGGTGTCAGTTACGTATGGCATATGGATTTGCTTGGAGTGCTCAGGAGTCCATCGAAGCCTCGGCGTGCACCTCTCTTTCGTACGCTCTGTGACAATGGATAAATGGAAAGATATTGAACTTGAAAAAATGATGGTACATTTTAATTTTTTAAATGTTATTGTACCTGCAATGATAATATATTTGGTGATTATTTAGTAAATCATTGTAATAATGAATCAGCATAAAAAATTTATGGAAATGACCAGATTTTGCATAAGCACTATTTGAAAACAACACATTGTAATAATATAAAAAAAACATTAGGCTCAGTTTTCCATTGACGTCCGTTTAGTTGGGGGTTGATGATTTTATTACAGAAAGGTAACATTATTTTAAGTACACATGCAAAGGAATTTTCTTGAAATTTCCTCAGAATTAAAAATAAAAAAACCTTGAAAAAGTGGGGTCTCTGCATTTTTTCCAATTTTGAAAATTGATATAAAGTGCCTATATATTTAGAGGGTAAAAATTCCGAACAGTATGTCTCGTTTTTCAAGCTAGAAAAAAATTTTAATCGATAGAGAAATGTTAATAATTAAATATTACATACTTGAAAATCAATGCAAACACTTACTTTTAATAAAAAAAATATTTAAAACTTGTTATGTTCACTAAATAAATCCGCCATTATAAATTTATTCGAATTCACACACTTTTGCAAATTATAACCTTCGCATTATTAGAAAAGTCTTTAAAAATACTAAAAGTACTGATACACAAAAGTTTTCTGGGTGGTCATAAAACAAAACCTAACAACGAAGGCTTAACCTTCTAACCTAACCTATCCGAGTCGGATTGCTCTTTGTCGGATCTGTGACTCATTTTGAACCTAATATTCGAGACTTTAATTGTACACAAGTCACAAATTTAAAATATTAGAAATTGTTAATAATACATGTTCATGGAAGAGCCGTGATAGCTCAGTGTCCGGGCGCTCGCCTTAATTCAATGTATACTCGAGCAACCTGAGTTCGATCCCCGGTGCCGGCACCAATGAAGTTTTTAACTTTAAGTGCTGAATTATCACTTGCTCCGCGGTAAAGAAAAACATCGTGAGGAAACCTGTATATTTTCGGAATAATAACAAAAAAAAAATGTATTTCGAAAATATGTGAAGTCCGCCAATCCGCAGTGGGGCCGCGTGGTGGACTATGCCCTGATACCCTCTGTATAGAGGAGGCCTTTGCCCAGCAGTGGGACATGTATAGGCTGTTACTTTACTTTACTTTTACATGTTCATGGAGTAGAAACTTGTGTTTTTGTGATATATCTGTATATTTGTGTCTTCTTACAACGTAAAAAGTGAAAACTTAAGTTTTTAACTTAAAATAATAGTCTATAATGAATAATGGACGCACAGTAATGACGGATTTCAGTTGTATGAAATTTAAAAACTTTGTTAATTTTTTCCTCATAATCTAGTGGTTTTCATTGATTATAACTTATATAACATTTAATTATTAACATTTGTTCTAGCTTGAAAAATGAGACGTACTATTCGGAATATTAGCCATTTAGGGTGTTGGCAGTATTTATAAACAGTGTGAAAAGAACAACATTTGATTTTTGTTTGCAAAATATGGCTATTTTATCTGATTATCACTTATTTAATACTTTACTGGTTAAGTTTGGTATCAATTATATTTAATATTTTTAATTGATAAAAGGTTATATGCAATAAAGTAAAAAATTATGTTACATACTTATAATTTATTAATGTATTTTTTTTTAAATAAGGTTGGAGGAAATGCTAAAGCCAAGGAGTTTTTTGAAAGCCAGCCAGATTACAAGCCCGATATGACTATACCCCAAAAGTATAATACTAAAGCTGCTGCTATGTATCGCCAAAAGGTTTGATAAATATTTTCAGTTAATATTTGTTATAATAATTTTATTATTATTTCTCGTGGTTATTTAGAAAAAAATCATGGTTGCAATTTTTTTTCTTAACAAAACATATGTATAAATCTGCTTTGGAGTATTCCTATCATCCTATTATTTGTTTCTCAGTTATTCTCTATCTCATTTGTCATTTGGTATATCTCTTCTTTCATTTCATGTTAGCAATGTATTATTCATATAAACCTTCCTCTTGAATTACTCGTATCTATTAAAAAACCTGACACAAAAGCTTACCAATATTATTTAGATACTTCGAATCTTAGTCTTATCATATTGGAATAACACAGCTTTTACAATTAAAATTTTGACCGGTCGCCTTACTGATGCCTGGAAGACAAACACACAGGTTCAGGACAATTATCTGCGCGTCACAAGAATATTTGTCACGTGTGGGAATCGAACCCACAAGCCAATAACACCAATAACTTACCGCCGAAGCCAATAACTTAGCGACGGCGCTACAAAGTTAACCTATATAATAGGATGATTTCTCTACTATACCATTTATATACGTGTATTATACAAAAATATTTTGTATAAATTTAGATAACCGCTCTAGCCGAGGGTCGCCAATGGAGCCCTTCTGATTATAAACCAGAAAATATTGAGCGATCCTCTGAATGGAGCCAGTCACGTGACTCCTACTCTTCTGGTGATAATGTGTTTCATGGCAGTGGCTCCGATAACAACATAAGTTACCAGTATGTATATTAATTTATTAATCGTAAAATGTTGCTATTATCATAATTATTATAAACACTTATATTTGAATATTCTCTTTTGAACAAAAGCATTAAATTAAATTTTATATTGCAGTAGTGAGTATGGCAGTGGTCGTTACACTGGCTTTGGTAGTTCACAGAAGCAATCTCAATCAACCCCTATGTCACCAATGCATAGTGGAAATGAGATGGTTGACAACACTCTAGCATCATTGGCCTCGGTAATTTTAATGTTATATAAATATTTAACATTTAGTTTATGTCAAATATTATAAAAATTAAAGCTTTGGGTGCGCTATTCATTGATATATTGATATTGATATATTTCAATGGTTTATTAATTAATGCAGGGTTGGTCCATTTTCACATCTTCCGTGAGCAAGGTTGCACGTTCAGCCACCGAGAATGCCGTCAAATACGGTGGGATTGCTTCTCAGAAAGTTTCCGAAATGGCCTCTACTGTCACAGAGAAGGTAATCATAATTTTTTTTTTAAATAAAATTTTTATTGATTTTTTTTTGTTTTCTTTTGTAATAGTTAAAAAAGAATAATAATTGGCTTAATAATAATTAAAACTAACTTATAATGTCTTAATGTAAGTAGTGAAAACTTGATTGCGGAATAGTGGGTTGATGTAAACAACTTGTTGAGGTCTTTTTAGCAGTTCATATTGTTGACCTCCACTAGAGGAATTACATAATTGAGTCTGTCATTTCATTAATTTATTGTATGACAAATATATTGGTAACATTTGCTTTTTGAACCACATTTTTGTTAGAATTTATTAATTGTTTTTAATGTGGTGTATGAAGAAAAGACAATGTAATTTTTTTAAATATATTTGCGACCATGATGAAATATTTATTACTCTCAGTTTGCATGTACAAAATTTGTATATATATGAAATATTAAAAGTGATATTTAAACCTTATACATAAGAAACTTGTATTTAATTATACACTAATATGTGGAGCAGCTGTTGAGGATCATTTATTTGCATAACTTTCCTTTAAAAGGTTAACAACCGTGGTGGATGGAGTTCTTTAGGCGGAGCAAGCAATGAACTGCGCCGTGCCAGCAATTCTAGTGCACAATACCAGTCCCAAAGCTATGGTGCAATGAAGAGCTCCTATTCAGAATCATATCCAAAATGGTGAGTAAATATTTCTACCAATTAATAAAAAATATTTTTGTTGCGCAAAAGAAGTAATAACATGCATGGTACTATGATAAGTTACCAAATGGTAATATAATAAATAAGTAATTAACAATTAAAGGTGTCATCTTTTGAAGAATAATGTTTCACAGTCTACTTTGCCATCTTCCACCTAAACATATTGTTATATGTAATTAATAATATGTTGATGGCATCAACATATGTTATTTACAAAAAATATTGAAACTGAAGATTTTTTCTGAAACTATTAATATATATATATATTTTAGTATTTTTCCATTTTCCTCGAGTGGCAAAAATAACTTTAAAAAGGTTTTAGAATCAGAAAAATAGAGGTGTTAGATTCTGAAGAATTAGAAAAATAGAGTTTGATGAAAAATTATGGAAGTTATGGCTTACCAAAAAAAACACCTTTGAGATATCATGTAATAGACTAAATATGACTAGATTGAAACTACTCGCATAAGGAAAGTTAAATATATCACTATTATTCAGGAACGAGCCTCCCCAGGGATTTTCTGTAGCGGCACGCAACAATTTAGATACCCGCGATCTGTCACAAGTGGGTGTCTCCAGCCCGCCTCTCGATGTAAAAAATATTACCATCAAGAAGAAGAAAGAGGAGGAATCGTGGGACTGGCTCAATTAGATCTGACTTTGCTATGGAAGAGAATAGAATATATGCTAAGGAATCGGCTCTGCCTTTATATATATATGAATGAATAACTTTATGTACAAGATGCTGTGCTGAAAATCAATGATATTCTATTTAAATAAAAACAAAAAAAAAAACAAAGTTGTGAATTTTATATACTTTGTTGGCATTTGTTGGTGCTGTGGTTTCAATATAATGTTGAGCCTGATATTTTTGGCATTTATAATTCCATTTGTGCAAATAACTTAATGCATAAACATGGTCAGTTAGTTTATTTTGTTAGTTTCCTTTACCAATTGACATCATTGATCAAATTATATATTAAGAATGTATGTGCAGATGCAATAGCTTTATTAAAATTATCATTTTGACAATTTTTAATAAAAAATTACTTAAATAACTTATCAATGAGCTGCTGTGCAATTAATGCTGTAATATTTAGATAAGTATTCATAAAAAAAAGTGTCGTATTTTAGTATTTTATTATATTAAAAAAACTACTAGGTGAATATGTTTTAGGTGTCATAAATACCACTTCAAAAGGTAATATGTTTCGTTTTTTATTATTAATTTATCTTGAGACTCTTAACTTTAATTGCAAACTATATAGAATAAAATTTTCATTCATATATACCTATTAAATATGAAATAATTTTAAGAAACTTTCAATAATGCTACAAATGTGCATGGTTTCCTCTATTTCCTATTATGTGAACAATTCGTTACAATTGATAAATTTGTTATATATTTGTATTCCCTATGTATTTAATACTACAGTAAGTGAATAAATTTATTAAATAATATTAAAATTTATACATAATGTGCCATGCATTTAATACAATTTATATTTGGGAACATATTTACACCTCTACCTGTATAGAACTGAAATACATGGTTAGGTGTCTACCAAAAAAATCTTTTTTCACAATTAAGTATAATTAATATATGTAACCAAAAACTGCTTATATGTACCTCCCTGTATTTATGTAATTTTAAACTGTTTACATTGTAATATACATTTAATGGTAAAAGTATCATGTAAATACTTTAAAAAAATAGTTTTAAGGTCACAGAAGTTAACTTTGCAATGCTGCTCATTGCATTTTCTATTCTTATGTAAAGGCAATATTTGCCACTAAACTCCTAGAACTGTGTAATCATTATTTACCATATTGACTGTGTAATCACAATTACCATTTCATGGGCAACTATGTAACAATCAAAATATTGTGTAAATTTTTAAAAAAAATGGAGAATATAACATAGAGTTATAGTAATCTCTGTTTCTCCTTAATATTTTGTATAATATTAAGATTTATGAAGTATTGCATATGATTTTCTGGTTATGGAGTGATTATAAAAAAGATAATATATATTAAAAATTCATATAGTTTGAAAAGAATCAAGAGTAATTTTAATTGCTGTTGGCATTTTTCAATTTTCATTAGACAGTTTTTTTTTATTTTTATGTTAATAGATATACTGGATTGTGTTAAATTCTGCTCTTTTATGCATTGTACAGTTGGCTCCACCTCATGTGGTCCATTGGCTGTACATACATAACTATCCTAACCAACATTAAATTGGACAAATTCTTAATATATTGTTTCCTTAACACCACATTTATTTTTGTACTGTGTATGGTGTATAGTATATTATTTGTATTACTGTGTACAAATCTTTGTTAAAAATTCCATTTTCTGATTTTAAGTAATTAATGAGGCAGTGATAATACACATTTACATAAAATATTCTTTTTGACCTTTTTAATACAAAACCTATTTTGGTTTGCACAGCTTAAAATGTATTGATTCTATTATTATAGGATAAATGTATTAATTGGAGTACCTATTAGCACATTATGTTACTTTAAGAATGTTTATTAACTGTAGTGAATGTCCATTTCATTGTATAAACTGAATATTAATTAAATAAAGAATATTGTAATACTATGAGAGTATAATTTTTAATACCATCTAATTTATGGAAAAAAATATGAAACTGAATTTAAATATAACATGTCAATAATGTATTAATCATCGCACTATTAATTAGTTGAGCCACACTTTAAATAAAGTAACAAAAAGAGCACATAGTAACAAAGTGTGAATAAGTGTGAATACTGATATTGTTGAGTAAGTGAATTTGTGCATTACACAATTTTTATTAATATCAAATTTAAACAGCTGCAGATGCTGCCCTATTTAATAATAATACCTGTGCAATAATTTTGGGCAAAATACAGGAAATTCTAAGTATGTCTAAATATGCATAACCCACTGCATAACAGACTTTTGCATAGTCCATTATATTTGAAATTAATTCAAGTTTTTTCCTTACAATTTTTCAGTAGCCGGGCCAAGCAGCAATTTCCGTTTTTGCATGAATGGGCAGACTCCTGTGCAAGCTATAGATATCGAATGTAGCCTTCCCTTAGAAAACATTGCCCTTAATCCAGTATAACATGATCCTGTATTGTAAGGAAGTTTTATATATATAATTTTTACATGGACAAACAACCAGATCGGAAACAGATATCTGAGAGTCATACAAGTAGTTGTTTTGTGTGGATATCAAACTCAGGACCACCGGCGCCAGAGCCAATGCCATACCATTTGCGCCATGGAGTTATAATATATTTTGTAATTAATTGGGACCCAATTATGATTTGTGATTGGCAATGCATCTACGACTCAGGTGTTTAAGATATCCTTGGGTAGCGATAATCACTTGACATCAGCTGAATCGCCTACACACTTGCCTTAACTTTTAACCATGAAAAAGAAAAAAAAATATTTCCAAGCATGTGACAAACAAGTGCATAACATTGTTTTGGTTTAATTAAACTTTACACTAGCAATTCAACTTAGGTTGCTGGATACATATTTAAAAGGGAGCTCCCAAGACAAAGCTAATGCAACTATCAATATAAATTTTAGTATTTTTCTGAATTGTGATATGTAAGATTTAATAAAACATGGTGTTATGTATCAATAAAGTTTAATAATATATATATAATACATATACATACACACAGTTTCAGTTAACAATAAAAAACAAGTAATACATTAAGTATACACTGACATATGTTGATTTAAAAAAATTGCCTAGTTCCATTATAAATCCCTATAGTTATATTTAATTAGAAGCTTTCCTTCGGCACATAACTTTGTTTTAGTATTTAGTATTTTAGTATTAGTATTAGTTTAAAAACATTACCCTTACTTTAGGATAACATTATCCTGTGTTGTAAGGACATTTTACAAACATAAATTTCACGCGGACAACCACCCAGATGCGAAACAACTATCTATGGGCCACAGAAATAGTTGTCCCGTGTGGGAATCGAACCCACGACCCCCGACGCCGAAGCCAATACCTTGGCAACTGCGCCACGGAGTCATCGTCATTCGTTTCATATTTTTCATTTTATTAAAAAAAAATACAACTTTAATAAATAAAAATGTACAAGACATTGTACTATGCAATCAACCAATAAATGGAATGTTACATTTCATTGTAGATCATTCAAATTATGTTCTGGAAACAGTTTAACACCTATTTCTACAAATACAAATATGATTAGACATGTTAGACTGGTCTTAAAAAATAATATATCGAAGTTAATATCCAATATGAAAGTTTTAGTATTAGTCACATTCAAATCCTTATCACCTGTTTTATACATAAAATGTAATATTATTCAATGACTGAAAAAACTTATGATGCCCACATATAAAAGTAAATGTCTTGCCAATGACTTAAGTATTGAATAACAGGACCACAAACAAGTGACATGAGAGGCATTTTATTTGATACAGATGTAAGGACATTTTCAATAACATTTTTAGAATATCCATTATACATAGGGCTCCTTAGCAAGTAGAGTACCAAGCTTAATTTTCTACGGCTTATTTCCAACCTCTGCTCATAAGATAACTCCTTGATATGACGATTATAAAGTCTAAAACTGGCTATGTCTAGACCCAAAGCTACAAGCCATTGCTTCCAGGCTTTTGTACCAAAGACCCTCATGGCTGCTAAATGTATTATAGGTTTTAAAATATGCAATAATTCAGCATGAACTAAGTCTTTTGCTTCATTAGTAGTACCTATTTTATCATTTTTGATTTTAACTGGTTGCCAGTCACGTGATGCTACTGGGGGTGCACCATCAATACGTCTTATAACACGACCTGATCTCCTAAGGGTAAAGAAAGCATTTGAATTGTCATCAGTTTGCTTGCCTTCCGTAATTTTTTTCCTTTGTAAAGCTGGAATTGGTGGATGTTGAATTGGTAATTCCTTAAATCGATATAAAAGAACTAAAGAAGATGAACATTTTAATATTTGCAATAATGTTGCTGCCGTCCACTTGCCTCCGTTGCCCCATTTTTTTTTCACAGCAAGTTCTACGAATACTTCACAATAGTGAATAATTGTCAACCAAAGTTTAACTTGTTCTCGTAATCCATAATAGTGTATTTCATTTTCATAAGCATCTCTGATGAGGCGGTCATTGAATAAAGAAATGAGTTTCGAAAGGGAATATACCAGTTCCGACACAATGGGTGATTTGTTTATTTTTCCGGCCACAAAATATGATGACCATGTCGCAACAGTCTCAACATCGGTTATAATTCCTGGGTTGTTAATGACCCATCTTTTATAGTGAGTAAACAATTGCATCAACGTATTTTTATCCATTTTTATGATTAATACCAAGGTGGTTAATGAGGTCTTTAAAATAAGAAATTACACACGTAGTAAGATTTTACCCATCAACCAAACGTTAACCTGTAAACTTGACACATTGACATTTGACAACAACAATCTTTTACCTCAGACATCATTACACAGATACTTGGACGATATTTTTATTTTATTCAAAGTTTCATTCCATATAAATACTGAGAACAGAATATTAATTGTAAAAATCATATCGTAAACGTATTTCGAAGCATAGCTGTATCATTATCGACTCTTAATATAAGCATGCAAAGGTGATTTCTCCTTTCTTCATTTTCATTTCATAATTACCAAAGTAGATATTGTTACGTTATTGACTATTCATTTTATGCATACCATTGGAAAATATTCTATTCAATTGGAGTAGAATTAATAGAGTCAAAACCAAATCATCTATTTATGTTATCGCATTTAGATCTTAGTGTTTATTTTAAATAGAATGTTTAACATTTTTCCATATTTTTTTTTGCGTATTTTATAACATTCATTTTAAATTATTTCCCACAATGAATATATGAGTAAAAGTGCGGAAATATATAATTTTCAGATATTTTCAAATATCAAATCAATAATACATAAAGTTGTCTATAGTTGTACATTGTACAACATTCATTGTCTGTGGAACACGCTACTCCATATCTGGATTGTCGATAATAGCCGTTCAGTCTTCTAGTTTGAGAACTAAATCAATGATAAACTAGTTGCCTTCGGGATAACATCAGTTCAGCCACAAGTGTTAATTAAAAAAAATCTCAGTTTTGCTTTCAATATGGAGGCAAATATATTTGAAGATAATGATGGTGTTCGCATTGTCATGAAGGACGAAAATCAAGATTATGGGAGTTCAGCCTTGGATTATGATAAGAAGAGTTTATATTGGATGGGAGGTGTGATGGATTGCTTCTCTACTGTATTATCATTATTTGGGCGCGATGATCTAAAGGGTGATAAAGGTAATATTTGTTTGTATCTGTTTTTTTGTTCTCTATTTCTAGGTACCTTTTATTAAATGCAAAGCCCGGGACGCATTCAAGGTCGATGCGCCACGCAGGTTTTACAAGGACGCAGCTTGATTGATTTTCGATTACTGTTCAGAATTTTTGTGAACGATGATATCTAAAGCTTTAACTAAAATCGCATATGAATATTTAAAATTTCTTTTTAAATTCAAAATAACTTATGTTTTAAATTTTGATTTATGAATCATATATTATGAGAGTGAAGGAAATTATTTTTTGTTACTTCTTAAATGTAATTTCATGGCTAAATAGAAGAAATTATGATGTGATTAGTGATGATGAGATTATTTTAGATATATTACATAGCAGCTTGCAACAAAACAATTGATATTTTAAAATCTAAGGTGTATTAGTAAAAATAAGGTCTTTCTTGTCATAATTAATAAAATAATGCCTCTTATTAAAATAATAAAAATATTTATAATAACCATGTGCTTAATTTATATCCATTAAACAATGACATGTACTGGGAAAAGATCAATGTGAGAGGGGGAGGGGAGGTGGCAACCCCCAGGTAAGCTCAAAGCTTAAAGGGGAGGCATGTACCTGGAAATCTTAAATTGATTTGAGCTGGGGGCCTAGCTTTGGTGCTGTATTATTGCTGATCTGTTATATCTCTTCCTAATACATAAAGCTGCTTATATAAAGCTTACATAAAGCTAATTGAAAAAACTTCTTAATAAAGAAAAAACTTCTTTATTTTAAATTACTTTCAATGATTCAATCAGTTGTTTCTTAAAATATTATTGATTTCAGTAATTTCACAATATATTAATTGATTTAATATGAAATAAACATACATAGTTTCGTTTTTTATTTAAGAACAGCATAAATATGTTAACTTAAATTGATAACTTATTTTTTTTTTATGGTTGACTTGACATATATTGCATTGCTGCACAGCTCAAATAATTATTATGCAAACATAATAATTATTTGAGCTGTGCATTTGTGAATAACACCATTTGATTTATTTTAGTCTTATTATTAAGTATAGAACGAACTTAGTTAGTGAACAAATAGTTATATGTATTACAAATAAAACATTGTCTTTTTATCGGCTTATGGCACAGACTAAATCATTTATGCATATTATTTTAAATTAATTTTGTTGTCAGAAGAAGAGTGGGAGGTACCATTTGAAGCAATTACGGATTTGGTGTATCTCGGATCTGGTGCCCAAGGAGTAGTCTTTGGAGGAAATTTGCGAGGCGAAATGGTAGCAGTGAAGAAGCTTCGTGATAGCGCTGAAACAGACATCAAACATCTGAGGAAACTAAACCATGAGAATATTGGTGTGCAATTTAAATCAATATGACTAAAAAGAATAATGAAAACAAAATGTTTATTAGGATGTTTTTATACAAATAATAATTTTTTTGTAGTCCGTTTCCGAGGCATCTGCAGCCAGCCTCCATACTTCTGCATTGTTATGGAGTATTGCCAATATGGACCACTATTCGAATTTCTTCATAGTGGTGTTTGCTTCACTCCCAAGCAAATTCTTAAGTGGGCTAAAGAGATTGCTCATGGCATGAGCTACCTGCATAGTAACAAAATAATACATCGCGATTTGAAGAGTCCGAAGTAAGTGATGTTGATGGTTGCAAACATAAGAAAAATGTTTAAATATATTTTTTCTATTGTTGTTTATTATTGGAATTTTTTAGTGTACTGATTTCCGACAATTTGGTTGTGAAAGTAAGCGACTTTGGAACTAGTCGCGAATGGAACGACGTTAGTGCAATTATGAGCTTTACGGGCACTGTGGCGTGGATGGCTCCTGAAGTTATCCGTCACGAGCCATGCTGTGAGCGCGTTGACGTCTGGTCTTATGGCGTCGTTCTATGGGAGTTGCTCACTCAGGAGGTTCCCTACAAGAACTTGGAAACGCACGCTGTGATGTGGGGTGTGGGAACTGACACGATATCGTTGCCGATCCCTTCTACGTGCCCAGAGAGCCTGCAACTTCTGCTGAATCAGTGCTGGAATCGCACTCCTCGAAACAGGTCAGTCTTATAAAATTCGTATTACACAATGTATATTGTTTTTTATTGTGTACAGATTGCTAATTTCTGATAATATTTACAGACCGCCATTCAAGATCATATCTGCTCATTTGGAGATTGCCGGGGAAGAGCTTAGCAACTTACGTGTGGATTGCTTCAGCGCCATTCAAGCTACTTGGCGCAAAGAAGTGCAGAGTGGGATGGAGATGTTCTATGCCAGGTATTTATAATTTGTAACAAATATGGCCTTTGCATATAATTTTTATATGTAGTTTTTACCATTTACTCTTTAATTTCTTGCTAGGCTTTTACATTGCTCATGCTGAATAATTTTGTATGCGTACACACAGGAGCGAGCAACCTCAAGCTCAGGACGCGGCTGTGCGCCGCGAAGAGGAGAAACAAGCTCGCCACAAGTACGAGCAGCAGTTGACCCGTGCCAACGAGCTCTACATGGAGGTCTGCGCGGTGCGACTCCAACTGGAGCAGCGCGAGAAAGCCGTTGTTGAGTAAGGGCACCTACCTCCCAAACTCCTAGCGCGTCGACACTATACATTTGTCGCGATAATTTCCTTTTTCCGTTTGTTTTGTGCAGGCGCGAGAAAGCGCTGAAGAGCTGCCGCTGCGGCCTGCGCAAGACCTTGAAGCAGTACCAGCGCCAGACGTCGTCGTCGTCCGACGGCCTGAAGGCCCCGACGCCGTGCGCGAACGCCTTCAACGAGGCCGCCCAGCGCCGCCGCAAGAAGAAGCAGCCCGAGCAGAGCGCGCCCACCCACGTGCTGGTGAACTTCGTCGACTCTAAGGCGCAGGAGCCGCAGACGGTGACGCTCAAAGTCACCGGCTTCATGGGCTGCGAGTGCGACGACGCCGTTGAGAACAACAACATGAACACCATCCTCACCATGAAGGATACCATTGTAGAGAAGAATGGTAACAACCTGGACGACACTGTCTGCAAGATTCAGAACGCTGTCAACGACAACTACATGCCCAACATCGCCCAAGTCTAAATCTCTCAATGACCTGATTAGTTTGGTTCAGATATTTTGTTTACACCCCTCACATTTTCTGAAGGTAGAGGTTAGAGTGACAGATGGGTATGTCTATTGAAATGTTTATGTTTTGTAATTGTAGTTTTCATTTGACGTACGCACAAATATTTATTCATTTAATTTATATTGTGAAAATTTACTCATTTAAGGTCAAAAACACACTTTTGTTGCCATGCCCCAGTGGTAATCATTTATTGTGGTATTTTCAGATTGTTGGAATAGGAATGTTTAAATTTTATTAAATGAATTAATGTTTTATTTATTTAGAAAGGCAAGTAATAGAAAAGTGAAGGCTCTTTTTTAGTGGAATGGTATAGTTTCACTACACTCAATAGCTATTAGAGGCCAGCTGCGAAATAATTCATTATCTTTTGTTTTGTCCCATTTGTACTGATGTCCTTTGCATAATTTTGTTATTTTTATTTCCGCCCCTTCTTATACTTGCAGGCGGCCTAACATATAATATTAATATAACTGCAATCTCTTATAGGAATCTCTTAAGATTTATTAAATACATATGCTATTGATGTTAAAAAAATAAGCAGCTCCATTGAAATTAAAATTGCTTGGTTAAAGAAAATGCTGTTATTATGTACTACATGTCATATACAATTAATCAGTAGTTAAATGTGAGTAATTTTAGTCAAAATGTGAACATTCCCTGTGTAATCAGATTTATTAATTAATATTTTTAGATATAGGAGTATCTCATGGAACGTTGTTGTATGCTGAATTGCGTGATAATGCAACTGTATTACTTAATATGGGTATAAAATTATAAAGAATGCTTTTTGGTGGGTAAAATTCAACATACAATTTCGTACCGTGCATAAATAAATGTTATAAAATTATTGATCTCTTCAACTGTATCTTCTGTGCTGTTCAATTTTGTTTTGACGAGTTGCCGTTAGTTAACAGTATATTGTCACAATTGCACTTGTTTGTCATCTATTTTGACAAATCAAACCGAAAACCATCGTCATGGAAGGGGAGGACATTTTATTGCAGCTACAACAATTTGCGAATTACTAAATTCGATATGTAATTTTAACACGCAGCATAACACGCAAGCTACGCGTCTTTGCTTGATTATATAAAACCAAATTGCCACGCACCGTTTTGTAGGTGCTTCAATCTTATAACTGATTTACATTTACGGTCTCTCTGAATTTGGCCACTTGCGAGTTGTTCTATCGGCTATTCTGATCGTTATAAATCGTTTGTTAGTATATTTTTCATTTTAAATCATAACTAATATTTTTCCGCGTTTCGTTAATACACAGTTAATATATATAAAGATTAATAATTTATTTAGTCTTCTTTGTAACAGATTAAATAAATTTTTAATCTTTCGACGGCCCGCCAAAATCCGCATAATTTTTTTTATTACAATTTTTTGATCATTTATTAAACTTTTCATCAATGTTTGGTCCAATAGGAAATGCACTTACGCAATTGTAATAAAATATCTATATATTATTGATTTGTTAATAAATAAGCAAAAATGGTAATCAATTGATAATGACAAACATTTAACAAATTCCAAACATCTGCAAAACACTCAGGAGGGGCCAAGTTTTACTTGCGATATTTACGTGCCATCACGCTTTGGAGAAGGGATGCTAAGGATAGGAGGTGGCTTTAAAATTATAAGGTGGCTTTTAGGTTACTTTTACTAATTTATTGATATTTTAGCGATAGTTTTAGCTGGCCTAAAACTATTTGTTTTTTTCGTTCGTGGCTTAAGTGATACGATATTTTCTTATTCGTTATTTTTCGCTACTGTATTCGTTCGTTTATTTTTTTATTTATTAATGTGTTGTTTCTTTTTTTTTTGAGGAATCGGGATCAAGTTAATATTGCGCCTGGATAAATGAATGATGAGGGCTCCTTAGGCCTTATCATTTAGCTATTCGAACGCTATCTTGTGTTTTATTTCGAAAAAAGCTTTTCGACTCTATTTTTATATTGGCTTGCAAGGAAAGTATAAAGGAAAAGTATTGGTAGGAAAATATTTTTATATTTTATTTTATTATCGCAATAAGCTGCATCACATGCGACAGTCTCAAAGTATATATTTAGACTGTCCGTGTGCACTAAATCTTGTTGCGATGGTAGATTTGTAAAGTGAAAAGTATTATATTTTAAGTATAAAGAAGATTCCAGAAAGATCTAATCTTCGACTGTTTGGTAACCGAAATATTTTAAAAAATAATTTTAGTTTTAAATTCGAGGAAATAAGTCTCCTTTAATTTCTCTGTATTCAACAATGTCATTTTGATTGAGGACATTAATATTTCTGGTAACTGAATTATTTGATGTTATCGTTTGTTTGATCGTAAAACGTAAGTTTTTTTTCTCAACCTTTGGATTAATTTTTTATAGAGTTTTATTAAGATCATTTTTTTGTATTATGTTACATTCCTTATATAACATTTTTTGGTATACGTGATAGGAGTTACCATTCCATGAAATATTTTTTCCTAAGTTTTTATATTTATTAAGTTAATTTTTATTTTATTCTTAATTTAAGTTTAAGGTCAATACCTGTACTATGCTGCCATTTATAAAACTTTTTTTGTATTTATATGAATTCGAATTCCTTCTTTCGATTGTCTGTAATGCCGGAGGGCGGACCACTAATGGTGCTTTCCTTTTGAAGAAACTGGGTGCTCTGGAGTCCATTTCTATCCGCCTCCGGAAGTACCTTAATATTAAATTCCATATAGAAGTTTTACTTTGCTGAGGTTCGAATAGAATCGTAAACGTAGGGCAGAAAATAGGGCAGCATAGTCGTTGGTTATGTCCAAGAGCTTACCACTCTACTATATTTTAAATAATTGATAAGCGGAAAACAATAGACTGCACCTAGTCTAAATTTTTGATGTATCTTTACTATTTCTACGACTATCTTAGAGTTATATTGTTATCATATTTTAGAAAGCCTTAAATGCCGTTAACTTTAAAAAAAAAAGAGAATTTAATTGTTAATGCAGTATTTATGATGGATCTCACAATTTCCTTTCTTTATAACGCATTTCAATCCGAGAAGAAAAATATCGACATCAACATATATAAATCTATTGAACATAACATTGTAATACGTACATTTAAAAATAAAGTCTCCCTTAAAAATTGTAGTCTGGGTTCTTGTGACGAATGAATAGTATACCGAAATTAAATCTACTATTCTATTACTACTATGTTATTTAACAAAAACTGTTTCAAGGTCGATCCAAAATCGATTCAATCTCAATTATTTATTTTTTGAATGAAACAATCAGCTCAATTTTTTCTCTTCGCACCTAGATGTTACTAATTATATTTCTAAATATAGAACGTAATATAATAATAGTGTATACTATTTTCTCTTATATTACTTCTTGTCTAACGCTGTGGTTTCTGATATGTATTTGATTCTCTGTTTTATGATAAGAATTAGCCTAATGTGTGGTCTAGTCTCAAATGAATCTATAAGTGTACGTAGAAATAAATATTGTAGTTTTGATTGATGGAATAAATAAAGTAACTACCAAATCGCTGTTTTATTTCAATTATGACATCATTCTGATATTAATTCGTGTTACAGTATTTGTCTCATATAGATAGCAAATGGGTAGCGATGTCTCATGGTAAGCGATAAGCATTGCCCAAGCCGTTTAAAGGCTCTTAGTTTAGCCTAGCTATATCTATGGCTTGGAGATGCATACTTGGATATACTTACATGTAATACTTAGCTGATGGGAAAACAGAAAAAAGGTTTTATTATTGTTATATTTGTGGCTAGTTAAGTTGCCTATGTGGATTTTTGGTTATTTAATTTTTATTACCTTTCTGTTGTTAAAGCTTAAAAATCTGTATTATTTGTCTCTCTTTCAAATTTGTATTGTTTCTGCCAAAGGCATAGAGCGCTCGGCCGAGTGACCGAATCACTGACGAACAAAAATCCGCTGACGCAAATTGGTACAATGTCGAATATCTATTAAGAATGTTCCACATCAGGACGTAAACGACTATTCGCAAGGGCCGAATGAGGCTTACATCGTACACTGGTCACGAGCGTTTAATGCGAATCAGCTGTTCGTGTAAGGGGACATTGATATTGTCGATGAAATATTTGCACCGTTCGAAATTCGCTCTGCGCGTGTTACATTTTTTCGTATTATTTATAGAAAGTCTGCGGGCGTGAGTCGGCGCGCGCACACGGTGTGGCGCGCGCGGGCCGAGAGCACTGGAGCCCCATGGAGCCCCCATCGTTCCCTGCTGGCAGCCTGCAGACCGTTAGGGCAGCCCCTGGTAGCGACGCCGAGCTCGTACTCCCGCTGCCCAACGGCACACCACCCTTCCAATTCGAATGGTACGTTCTATTTCTAGCCTCTGCCGCAAATCCCCTGTCCATTTGCGGTCGCCCGTAGAATTGTTTGTGTAAAAAATAAGACTATTTTTTTACTCTACTTAATTGTAATATTCGAACGGTCAGCAAGCGCTGATGACTAGAATGAACGGATCTCGAAATCGTTATAGGCGATTCTCAAACTTAAGACTAAGCTAATAAAGTATATAGTGATTGATGTATCGAGCCCGTGTGCGTACGCGTCGCGCCGGTAAGCGTTGTTTGTTTTTCACGTGTCGAAGTGTATAAATACAGACCAGGAAGCAGGTCACCAGAGTCATTCGACACTCTCTTGCAAGAGGTATAATCATAAGACCAACGTTATGTCGGAATGGCAAAAAAATTGCAAGACATTTATAGAATTCTTGTTGGTCGGTTAGGTACTGGGAAATGCGCTGCATAATTAAAATAACTTTTAGATTTTCTCGTACCTCTTTACATTTTTTATATTGTTTGTGATCGTAAAATACATTAGTCAATATATATACATAGTCCAATAGTTAGTGGTATTGTTACATTTAGATGAAATCGCTGTGTGGAAGTATGAACAAAACAAACATTGTTATATTGTAACGATTAAAGCGCGATTTCTATTTTAATTTAGTTTTTGAGTTTAGTATTATTACTTTATTTTTTTTCTTCCAAAAATCTAAGGGATCCGAAATTGCAAAATTTCCCATACTTCTATGTAACACCGACGACATAGGTTATGTCATCAAAGCATTTTAATTTATATCATCGTTCTTTAAAGGCTGTTTATCGTTCATTAGAAGGTCGGCTGAGCTGGACTGAAGTTTTGGAATTATATATTTTGCAAACATACAATTTGGCACGAATATATACTTAAGTGTATATTATTATAGCTGGCTGCTGAGCGCTCAAAAAGAGGCGTCATGTAAATGACTGAAGAGCTTTATTATTGTTTTTCTTGATGCCGCTTAACAAACATTGAGGTTTAAATTGAATTTGAGTTTAAACTTATCACTAACATTCCAACCTCTTGAATGTAGTTATAGTGAGATAAATGTATTAGTGGTACGTATGTACACGGTTTACCTCTAACCAAAAATAAATTTGAGGTTATCAGGAACGTTCTCTACTTGTGTAAATTGCCATCTAGCGACGTAACCGCGAACTGAAGTAAAATTACACGACATCTATTAATGATCTAGCGCAAGTCCAATAACTGTACCCATCATGGCTTAACATTATTTTGTTGTTACAATAAAGAGTACTAAGTTCTACTCCTATGTATGATTACTGAGCATTATTTATACATAACGCAATTGACAATTAGAAAGGGTTCCCCACTCATCTAGTTCTATTATAGCTAATTCTATTGTAATGACGTTAATTTTATATATACATATATAATTATCTGTTATAAGTATTCCTACAAATACAATGTACACAAGCTTTTATCTGGTACATAATCTTAGCCGGTTTGTTAGCGGGCAGGGATGATACGATCTTATCTAGCTTCATTTAAACGTAAGCTAGATACGGACACGGAAAGTACGTAAGTATGTAAGTTCTTATAGATTAAAGTTTTTAACCTGATTTGTTTAATGAGTCCAATTCGCGTCTACCATTTTATGCAATTATGCATATGACATATACCTACGATGGATACAGATAATATCAACATTTAATGCAGAGAGCATTTATATAAAAATGATTTTCTTTATTCACTTATACGATCCAAAAACTTGTTTAAATTTGGGAATATTTAATTACCGAGACACATTTTATAGGTATTTCTTATACCTATAATAAAATGTGTATTCTAGGTATTCCTTACAAATCTACATAATATAATATGATATCTATGAATAAATAAGAATGAAAGAAGTCAGCCCTGTCGGCGGGGCAGATCTATAGCCGAAGGGTGGGGGGACGGGCAAATAAGAAATCATAAAGTAAATAATAACAATCAACAATATTTATATCACAATTCTTGCTGCATAATATTTGTATTTTGTGTACTAGGACTTGGGATTTTCCACGACCGATTTAGTTTCCAGACTAAGTAAATTCAGCGAAATTTGGAGATAACAGAAAGTATTGCTTAAGAAGGATGAATAGAGGTTGGTAGCTATAGATCAATGTTGATTTTGCTTACACCAAGTTGTATTAGCTCCGACTCTTATGTGAGTTTTTGTATTGTTGGAGTTATTTCGTCTGATATGGTCCGGAAGCCGTGGTACATTTCAACGCAATGGGTACGGGAACCGCTGGTCTTATGGATCCGTTAGCTATGTCACAGCGACGGGCGCTTTTCGCCATGACGTAGTACCGTCGGGCGGTAAACAAGTGGCGGCGCTGGCGTCGCCCCTACCAAAATATCCGTTCGTGGTAAGCGCAGTCCGCGGCAGGTCGTCGCGAACTCGATCCGAAACGAGATGCGCTCCCGCCATGGGTAGCAATTGCTGTAAAGGCGACGCAGCAGGGAGGCCGGTCAAGTCGAGCTCCTCAATCTACAGCAGGTATTTGTGGCTGGCAGTCCTCCTCGGCCAGGAGTTGCGCGGTGTGCCGTGGGTGCTGCGCCCGCGTTCGCCCTTTCCGTACGTAGAGGACCCAGTTCGCGACTAGTGTTGTGGCCACCCAATGTCCTTGATGTCGTCTGTTAACTTGGATGCCGGATATATGTTCAGCGTACGCTAAACTCACCCGCAAACCAATTGGAAATCACTTCCTATCTCATTCCACCAAAGTACTGTTACTTTTTGCTTTAGTGTCACTGATTCTTTTTTAACAGTATTGTAGGGGTTTAAGATACCTCAGTAACAGTAAGCTTTCACCGTAGTGAACATTCATTCTGTTTTCTGATTAGTCTCTGATATTAAAGATTTTCCTGTGCTGTTATTTAAAACAAACAGGACGCAAAACGTAAACCTTGTAATAGTACGTTTCAGTTAAATGGATCGTACAAACTTTTCAATTACAGGAAGTGACGATTTATAATCTGAAAGATCAATAACGAAGGCGTGATAAAATTTTTCTTTTAAAAAGGTACATTATTATTTAATACTCTAAATAAGGTATATGGAAGATTTCTAATAGCATGTTTTGACAAACTTTCGGTTTTAAAAGTGAAAATGACAATATGTTTAAATAAGTGGAACATTTAAACACATAAATGTGGCGCTGTTATGTTAATAATCATGATTGTTGAGATATTTTTGTATATAACAAAACTATTTATTCTATTGCATCATAATTGATTGCGAAATTTGTTTGACGAACGCAATATTGACGTTTTTGGCTTAGCGAAATTATTTGATTGCTATTAGATGTTTGAAGGAATGAAATATTAACACCGATATTAGTTATATTGATTAAATCAAAGATACTCTGAATAATAATTTATTTGGTTTCGTAACAAGAATTTAATTGAGAAATGTTTTATGTCATTTTTAATGTTTTCTAAAGATATTGTCATATATTTGTATGCAAAATGTTCCATAGGTGTTTTTCTACTTTTAAAAGTTTTTGTATTTAAAAAATCTGAATTAATATTAATCAGGTCTTTTGGCAATCGGACAAATTATTTCAGCTAATATTAAAATTGTTACTAGGTCCTGTTTTTGTTATACTTGCTTCACTATCAGCAAATGCTTTATCAGTAATATTATAAGTTTGTAGTCCTTATTCTCTTGTAGCCAATTAATCAAGGCATATTATATCGAAGAATAGTTCTCAGAATAAACATCTGTCAGAAATCAACTCGACGTGCGCAAGATTTCAACCAACTTATTTTACGGACTCGTAAAGAATACTTTGAAAATGAAATTTTAAAATACTACATTGCTCACTCAGCAAAGCGGTACTATTTGGTTTTTTGATGGAAATATTTTAAATTTATTTACTTTAAATAAATTGAGAAATAAACATGGTTGGAATAGTGTGATAAAATTATTGCTACGTATCGATAATAACAAGAATATCAAGAGTTTTAAAATAGGCATCGTCTCGACATTACGTAAAAATCTATTTCTACTCGTATATTCCGGCATTGACAAAACAAGCTTGGCAGTTTTATGAATTAAACAATTTAAAGTTTTACTTTAATATAATATAAGTGTTGAATACGAATGTATATAAATAGATATTGCTTTAATCGATCGACTACGGATATGTTGCGATATAGAAGTTTGCTCAAAAAGTAAGAGGGAAAGTTGTAGGAGGGCAGAAAATAATTTTTTTCTCCTTATCTTGATTATTTATATAAACCGTTATAATTGCTATTGCATTATGGCTTTAATCCTGTCTTTTTCTTAAATCGTATTCTTAATATCGAGATAGAAGTCGAGGTTGATAAAATTAATGTAGTGGTGTGTGATATTTATCATAGCATTCATTCTTGATTTTATTAGATCCAAGAAGAATGTATTTAGGAAGACGGATTACGCAGTTATTACCAAGGATATAAAAAATAAAAGAGGTCAATTACCCGTTATTGTTACATTAATTCAACTTACGCAAATATGTATCTGCTGTCTCTGTTAAATAGGTTTTTTCGCATTTTAGTGGTTATAAGGATAAGGCTAATGTACTCGTGTTAACCGCATTACAGATTTTAGACATTGCAACGTGGGAAAATGTCTACTGTTAAGTGTATTTGTAATAAGTAGCATATTCCAATGATTAATAACTCCTGGTACAATAGCATTATATGTCAGACTATCGCTAGAAGAACTATTTCACAACCCTATAATGTATATTTAAAATCAAACTTGAGGCAGAATAACATTATATCTTAACTTACCATTAATCGCAGTATATTATTATTTATTAAATGACCACTTGTGGCAGACAGGACACTTCCTGTTTTTAATCTTATAGATGTAAATAAAGCTTTATTAGTACAACGATTTTACAGCTTTGACGGAAACAAATTGCAAAAAAAAATAATCGAACAATCGAAACGAGTATGTACATTCTACGTTATACGGCTATACGCAAAGTAATAAAAAATATTCCCCCCTATTCCTAAAATGGCCCCCAGACTACAGAGGCCCCGAATGGATGAAATGAAAACTTCCACAATCATACATTGCTTATACGATATAATAATGTCATTTAAGAGGTTGCATAGTAATGGTATGAATACGACTTTCTGGCGAGATGTACAATAAATATTAAAATAAAAAGTACCTATATTTTATTTTTACTAATGGATTTCTTGCCGACTGATACTAATTTCATTTTCCCCATCCATATCCATGTTTTAAAAATTTTAATTAAACTAGCGACCCTCCCCGGCTTCGCACGGGTGCAATGTATTATACATATGAACCTTCCTCTTGACTTACACTATCTAGTAAAAAAACCGCATCAAGATCCGTTGTGTAGTTTTAAAGATCTAAGCATACATAGGGACAGACAGACAGCGGGACGACTTTGTTTTATACCATGTAGTGATGCACAGCAAAGAGACGTTTACATTTCAAGTGACATTTTACCACAGTCACTCACTTATTTTGCCTTCCCGGAACCCCTCCACTAACACTTAAACTTTATGGTATGGTATTAAAGTTCAAATTGTCTTTTAAGTATTATTACGAATCTTTTATACGGGAATATAGAAAAGTGCTGTTTTTAGACTTTTTCAGGCAATTTTTTAATTTTTTTCTTTCATAAGATTCCTGATAATAACAAACACAACAAAAAATGAATAAAATCGGCCCAGCTGTTCACGCGTGATGGCGTGACCAAGGGAAATAGGGATTCATTTTTATATAGATAGATAAACATAAACGCTTATAAGAATGTGAAGTGAAAAGTTTAAATAAGATAAAAAAAAGCTCGTAAATTAGATCAACTTCTTAAACTTGGGCCACATTTTAGCTTTGCCGCCCCGGCCTTCTGTAGGGCTTAGTTCACCACTGCCTGATACCAACCATAGGGTGTACAATTCTTTTCATTTAAATTTATTTTTATTTTGTTTTTATATCACCATAGTTTTTGTTTTATACAGATTTTGTCTATTTTCTCTAGAATGGATTATTTAAATTTTTTATTTATTTTATTTTTTGATGTGTTTTTAATTATGAAACAAAAAAAAATTATGAAAACATGAGAACTGGTCAATTTAGTAATTGGTACGTCTACAACGTCCCATCCCATGTGCAGTATATTTCGAGCTCCGCTAATAATACACTACGCGGGTAAATGTGTCTTGATTGAATAGAAATAGGTTAACGGATGAAAGGCGACCGGAAGAATTGTTTCATGACAGGGGAAGGAAATTAATGAACGATCCGTCTCGCTTTGTCCGTCTAATATCGATTATATGTGTTAGGGACTTGGATTAACCGTTTTATTCCCACACGCATTTTAATTATTACATTCGCTTATCACTTATTTACTCACACATTGGTCGAATCCTTACTTCAATTTAACCCCTAACCTTCAGTCTATGATCAATCACCGCATCGATAACAAGCCTGAGTTCCGCAAATATCTCCGCAGACACAGTGGCAGGTTTGTAGTCTTGGACGCCCTAGGCCCCAGCCCTTGTAGTAAGTTCAAGCCGCCCCTTTCTCAGAGACGGTAATTTAATTTATTAAAATTAACTCGAACACCACACGCTGTTATAGCGATATAATCTACGCTCGGTTATATTGTAATGGGGAGACTGAGTGTGATTCGCCTGCAACCACAGGAGGAAATACGTGCAAACATAATTTTCATACGCTTGTTAATTTAAATGATACCTCGACATTATTAGATAATGTGCAAAGGTGTGGGCACTCGAAAATGGCCTCTTTAAGAGAAAAAACGATTAAACGATAGATTTTGACGTAGAGCTTAATACGACGGCTATAACACCACTTTACTTCCAAAATTAGAATAGTAATAGAGGCTAGCTATAAAACTACTTCATGAAAGAGTTTGAATTATATTTTACATTGCGGACCCAATCTTCAATCGCATATTTTTGATTTACTTTTTATATTCCGACTATTGGCTATAGCTATATCCGCTGATGTAGAAATAATGTACCTTTGATTAAAACTATTTGATAACCATTCAAAGAATATCATATCGCTCTAACGTTAATTGTCCTATTGACACATGAGTTTCAAAGATTATCTTTCGGATCATAGTGTCAAAATTGTTAAAATTCATATATGGATGACTTCATTTATTCGGTCTCTTCTCCCGAAGAAGCTTACAAACTGTATGGTTAATTAGTAAATAAGTTTTGTATGCGCGCGGATGTTTTATGTTAACAAAATGGGTATCAAATGTTTCATGTTCTTTATTTAGAAAAAAATCCAGAAGATTCTCGCATTAACGAAAAATTAGATTTAATTCGGAAAATTTGGTCGGAAAATTCGTAATTGATAGGTACGCGATGGCATCCAAGTAATGATAATTTTACTTTTAAAATTGATATGTTTTCTAACGACCCGTGTACCAAATGCTCGATTCCTTCTCAAACTGTTTCTTTGTATGGGCCTCTTGGGCTACTCTCTCCGCTTACCGCCGGAATGAAGTTACTCATACAAGAGTCTTGGAAACGCAATTTCATGATAATTCTTAATCCAAAATAATC